GCCGATACGTGTGTGCTGACAAAATACAATCTTAAAAATATTTGCCATAAATTCATTTAACATGCTATTTGAAATTTTTAAATGAACACATAAAAACTTGTCACTTTTTCATTTAATTTCTTGTTTATCGTCGTATTTTCTAAATAAATTAGTTTTGAAACAATCTTCGAAAATATTTAATAGTAACAACAGGCTTTATTTAGTTGTTTTCTAATAAATTTACTCACGTCTCCAGCCTGTGACACTAACGCCATAATTAACTCGTAATAAGCGTTTAGATCGGTTTCTTGTGACATTATTTTATGTTTATGTTTATATTTTTGATCACACAAAAATCTAAAACCTTCAAGGTAACAATTACAAACTGAAACTTCAAATTATTGTTTTCACTTAAATGTTGGTTCTTAGATCAATTAATTTAGTTAAAGCACTGTTTATAAATCTGAAATATCCGTTTATGATTCCTTCAAAAGTCTCACATTGACTGATTCTAATTTAAATAAGCAATTTGTTTAAAAACTTTTTGTGATACGGCTTCGCTAGCGTTTCTACTTTCGTGAGAAATGTCGGGAAAGTGTCGTAGTAGATTCTCCACTGGAAGGTTTTATTATATCACCACAAACAGAGAATTTATTTATGTGTTAGGTCAAACCGGCTTTCAATGTTAGAACGGGAAAGAAAAACAGTCGAATCTTGGAGTTTCAATCGTCTAGACGTGTTGAAAGTAAACTCTCTTAACGAAAGCAATAAGCGCCAGCTGAATCATTTGGGTAGTGTTGATATTTTAAGTGTCAAGAAAAAAAGTGTAGATACCAGAAGAAAAAATTAATAAATATTCACACAAGTACATCTCAGACTGTATAGAAAATGGATCTTTGATTCATCCTAAGAAAACATTTTCGGTGACATCCGAAACAATTTAACCATCATCAGAAAACAGTTAAATATAAATATTTGCTTTTAAATCAAATGTTTCTGATAAACATCCAAAAGTTTTGTTGTGTTTAAAACCAAGTGCAAAGCAAAAAGTAAAAAGAAAAGAAATTATAATTGTAGATTACGTTGAAAAAGAGAAATATAAAATAGATTTATTTATAAGGCTTTACGTCTTAACATAGCCTCTTAGGTCATTTAAATAAATACAAAATTATTGTGCTGTGCGAGACGCTTTTCTTCGTTCATTTGTCCGTGATTAAAAACATATTGTCGTAATCGTAAAGAAGTAAAGAAACAAAAAACGAAAAATAATTAGTGGCAGTTTAAGTGTTTGACTTGTCTCAAATACCGCGCGATCATTTTGTGTTTAATCGTTAAAAATAAAGATTTAAAATATTAAAGTTATTGCTTAAAGCAATTAAAACTTCTACAAAATTGTATGAATCGAAAAAAAAATTGCATATAAAAATTATTCATTAAACTTCTTAGTAGTGGAAGCTTAAAACTGAATTTATTGGTGAGTTTCAAGATCTTAAAAAGCATTAAATTTATCTCGTTTTCTTTGATTATTTGTGTTGATGCATATGGAATCAATAATTAAACTACTCTCGTGTGATTTCATTTCGTCGCAATAAAAATCTTTTTTTTTAATGTCCTACTTATGATCCAATTGCCTTGTTTCAAATTTAAAAGTTTCTTCCTTTCTTTGGTGATACCCTCATTGTACATTGATGGTTCGTTCCAACGTTTAATATTTATTTCCCATCGTCGATTGTTCTGCATTTACAAAACTGTTAAACATTGAGTTCAATTTGTGTTCATTTGGGGTTTTAAAATGAGACCGAACCTAAGCGACTAACACAGAATAAAAATTAAACATGCTTGCAATGAGGGTATCGAGAGATCTCACCTTTTTAAATTAAAAGACATAGAAAAGTGTGAGGATATAATAAAAGGTGTGAAGTTCACCATTTTGATTTCATTGACACATAAAATAACAACATAAAGGAACAAGAATATTTTTCACTTTCTCCAAGTAAAACATAAAATTGGTTAATGAATGAAGAAAGAAATAAAACTAAACAAAAAGCTTTCAAGATTATCCTGTTGTCGAAATAAATCATACTTGATTTAAGCTGTTTTTACAAAAATCTGTCAGAAAACATAAAATGTTTAATAAAAAGAATATTTAAGAGCATTAAAAGTTGTTGCAATAAAATATAAAGTCAAATAAACTTTCCGTTTCATTCATTTTTATACTGAGAAAAAAAGACAATTAATGAATTAGCTGATTGAATTGATTGCTTAATAAACATTAAATTGTTAAAGCAAAGGAAATTGTAATCTTCAAAGATCTTTGACTTTTTATGAGCTTCTTATTAAATTAAATTAATCGATAGATCATTAAAAGCAGATTCAATAAAATTCTTTGTTTATTAATGAAAAGATGTGTGTGAAATTTTAAAAGTGAGTAAATTACATACTTCACATGCAGTTTGAGAAATGATTCTATTAGGTAGTCTGGTAGTTCTTCAATCTTCACTCTGTCCTCATCTCAAATATCGCATAAATCTTTCGCCTTTTACTAAAGATTTCCGTGTGATGGGGAGATTCTAATGAGTCTATTAGAATTTTTTATTGGCTTTTTCCATTAGGAAAGAGCCTTACAATTTAAAACAAAAACAAATCTTCATTATCTAAATTACTGAAAAATCTTTATTCAAAACTTGAATTATCAGCATCGCATGTGTAGATAATAAAAAATAATTTCCCAAAGCTGTAATCCTTGAACGATACCACTGACGGAAGATATGTTTATAACCATGATAAGTTTGAAAAGATAAGGAAAAAGAATTAAGCTTCTTGAAAAAGAAGAAAATACCGTGAGAACGTAACATCAAATCTTCTGATCGTATTGAAAACATTTGACGCCATGACAAAGTTTAAGAGGTTTGTTATAATGAAAAGAAACTATAACAAAGCACCATGTTGTAATATGATGCATAGCAACAATCGAATTGAAAGAACAAACAAAAATGTGATGAGTTTGAAACCACGAGAATTTTACTAACATTTGTACGTTTAGCTTAAGGGCACAAATTTATTTATTTTTATTTTATTTTTTGCTTTCGTGCTTCTCATTCGACCTTTCGAGGCCAAATATTTGAAATGTTAAATAAGAAACTCAATTTGATTCCAACAGAATTTTCTTGCGTCAATATTTTTTAATGTTGTTCTATTTCCTCGATTCTCCTTAACGTGCATCGCATGGCGTCGTTGTGGATACATTCAGAATCATTTTGAAACAAGTTTTTTTTTATTTTCGTTAGTGATTCAAGGTCAAAAGTTCGGATTGATTATTCATGTGCATTGAATTCCAATCTTTTTCAATGAAATTGACCAAAACACAACAGTAACAAATAAAGATCTGTAGGATGGTAAAGTTTTTACACCTCTTGGTTCCATTTGATTGATTGCAGGTTTTTTAACTCAATTCCACGCTTTAACATTTTTTTTCATTAATTTTTGTGGTTGCCAATGAAGTAGATGTATGAACATTACTTTTCAAGCGAAAAACACAAAACTGTGGTCATGTCCACCCGTTGATTTTGGTGGCATATCACTCAGAAACATTTTGTAAAATGTGTTCAGACCAAACTCGCTCGTTTGTGAAATTTGATACTTTATTGATTCATCCTTTCACGGTTCATTCATATTGATTCCTTAGCTTCAGAATATAAAAAAGCAAGTCAAGAGATAAACGATTCTGATTTATTCACATCAACTAATCGTCTCAATGACAGCGAAACTTGTCTTCACGTGTTGTTCTTTTTGTTTCTCCTTTGAAGGTGTCAAAAAACATCGCAAAGTTATGGTTGAATTAATATCGATATTTGCATTACATGTATAAATAACATGTAGAGAACATTCATTAGTATTTTGATCTTGTTTTGTGTTTATAGAAGCTTCTGCTACATGACGCAATAATTCTAAATATATTTATTCAAAGTTTGATCAAAGTTTCCCAGGTATCTCCACATAAATGAAATAGGTAATCTAGTGTTGAAAATCTGTAAAACCAAACGGAAAAAAAATTCTTCTTTATTGGAATTTTGGTATTCTTTAACATTGAATGATTTTATTTATCGTTTAATCAGCAAAATCGTTTTGGGTAAGTCGAGAAAAAAAGGAATAATAGAAAAGTTTCTTTGTGTTCATTTCACTTTTAGAAAAAGAGGGAGGAGGCAGAAAGAAAAGTTTACTTAATCTTGGTGGAACAAATAAACAGAAGAAGAAATGGGTTCGGATCTGATTGAGCGATGAAAACTTTTCCAACATAAACTTCGAACAAGGTTTGCCGCAGTTTCACGCCAATCACATATTTAACTTCAATCGTATTTCGTAAATTAAAAAGTTTTAGTGAAGAACAAACAAAACTAGATGAGGCGCCTTAGGTGTTTCTTAAACAATTTCCATAAAAATTATATTTTTATGTCTGTTTTCTTTTACGTTATATTAAGTATAAGTTTATGTGAAAGTGCTAAAGTTGCATCGCTAAAAGCTTTTACAAAAATCTCACCTCAACTCAAAAGTTTATTAACCCGACTCATTCAAATATCTTTAAGACGCTTAAGCTATCATCAATGACATCACATCATATAAGTTATAAATATGAATGAAATTTCACTTAAACTTAAGATTCCCAAATCATTTGTCGATTTAATGAAACAAAATTTTGAATTGGGTTGACAAATGATACCATTAAGAGGTTCCTCATCTTTATTCATGTTAACGAGTATCGATTGTGAAAAAGTGACGATGAATATTGAGACAAATTGGCTTTGGACGTTTTTTATGAAATATAATTGAATGTTGGATACCAGATGCGTTAAATTGACCACTTTTAATTCATAAAATTTAATAATTGCCTTTTGCAACATTTAAAAACAGATTTAAGTTTAAAATATACTTAACAACATTAAAAAATTGGAATCGATATCTCATTGAATATTAAATAAAGTTTTGAAAAAAACTCTCAAACAGTCAAAGTTATAAGCCGTAGAAACCAATAAATCGCATCGAGAATGAAGTAAAGTGCTTGAAACTTCAAGAAACTAAGAAAACATTGGAAATAACATTTAATCCATTCGTCATGCGGAAAAAAAGGTTCATTACTCGGAACAGAGAATGTGAAGTGCCATAAATTATTCTTTAGATTTTTATGCTTGAAGTTAAATTCAAGGAAATCAAATGAAGATTGACACGAATTTCTACTTTTTTAAAAATCTGCTAAGCAAGGTTCAAATAAAAAATTGATCTCGGTTGGATATTCTCGTGACGATATTTATAAGCCATGTTAGAAAGTTGAATCATTTGAGTTCTAGAAATCAAGTTTTGGAAAGTGTTGACTTTATTCGGTTTGACGACTAATTTCAGTTTTGCTACCTGGATGTAGATGGGTTGTAATTAAAGAATTCTAATCGATTCTTATGTAAATATAGTTTATATGTCAACTTCACGGCGGGCGGGCGGATCTTCTTAAACCAGAATATCTTGAATGATCTTCTCCTGCTTTTTAATCACTTAATTAGCCGAAATGCATATTAAACTATGATTAAAACTTGAATCGCTAATGAAATTAATTTGAATTTCTTATTAATGGTAGCAGATTTCATTTTATTTCTTTTCAACTGAATCGTCTTTAAGCAGCTTTCTTACAGCATAGCCAGAGGCTTTTTAAATTGCTAGTTAAGCAACGTGGTATTTTTTATTAGATGTAACTGCATTTGAGTATTTCTAAAGCAGCACTCAGCAATATTAATGGCTTTATGCTGAGTTCATGTTATTAATTACTGGTCGGTATTTAATTAATTATTCAGCAATCTCAGTTCCTCTCTCAGTGTTTATTCATGTCGATATTTGCATATTTTCATGCTGACTTAAGCTTCAAACTATCATTTACAAGATAAATCAAAAATCTTTCTTTTCGATGAATGGAACTCTCAAAAATTTTTATAGGAGAAGCGATAATTAATTATTTAACATTTAAAATCAATTTAGAAAAAGAATATGATAAAGTATTGTCATCGAGCCACTCAACAGAAGAAATTCATTAAAGAAACTAATAAAACATTTGTCAATGATCTCAATTTCCATTCATAGTATAAATAAGCCTGCTTAAAGCAGTTGTAAGCCTTCCCTAGTGAATGAGATGAAAACCCGATTTCATAAACACGAGTGCCTACATCTTCCTGTTGATTTACATTTTTACTCCATCAATTTCGCTTCCCACAGACGTATAATCATCAAATTATGGATCAAACCGAAAGAACTGTGTGTGAGGTTGACACGCGCTTCTTATTCGCTTCTCCGTGTGTCATTGAGAACAATGATTGCTCCAGCCACAATAAACCGTAAATTTCAATTTACTCAAGTGACAACAGTCAACAATACGACGACACTTTGTACTCCGCATTCATGAATGAAAATTGTTGTTAGATTGGATAAATGTGAACGGCATGGCACCATCCCTGCAAGTGAATATCAACGAACAACGAAATTCTTTCAATCCACAAACTTTTTTGGTGACTAAGGATTTTTTTCTGGTCTTATCAGGAAAAGAAATTCGATGAGTCACTTTATGACATTCAAAATTACTTTAAAAGTCGAGCTGGGTAAAGGCAAGACATGGAATAAAGTTCGACATCATTATTATGCATATTGGCAATCAAAAAACCTGTTCAATTGATTCGTGAGGAAGTAAAATGGAGTAACGTTGTCAATCAACCCAAACAGAAGACCAAAATAAATAAAAACAGTTTGTAACAGTTGTTAAAGTTTAAGATGAAGTTCTGAAATGTTCTTATGACTTTTTTGAGAAAACAGATTTCGAAAGAAACATTTTAATTATGACCATATTAAGCTCACGCAATGTGAAACAAAGGAAGAGAAACGTGAAATGTTTTCAAGATGTTGTCAGTTGCTTATTATAAAAAGTCATTTATTGTGGAAGTTTGAAAAGCAGAGAAATTTTAAATGGAAATCATTGTTATTTGTATAAAAAGTTGAAGTTTCTCATTCAAGAAATGATATCTTGACTTAAATGAATCGTTCATGCCGTTCTGCGACTGTTCGCAATGAAATTAACTTAATAATCGTTAAACATCTTCACGTTAAAGTACCAAAAAAAATGTGTAATAAACATTTCTGCAGACATTGCGAATAAAGCTTTATAGATGTAAGTTCTTGTCCAAATTTCATGTTTTCATGTTCAATTTCCATGTAGGTAATATCATAAGCTCTCAAGGTGGGATAAATGGACAAAGAAGTTGATCCAACATAAAAGAAAGAAATAACTGAGAACGTGTTTGGAATGAAATATGAAGATTCCATTGAAAATAAACGATAAGGTATTTCCCAACAAATTTCTTCTTCTTGCGCAATAAAATATCATGATGCTGAAGATGGATAATCGATTGACGAAAAATAATAAAAAATATGTTTGCATGGGTAAAGATTCGTTCGCAATATCGATGTCAATAAAATAAATTCACCTAAGATCATAAGAAGGATGAAAAGCGTTTTTACCATCAACGAAAAAGAAAGATTAAGTTGAAGTTAGATATTGAGAGATGTTATGTACGATTAGGAATGATTATCCCTGAAACACGAATGAAAACGATAATATCTTGAGACGCAATTCAATATCACGAGCGCTTTTTGTATTCACATTGTTATTAGTTTCATGTAGATTTTGTAATGAATTCGCTTCTACGCTTTAAAACGCAAATTCAGCCTAAACAACATTTTACATTCAAAATAAACTAACACTCAATATAAGTCTCTATTGATTGATTCAATTTCATTTCCTTCCAATTAGCAAAATCTGATGAAGCTGTTTAAATATATTTTTCATTTCAATAGTTCAAGTAAATACCTTCTTGCCAGATTTGCTCGATTAATTTATCACTTTATTTGATTTTGTGTACTTTGTGTGAGAAAGAAGCTTTGAAACTTCAATAACTATCCCAGACGAAAATGTTTAACCATTCGACAATCAACAAGACAGAAGCGAGAATGAACATAATTTGTCTCAAATGTTCCGGAAAATAAGTTAAACATACTTTGGCATATATGGAAACAAAGAATGTCATTGGCTTTTATATTTGTAAGCAGATGATGGATTAATTTCATTCAGAAAAGGCAAGAACCTCAAATATGTTTTTTTCTTCAAACATTCCCATAAACTGCTCTCATTTTTCTTTCTTCCTCACTCCCTTGGAAATTTTAATTAAAAAGTGAACTACATAAATACTTTGCATGCGGAAAAGTTTAATTTTCTTTTTTTCCTGCTACATGATTCATTTTTCTGATAAGCTTTTGTAAAATTCTAGAACAGGAACAAGTAAACTTTGCGGTAATAAGCACAATTTAACTAACGTACAATTAACTGATGTCCTTCAACTGAATTGGAATTTTTAGTTCTACAATTCCTGCTTTACTATGCAAATTTTATGAAGACTTCTTTATGGTTATTGTTTTCTGTGGTTCCAATTTGAAACTGATGATTCTAAAATATATATAAATGTATCTAAGTTTGAAACAAAGCATAACTCAACCTGCGTCTTATTTTAGATTATGATTTAACTATTTTTCGTGGTTAAAATTTTAAGGCGACTGCTCTTATGACTCTTAAATGTTCTAAGAAAATTTTGTTTAGCAACTCAAATCCGGTAGAATTCCTGAAAAATCAAACTTCACATATCAAAAATTCTTCTTTAATGAACCTCATTATACTGTTGAAGATTCATGAGAAAATAAATTTTCCTATTCAAACAGCTTTCCTTGTTTCATTTGCAATTATGGCAATGATTCCGAAATGTTGTTTTTCTGGAATTTCATTGCATGAGTTTTCTGTTAATGTACCTGTCAGAGATTGACCAACATGTTGATTTATGAAAATATGTTTAGCTTGCTTCATTTGAGAATATTTAAAAAATTATGAATGATAGCGGAAATTTCTGCAAAAAAATTCTTATCAAGATAAAAAGAAAATAATAAAAAAGATTTTCCCATACCGGGAATCGAACCCGAGCCTCTTGGGTGAAAGCCAAGTATCCTAGCCACTAGACCATATGGGATATTATTGTGTGAAAGCTCATCTCGCCGATGGTCATTCGGATTACATATTTTCATATCTAATTTTAATTAAAATGATTAAAAAAGGTTTTCCCATACCGGGAATCGAACCCGAGCCTCTTGGGTGAAAGCCAAGTATCCTAGCCACTAGACCATATGGGATATTTTTGTGTGAAAGCTCCACTCGCCAATGGAATTTCAGATTTTCATTCGCAAGAAAATGTCTAAAAATAAAAATTCTTACGAAACTCATTATGAGATGGTTAAATCATTCAACAATTAGATAATTTCTCACGACTTCAATACAATTCACAAAAATTCTTCAAACCAGAAGAGAATCACATAAAATTCTCATTTCAAATCTCGCACGAGTCTCAAATTTTCGTGTTTATTAACATTTCTAAAAATAACACCAACAAGTTCCTCATAAACGATTTTTACTGCTCTTTTTGATCTCTGATTTGTCGCGTCGCCAAATGATTTATGCCAAAAAAGGGTCAAGATCACTTACGCTTCGCAGTAAAAAAAAAATTGTAAGTGCAAATGAAGGAAACATTTGTGATAAGAACTTTTGACATTAATAACGAACAAAGCGCAGATTTTTTTGAGATTTTTTTTCGTTTAATCAAGACTTGGCGAACGTAGAGTGGCGCCTAAAACTTTTTCTTCTTAGACAAAATTTTGTTTTCTTCCAAATTATGTTCTGATTTCATCAAACTTTTTTCTTCTTCTCGATGCCAATGTTTCAAAAAAAATTTTTTAATATTAATGAGTTTATAGAGTGTTTGATATGATGAAGAAATTGAATTTTTGGCACGTTATCGTTTGATTTAATTGCTAATAATTTAATGCTTGTTTATGTTATCAAAATTTTGATATTGGCAACAAAATTCAGCAAATTTTTAAAATAAATACGCTTTACGATTGATCGACAGCTTATTACTCCAGATAGGAATGAATGTTTACCAAGTAAAACCCTATCAATGATTCTTTTCCAAACACATTGTTTACTTTTGACAATGTAAATATGATATAAAGTAATTGCGTATGTTAAATAAAGTAATAAGATTTACAACGAGTATATACATTAAGATGGCTAAGGTGATAGGTTGAAAATTTATTTATCAAGTCTTAAAACTTGTTTACATAAATTGACATGAACGTAAGCGTTATGTGTGAGAAAATCTGATTTATCGTGGCACAAACAATTTTTACTCAATTCATAACTGCTTGAGCTCTTAAAATGGAAACGTAATTTTACTTTTGTGGGCGATACTTTACCAACCCATTTCTTAGCGTTTTGAATTCAACATATCTGTTTGCGTTGTGAAATAAATCATTTCTTTTCATTTATTTCTTTATGGTTTATTAACGTTTGATTAGCTTTTATATTCAGTTGTAAAATGAGAAAGAAAAATACAAACATGAATCGTGTCGCCTTTGAGTCTCTTGAATGGAGAATTTTATGTCGTTAAAATGTTCATCAACGGCAGACTGGGCATATTGACGAAAAGATTAGATTCGCCAGTATTGAGAAAGACGCTGATTCATCAGTTACTTTTATGCTATGTCGCTTTTTGCAACAGCTTACATATTTTTTTAATGTCATGTTGCTTTTTTGACTTGTCGTATAAGAATTGTTAAATTACCATAAATGAAAGTTTCGTCAAAAAAATTTTTTTTTGTTCACCTCATGTTTTTTAATTCAATAAATCATTCATTGCTGAAAGGTTTTCAGCTACAAGGAAAATAATAATCGTTAACCTCCTTAAACTAGAACAAATTTCCATGTCAACTTTCATCCGGATTTTCCGACCATTATAAATTATGAGGAAAACGAAGAAGAAGAAATTTACGGTGCTCTAAATTTCTGTTTCAAGTCAAAAGATTATCCACAACAAATTGGCTTAAATTTATTCACATGTTTCAAGATGTTTTTTAATGTTTTCTTTCCTTGAAGTGGATACTTGTAAATATAACAAGCAATTATTATTTCTGAATTAATTCATTGGCAATAATTCTTTTTAAATGTTTTATGCACGAATTCAATTCACTTAAATTAAAAGTTTTAATTGAATTTATGTATTTATTATTTAATAATTGATCTTGACTAAAGTCAATTGAATGTATTGTTTAAATAAGAATTAAAGTTAAATCATGCGATGTAAAAGTCTGAATAATTAAATATTCTTTTAATTGAAACTGATTTCGTTGAGGTTCTTTTGAACTTCGCAATTACTTAACAAGTTTTCTTTTCATATCGACACATGTCATGTTAGAATATCAAAATAAAATTTTAGAGCGTCATAAAATGAAATGTCAACTGGCCAAAACAGTAGATCGTGTTTCATTCTACGCTTCATCAGTAAACTTGTGTTGCGCAAATTTAGCGAATTGTTGAAATTCCAATGAGTTCATTTGCTAAAAGTCTCTCTACACGTTGCTTTTACCATTATGTGCTTTACGAAATTCTCTGGTATCGTTAAATATTCTTCTTTGTTTTGCAATTAAAGGAAATTATAACCCTCAATGAATGTTTATGATTTCAGTCACAACAGCGAAAAATGTTCCTTAATAAACATGAAAATGATAAAGTTCTTAAAAGATCGTAAAAATGACGAAATTTCCACACGATCTCTCGAATGCACACATTGAAACGCTAAAATGTTCCTTTTTCTCTCTCTCTCCTTCTTTTGTTGCTTGTTTTATGTGACTTTAAAGTGTACATGAAATCATTAATCTTGATATTTTATTATTTTTCTTTTTCTCTTTTCACAGGAGATGCCGACATGGTGAATAAAACTTCAGCAATCAAAAAGTCTAAAGCATTTCGATGCTACCAGAGAGAAATAATTAATTGATCTGACACATTAAAGGACGGAAAGTTAAAGTGAATAAAAAGCTGATTTCAAGTGAATTATCTTTTTTTTTCGTGCTGCCAAAGGCGCTTACTAATTGAATGACACTCAAAAGAAGTCGCGGAGAGAAAAAATACGTTGAAGCATTTTAATAAATATCAATTTCTGTGATAGCGGAAAGAATAAACAAGCAAAGCAATCACCAATTGAGATAATGATTCGAAGCCACCTTCGCACATTGACCAGAAGCGCTTATTAATTAATTAAGCAATTTATCCGGAGGATAAACAATTCCATTAAGTCGCTGGCAGAAAATAAAAATTTAAATTAAAAATGCTAAACATGTGGACGACATTTAGTCAAATTTTCTTCAGTTTGTTTATAATTTTTGTGATATTAATTAATGTAAATGATGTTATCGTATCAGCCAATCATCAACGGCAAAATCAACGGAACCGTGGGAGAGTTAAAAAGAGTGGCTATGCTGGTTTATTCACACACGTTGATGGCGGTCCAGTACGTAACCCATATGTCCCTACATCCAAGGAAAGGAAACCTAACATAATTTTAATCCTAACTGACGATCAAGACGTTGAATTGGGATCATTAAATTTCATGCCAAGAACATTAAGATTGCTTCGTGATGCTGGAGCTGAATTTCGTCATGCGTACACATCAACGCCAATGTGTTGTCCAGCTAGATCTTCAATTTTGACAGGAATGTATGTGCACAATCATCAAGTGTTCACAAATAATGATAACTGTTCTAGTCCTCAATGGCAAGCGACACATGAGACACGCTCATTCTCAACGTACTTATCGAATGCTGGCTATCGAACGGGATATTTTGGGAAATATCTGAATAAATATAACGGATCATACATTCCACCAGGATGGAGAGAATGGGGTGGACTTATAATGAATTCAAAGTATTACAACTACAGCATCAATATGAACGGTCAAAAGATAAGGCACGGTTTCGATTATGCCAAAGATTACTATCCTGACTTGATTGCTAATGATTCTATAGCGTTTCTAAGACAGTCGAAGACACAAAATCACCGCAAGCCTGTCATGTTGACAATGAGTTTTCCATCTCCACATGGCCCTGAAGATTCCGCACCTCAGTACAGTCATTTATACTTTAACGTCACCACACATCAGTGAGTAAATTTATTTAAAAAGTTAATTAGATTTTATTTTTATTCAGTCCCACGGTGATCGTTTCATTTGTCTTGAATCAAGACATTCATTCCCTTGAGTGCAGTTTTCATTTAAAATCTCAATTTGAAATGAAACATGCGTGAAATTGGTGTTGAAATTATTCATTGTTAATTATTTAATTGATGAGGCATCAAACATTTGGTTTGTCATGACATGATTGTTTGTCTACATGTCTGATTGTCGATTTATTAAATCATGAAATAGAAAGATATTACAAAACATGAATGATTGTCATCAAATTGATTAATTGAACATTGAACAGCATCTATCAATTCAAATTATTGATGTAGAGAGTTTATTTGGTTTGAAATAGTTTTGGACATTCAAAGCGATAGAAACTTTTAGTTTAATGAAATTTCCTAACTTTCATGTTTCATGGAAATTGATTCCTGACCTTTTCATGTTTTAATTTTATTACCCAGAATATTAATGATTGAAGAGAGGCGAGAAATTAAATTCCTTTTCCTCATAAATTTCAAACTGAAAGGGTTGTTTAACTATGAGGGTTGTAACATGGAATGTTGCCCAATTTTTCACGGTCAGCAGAGGCAAAGTTTTGTGTTCCATTTGAATATTTTTATTGGCAATATTTTCCTTCAAGCAATGCCAAGATGACAATCTTAACAATGACAAATTTTGTGCCAATAAAAATAATGTTAACTTAATAATATTCAAGTTGGAAAAGTTTCTTGCCGCCGTCAATTTCAAACTCATAGGAAATTTATAAATATATCTTGAAACAGGTTATCGTGTTGAGTAACAAAAAAAATGAATTACATTAAATTTAATCTCCACTTGGCATCATCACTAATCACCGGAACACGACACAGAAGCAATAACTCTACGGCTTTCTCGTCCATATTCACATGATTTGATTATTGAAACTAATTCAGATTGGAACAGATTTCAAGGGATTAGTTTAACAGCTTTGTAATTTACTAATCTCCATAATGACTTTAGCGTGTTATGCTTCAAGCATTTTCATTAAGTTTATTTGAATTGATACGATAAAATTGAATATTAAGAAGAAATTCTCAAAATTTATATCTCGTGACACATGACTTACGATCCAGGTAGGAAAGTTCAAGACATTCTCAACTTTCTGTTTATAAATAGACATTCTTGAAATTTCAATGAACTCTGATAATGAATGAGCGTATTAGATAACTCTTTTTGCAAATTTTTAACTCTTTAATCATATTCTTTATTTTAAGCCTTCCCTTCCTAACAACTATTAAAAGCGTATGAAAAAAAAACAGTCACAAGCCTCTTAAAAAGATCTCCATCAGAAGTTTCATGACATAATACTCTTGTTTGATGATAGTTTGTTGAAAGCTCACATTAATTTAACTATAAAATATTAAAAAATGAAAAATGGCACTCACTACTTTAAAGCGGTATTTAAGAAGCGATTAAAAACCCAAACAGATTGAAAAATTTATTTTACGAACTTCTGAAGTAAGAAAAATATTTAAAATCATCTTTCAAAATGCTATTTATTTATTTTATTTCCTTGATAATGAATCTGCACGTAAAATATTTATTTTCTGTATAAATTAGCGTTGTTAAGAAATATTTCGCTAAACATTGTTTAAGTGCTTCACGATGGCTTCATTTAAAGTCTTTCCAAGTGTTTTCATTTTACAAAGAAGATCTGCGATGTCAACAGAATCAAATAAAAAAAACATCCTATGACATCATTATCGATTTAGAAACATCGACGAATATTTTCTTCTCCTCTTCTTCTTTATAATATTAAGAAGTTAAGTATGTAAATCTTCTTGTCTCATAAAAATCTAAGCTGTTAAAAAAAGCTGTAAAATTTATGAACAGGTGTATAAGAAGCAATTTGTTTTGCAAAACTTAACTCAAAGATTGATATTTAAGATGATTCTTTTTGCTCCTACTACATTTGATTAAAATATTTACGATAGATTTAAACTGAAGTTAGGAAAATATCAAAACAAAAATTTATGTCGATGAACGTTTTAACGAGCTTTCATTTATGAAAAATGTTCTTATCAACTTTGAAAAGTGAAGCTGTTCGGCTATAAGCAGACGTTGCGTAAATAAAATTTCTGCCGAAATAGCTCAGTTGGGAGAGCGTTAGACTGAAGATCTAAAGGTCCCCGGTTCAATCCCGGGTTTCGGCAATAAATATTTTTTTAATTTTTTTTATTTTTAATTATTTTTCAGCACGCCATCCTATGACTTTGCACCAAACCCTGACAAGCAATGGATCCTCCGAGTCACTCAAAAGATGGAACCAATTCACAGAAAGTTTACAGATCTTCTAATGACAAAACGACTACAAACACTGCAAAGTGTCGATGTTGCTGTTGAACGTGTTTATCAAGAACTTAAGAAACTGGGAGAATTGGACAACACTTACATATTTTATACTTCTGATCATGGCTACCATCTAGGTCAGTTTGGTTTAATAAAAGGAAAAAGTTTCGCTTTTGAATTTGATGTTCGCGTTCCATTCCTTTTACGTGGCCCCGGCATTGAAGCGGGAAGCTTGTAAGTTGACTTTTTCCTTTTAAGAGTTTATTGAATATTTATTTTATATCATAGAGTCGAAGAGATTGTTCAGAATGTTGATCTCGCACCGACATTTTTGGACATTGCTGGTGTACCAGTTCCACCACATATGGATGGGAAAAGTATTTTACCACTTGTCTTAAATCGTCATCGATCAATCAAATATAAATGGCCAGACACCTTCTTGATTGAAAGTTCTGGTCGTCGAGAAACTCCAGAACAGCTTGCTGAACAAAGAGCTAAGGAAGCAGCTGCCAAATACACTCAATTTCTCAACGAAAACAACAATAAAATGGAAATAAATCTTCCCGATAACAAAACCTTCGATAGAAATGGTCGTGAACATGATTTCAGTTCACATGAAATTGAAGACGATGAAGAAGAAATTTATGAAGATGATGAGTTTGATGACTCAGATTTTGAGGGTGAATTACAACGAGATCATCCCGGGAGAAGCAGACAACAAAGAGATGGTGAAAAATAAAAGAAAATTTTATTTATTTGAAAAGTTTTTTAAAGTTTTTTTTCTTTTAAATAAATTTCCAGTACATGCTGAACATCATCATCATCATCAACATCATAATAGCCAAATGGATAATAATCTGCCACCTTACCAATCGAAACTTGCGCGGTTAAATGTTGAGTGCGCTGACCCAGCACTTTTACAAGATTGCATCGGGGGACAGAAGTGGAAGTGCATAAATGAAGATGGTCGATGGCGTAAGCACAAATGCAAATTTCATCGCGAGGTACAGAATCATTTGGCTGAAGTCAACAAGTATTTGAGTGCGCAAAGTAAAAGAAATTGTGCATGCTTTACACCCGATGGTGTTGTTTACACCAAGATTAAGTCAGAACGTGACATCTTTCAACCCAAACAGAAGCGAACAGATCAACGACACAGACCACATTCTGGTCGTTATAAAAGAGAAACGCCGGAAAATGTTGATGAAATTTTCATCGATCATTTACCACCAGAATTTCTCGATTTACTTCGAATGGATGAAGTCGTTGAGAATCTGCAAAATACTTTAATGACCCAAAGCGAAACACAAATGGAACATTCAAGAAAGAAACGTGAGTCTGATTACATTACACAAACAATTGATGAACTCAATACAGTTCTGGGTTCAATTGAGAAAAAGTATGCGAATACATCCGCTAATGGTCCAGTTCAATGTTTTGTTGAGACGACGGGAAAAGTTAATTGCTCGACAATTGTTTACGAGAATGAAGAAGCATGGAAGCAAAATCGAATTCAAATTGATTTATTAATTAAAGTATTGAAGAATAAAATTACCCACTTGAAAGATATCAAACGACACTTGAAAGAGAATCGTCCAATGAACATGACTTTCGATGAAAATAATTACGAATACAGCAGTTCATCTCTTGAAGATCTTGAACATTCTGAAGAGGTTGAGCAATTTACGAAAGCTCCTAAAAGGAAGACAACAACAACAGCTACAACACAGCCGACTTCTTCTTCAACATCAATTCGAACATTAATTGGAGTTGAAAGAAGAAAGAAGCAAAAAAGTTCAACATCGACAACAACAACAACAACAGAAAAATCAACAACTGAAAGTGATCAAGTCGAAATTTCATCTATAATCGAAGATCTTCAAAAGACGTCAACCGAAGCTTCAACAACAAGAACACAAAGACCGAGAAATAGAACAAAACTGTTCCGATCTTCAACAATGAAGACAACGACAGAAGAAGCAACATCAAGTTCAACTTCTCTCGATTATGAAAGTTCATCAATCACATCGGAAAACCCGGAAATTTTCTCAAGCAGTGAATTTTCCGAGCTTCCAAGTTCAACAGAAGTTTTAAGCACAACTTCAACAAGCACAATGTCTATTCAAGAAATTTTCGATCCAAAGTCTGTTACAATTGACGCAACAATAATTGAACCAAAGCCACGACATCATAAACATCGTCAAAGTGTCATTGACAGCGTGAATCACAACAAAAACATTACAAGCGATCCTACGAAACCAAATCGAAATATCCCAGCTGATTGTTATTGCGAACCAGAATTTGAAAGGTAACAAAATTTGCAGAAATGTTTTTGAATTTCAAATTACCTAATTTTTCTTTTCTTCATCAGTCCGCCATCTTTTGAGAAAGAAATTGCAAAAGAAGCTCGAAAGAAGTTGAAAGAAGAACGTCAACGAAAGAAGGAACGAAAACGAAATAAGAAGACAAAACTTGAACGTGAATGCATCACACAAAAGATGAATTGCTTTCATCATGACAGTGATCATTGGCGAACAGACCCCATGTGGGATGACAAACCGTTTTGCTTCTGTATGAATGCGAACAACAACACTTACTCGTGTTTACGAACCATAAACCAAACTCACAATTACCTTTATTGCGAATTCACAACTGGCTTGATAACGTTCTACAATCTCAAGAAAGGTGGGAAATATTTTTCGGGAATTAAATTTAATTAACTTCAAGAGAAAAAAAATCTTTCAGATCCTTTTGAGACTCAAAACATGGAAGCGTCTTTGACACCACATGAGCGATCTTTCCTTCACGATACTCTCCAGCATATGAAGTCGTGCAAAGGTAAAAGTTGCATCTTACCGAGAAAGAATCATCTTCATGTTGGACAAGATGCTGATGAGACAGGAAATAATATTAATTCAGTTCCTTTCAGAGGCTCAAGAAGGCGACATGGTGAGATTTGTAGGAATTCAAAAAAGTTTTAAAAATATTTAAATGAATTTCATTCACAGGCAATGTTCACCAGTTTGACAATGATTCACTTCTTCTTGAAGGTTCACCAAAGAAGCGACAGAATAAGTAAGAAAAATTATTGGAAATTGATCCAATTATTGATTTTATATTTAATGTTGCATCACAAATAGATATGGTAAAAGAAGAACGTGGTATCAACAGCAACATCAACAGCAAATACCAAATTCTCAGCCTACAATAAAGCGCGCTCGAGTCAACAATCGACGATCGATTATAAGAGGATCAGATTTATATTGAGATTAATAATGAAAGCAGAGCTAACATAACAACGTCATGGAATGATCAATCAACCACAATTATCTGATCTCAATCGAAGAATCTTTGTTGAACTTTATTCGTGTTCCGCTTCTTTTCTTATTTTCTCTCGTTGCTTTTTATCTAAGAAAATAAACTTCCAATCAAACTGCCATTTAAGTTGAGAAGTTTGATTTGATTCGGGCAAAGTGATAAACTTTGTAAATATTTAATGCAATGTTTAATAATATAAAAATACTTCAAATGTGCGTAGTTTAAGTAGTGCTTGGAAATATTAATGAATCTCTCTTATCGATGCTCGATCTTAATTTGAAAAAGAACTTCAGAGACAACTGATGATGCTTTAATCGAAATATTAAAAATATTTATTAGAAGAAGAAATTAACTTTTGAACTTATTAAAAATATTAAAAGTTTATGATGAACCTCATTAGAATTGGAACTAATTGGACGCTAAAATTTCTTTAATTTTTTTATTATTTTAAAACTTTTCAGTTTTTTGTTTGTTTGTTGATTAAATTATTTTGAATTGAGATGATTAAATTTCAAAATTTCTTTTTAGTATTATTTTAATCCACTTTAAAAAATCTTGCAAAATTAAATAAAAATCTTAAACTTATAAAAAAATATTCGAGATAAAATTGAAAATAAAACAAGAAAAATATTTTAAGCTTAATTAAATTGAGTTTTAGTTAAATTAGAAAGTTCAATTACATTTTAGGTGTGAGTGACATTAAAAATATCCAAATTGACAAGACATTGTTGGCGTATTCTTTGATGTAAACACTCGAAGCGAACTCAACTTTACTGTCGAGATTTAAGTGAATTCCAGTGTTCTTGATGTCATTAACAATCGATGAAAGGTTTGTGTATTTGTTGTTGATTGTATAGCCAGTGATCTGGAAGGAAATTGATTTAAAATCTTTCAGGAAATTAAGAAATTTTTACCTTATAATTTACGTAAAGTGCTTTAAGCATCTCAGCATGATCGTCGAAGTCATTTTCGAAACAAACATCGTCCTCAAGCTTCTCCAATATTTGCTTGAGATTCTCACAAACATATCTTTAAAGAATTAAATTAAATTAAATTAAATTAACTACGATTTGCTTACCGATTCCAAATCGTTTTCTTATGTGAACGCCATGAATTAATTTTCTTAACAATTTTGGCTTGAATTGTTTGTTGAAGATCTTTGACATGAAACGATCTTTCATATCGAAACGTAACGTCATGAATGGTTTCTTTAGGAATGTCAACAACTTTTTGAAACATCGGTCGCCAATCGAAGCTTCTATTGACATCAAACTGCATCATGAAAATTCTCTGTTCACGTTGAATATTCGCCCACACATTGTATTGATTGACAAGACAAAAGCATGATGTCAATGGACAATAAACATCTTTGCTGCTGTATTTCTTTCCACTTGCTGGGTCAATGATGAAGAATTCGCTTGACTTTCTCATAAGAACATAACAACATTCACCACACGTGTTGCTTGAACCAAGAATTAGCCACGATGGATATCCAAGTTCTAAATAATAACAAGTAAGGAGAACTCCAAGATCTTTGTTCGATGACGTCATTAATCCCAAGATTTGCTAGAATAATTAAATTAAAACATTTCAATTTAATCTTTCAATGACAACTCACAGTGTTTGATAACCAAACGCCATTCAATCCACTGCAACAACTGTTTGAAGGACTCGCGTCATTTTGCAATGGAATTAATGAAACAAATCTTCTGATTTTAAATTCTGTCATTTCATCATTCTTATCGAAAGGAAACTTCAATGGATGCAACAGTCTTGTGATGCAAGCTCGCTTTCCTGTTAAAAGTGTAATTAAAGGACTCCATTTGGTGACACGTGATGGAAATTCAAGTTTAAGTTGTTCAAACCACATTTTGATTTGACGTTCAACAAGTTCAATTTCGATGCATTCGAGACCGTTTGACATCATTCGAGGGATTTCAGCGTTTGGTTCGAGACTGATAAATAAATTGATGTGAGTTTTCTTTGACATGTGAGGCAAACCTTCGGAATTATTTGTTTGATATCCTTGATCAGTTGCTGCGAAGGTTGGCTTCGTGTAGCCTAAAAGAACTGTTGGAATTGTCATTTCAAACATCCCTTCAATGCGTTGATTAGTGAAGATATGAGCGAGGGGAATTTTTAGCGATCCAAGCCATTTGCTTGAAATTCTTTGATAAACTTCTGTCACATTATCAACTAGATCTTCAACAACTTCATCGTAAAGATCTATTGAAAGAACTCGTTTGGTTGCATCAGATTTAAGATTGAAAGGAAGTTTCAGTTGTTCATTCCACATTGGATTTGTGCCTTCAGCTGATGATGTTCGACTTGAAAGATGATGATCTTTTAATGAGATTGTGACGAAAACATGTGGATGACTACTCATGGATTTAAATGGCATAAATTTACTTGCAGGTGCAGTTGCTGTGCTGCTTTTTCTCGATGATGTTTGAGTTAACTCTTCACTTCGAACTGGAATGTTTGTCGCTCGAACAACCATGACAACAATACTGAAACCTGCCAAGTCAGTGATCTTAACTGAAGCTCTTGAAGATGTTGATCGTCTTGTTGGCTTTAACGGACGTTTAGGTCCAAAGAACTCCAACATTGATGACAAAATCTCTCCAAATGAAGGACTTTCATCATGAATGAGAAGATTTTTATTCATCTTGTCACGATTTAAAATTTCGCAATGATTTGAAATCGTGTCGTAAACTTTCTTCAAATATTTACGTCCACGATAGCGTTGCAAATCGATGGGATCAGCAATTGATGAGTCGTCGATTATATTTCTGTCTTTATCTCGTTCAAGTTCAAGTTCTCTGTCTGATTGTGGAATGAATTTTTTGTCTTTGTAGCTTAAATCATTGTCGTGGCGAGCTCTAAGAAGATGAAACCTTTCAATTGAATTAAATTCTTCTTCCGTGCAAAAAGCGAGCTGATCTTCGTTTAATCGAAACATTTTTTCGTCATTTCCTTCACTCGACTTTCTAGCCAATTTCAAATCTTCATGTGATTCATTTTGAACAAATTTCACAAGATTTTCAGCGTCTGGATCTAATGGGTCGATTAGATTCGAGTCAAACCATTTCTTGATAACATCTTGCGAAACTAAATTTTCATTTCTTCCGATTGATTTCCTTAAAACTTTAGCATCGCCCCTTTCTTCACCATTTTCACCATTCGTCCATCCCATTTTGATTGAAATTCTTCCAGAAATATTTATCATTCTCTTGCTGCCATTCCTACGAAACGACGAAAATTTTGATTTTGAGTTTCTTCGCTCCAAACGTCTTGAAGAAAAATCGTAATCAACGTTTTCGTTGTCATTAAAGTTTTCATCGTCATCAGGCAATGGAAGAAGAATTTCAGAAAGCTTTCGATTTGTTGACTTCGATTCCATTATCTGCAAAGGAAATTTACTGAAAATTGTTAGAGAATTAAAAAATTTACGTTTACCAAAAGTTTAATTTTCTGAGGCAATTGTTTCGTGAGTTTCACAATAAAAGCTGATTGAATGATGATTGAAAAGTCCTCGTCAAGTTTACAATGCTTCGTGCTTCCGACAGTTTCGCCATCAATTTCCAACTCAATTCGATAAGCGTACTTTGAAATTTTCTTGACTTTTTGCTTTGGCTTTGATGATTTTTCACGAGAATTGTCAAAGATGTTTGACATGATGATTGTGATTTCTGGTTCGTTGAATGGAATATCCGCATAAGTTTCATTTAATCGAGCGACAATTTTATCAACGTCAGGTTTCTTGGGTTTTTTAAAAGGTTCACCAACCTCGTTGATCAATTCTGATTCATTCCTCACAAGTTCTTTGTACTTTTGTTTCATCATACGATAAGCGTCGAACTCTTCAGCGACAATTTCCTTGAGTTCTGTGTCATAACATTCCTGCCATTCAGCTTTCCTAGCCACTTCGTCAACTTCTGTCTTTTGAATCTTAAGCGTGATGCTTGTAAATGAAGAGGATTGTTGAGTTCGAATGTTTTTCAATTTCTTCCAATGCTCGAGTAAGCTTTTCACAACTAAATGATCATATTTCTCTTCAACATGAAGTTTCTGACGAACTGATTTGATTTGATGATTCAAAGAAATTTCTTCACTCTTTATTGATTTGTTGGATTTAACTTCAGAGTCAACGTTGGGATAATTTTGAGATTTTTCTTCTCGAAGATTATTCAATTTGTTTCGTAAACTTCCAACAATGTCCAACTTCTTTCTACGATCATATTCAATGAAAAGTTTTTCAACAATCTTCGCTACATGATGTTCACTACTGAAGAGATTATGTTGATCAAATGTCAAATGTGAAATGAAAATTTTCAAAAATCTCTTCTCGTCGATGATGTTGTCAAATGAATCGAAATTCATGGGTTTGGGTGGAACAAAGATTGGCGTAAACTGCTTATCGCTAACCAATCTGTAAATGTCATCATCGAAAAGCTTTTGAAAGTTTTTTAAATCACCAGAACCGTCGATTAATTCTGTACTTGCGCTTTCTTGTAAGCGATCTAAAAGAAGAAGTTTGTTTGACGTTTTCTCAATCTTTGGAGGTCCAGGGACATAAAATCCTTCAGTTTTCTGATAACTTATGACATTTTCTTCATCTAGTGGCATTGGATCAACAATATTTGAGTTAGGGTGGAAGAGAAGTTCATATTCGTCGTAGGAAATTCTTTGCAATTCAAACTTTTCAATAATCGGATCAAAATCGTGACCTAAGTAAGTTGACGCAAGATGAGTGTTTGGTGATTCATTCGATGGTGCTTCAGATTTCTCTGAAATTACTTCATCGTCTTGGTCACCGATTTCTTCATCGTCTCGTTGATTATTCGATGCAAAATTTGACACAATATGTTGAACTGATGAAAAAGGATCACAAAAGAAATCAAATTCTTGTTGTAATTGCGTTTCGTAATCGTCATCGTGAATTTTATTTTCATTACGTAACTTTAACGATTTCTCAACTTGAATATCTTCTTGCAAATATTTTTCGCTTATTTTCTGTGTCACATCCGTTTTCTTCTGACTGTTTGATATCAATTTCTTTTTATTATTTCGTATTTTTTTAATCTTTTCTTTCTGCTTCAATTTTTTATCGTTCGACATTTTTTCTTGTTTGTTTATGAATGTTTAAGTGCATGGCAACGGCTGGAAGTTTAACGAATTTCGTTGCTATGACAATGCAAAGCACAGCTGTTCATGGAATTGGAATAAATGCAACAGGTGATCATAAACATAAAAAACGTTCTGATATTTTTATGTTCTTTTATTGATTTAATGAATGGTGTTCGCTTAACATTATTTGCGAAACTGATCACATGAATTTTTATTTTCCTTCCAATTATGATTAAGATTATCAATGTTCAACAGCAATTAAATTTACCTTCTCTTAGACATTCTTCAACATTAATAGATATTTTCATCTTGTAGATTATCTTTCATCTTAATACTATTTTTAAGGATAATGCTTCTGATTCGTACATTGATCATCATCAAGCGGTGTAAATATTGATCGACATAAATAGAATTTATGTTAATATTTTTCATTCAAATCCCATAGAGAGTTTAGTCATGTTAAGCTAATAAATGTATCCTTGTAAGTTTTATAACTCCAAAAATATCAACAAAAAGAATAAAAGTCCTCTAAAATATTTGATTCCTTGTACCATCTCTGAAAAAAGCTTCAAAGATTTTTTTGGAATGATATGTATGAGTTAAGGGCGCCATAAATTAATTTCATAGGAGTTTTGTTATGCTGCTAGGCAATATTTTTGTTTTTATCTTTATTTGGACGCTTCACATAAATTTTTTTAATATTTGCTGACAAAATTTCACGTCCAAAGCTAGAAATATTTTAACATCAGTATTTTATGTAGGTATTCATGCAAGCTCTGAAAACTTTCTTAAATAATATTTTAAAACGAGTTTCTTAAAAGATTTTTGTTGCATTTCGAGATTTATTTTGTTGTTTGTCACTTTTAATGTTCAATCTTCAAAGCTTTTCTGAATGAATTTGTGCAGAGTAAATTATTTGATCACAACTGATTAATGTTCGATTCGGTAACGAAAGAAACTTTGTTGCTGCTTTTTTCACTATAATTAATCACAAAATAGAGTTTTGATGAGCTCCGATTGAATTGTCATTGACAAATCACAACGGTTTGGAGTTATTGGTTTATTACATTATTAATTCTATGCCATTATTGTGTGGTTTATTACGAAAATGCGGATTATTTTATGGTTTTGTAAGCTTTGAATGATTGAACATTTCAAAGAACATTTCGATGATTTTTCATGTCAATCTCTACTGATTCATTTGATTAATGTTTTCGTTTAAATTTCAATTAAAAAGTAAAGGTTAAAAAAACTTAAAAGTTAACTTAATTAAAATTTTCTTTTTCCAAAAATGAGCTTTGTTCTAAAATTAAATTTAAATTTAAATTTTTTATCGTCAAATGCTTCTTTCATATTCATGTGGAACAATGCATTGTGACTTATTATCTAAGCTAAAGATTAAATAAGTAGACTTAAAATTTGTAAAGTAAAATATGCAACATCAGAACAGAAGACATTGGAATAAAAGCTTTTTAAGGTCGATTTGCAAAAAGTTGATCAACAATTGCTTCATCAGCAAGTGTTGAAATATCACCGACATCGCGGTCATTCACAGCTACCTTACGAAGTACTCGTCGCATTATTTTACCAGAGCGAGTTTTAGGTAAACCAGGAGCATTTTGAATCACGTCTGGTTGAGCAAAGGGACCTGAAAATTTATTTTTAAGTTAAAATGAATAATTAAACAATTATAAAGTCACCAACCTATTCTCTCACGAACTAAAACTTTAAGTTCATCAACGAGCTTCTTATCGAATACTTCATTTTGGTTAGGCGTTATGAAGCAGTAGAGACATTCACCTTTGACTGGATGTGGGCGGGAAACAACAGCAGCTTCTGATACTCTTGTATGTTCTGTAAGCACAGCTTCAACTTCAGCAGTTGACATCAAATGACCAGAGACATTCAACATGTCATCAACTCTTCCCGTGATCCACAAATAACCATCAGCATCACGTCGTGCACCTTGAAAATATTCCAAGGTTCAAATCTTAAGAAATTTAATAAATTTTGTCACTTCTTACCATCACCCGTACAATAATATCCAGGAAACTTTGAAAAATATGTGGACTCAAATCTTTTGTGATCATTATAAACTGTTCTCATCATTCCTGGCCATGGTTGTGAAAAAACAAGATAACCCTCGCCTTCACCCTGAATTTCCTTCCCACCTTCATCAAGTAACATCGGCTTCACTCCAAAGAATGGAAACGACTGAAAGTAATTAAATGGAATTCAAAAACTGATTCATAATAGAAATTTCTTTACTTACAGCTGAACCTGGTTTCATTGGAGTTGCACCTGGCAACGGCGTGATGACGTGACCACCAGTTTCAGTCTGCCAGAATGTGTCGACAATTGAACAACGTTCCTTGCCTACAATTTTATAGTACCAAAGCCATGCTTCTGGGTTGATTGGTTCACCAACACTTCCCAACACTCTGAAAGAATTTTTAATGAACTTTGATTGAAATAAAATTTATAATGAAACTCACTTCAAAGTTTCCAAGCTATGCTTCAAAACTGGAGAATCTCCAAATTTCATCAGTGATCTGATTGCCGTTGGTGCTGTGTAAAATTGGCTGACTTTATATTTGTCAATAACTGCCCAATATCGATCATTGTCAGGATAAAATGGCGTTCCTTCAAACTTATAAAAGATTTAATTAATTTTCTTCATATTTAAGTTGGAAAAATTTCTCACCATGACAGATGTAGCGCCATTAGCTAAAGGTCCATACAATACATAAGTATGTCCAGTGATCCAACCAATATCAGCAGTGCACCAATAAACATCGTTGGGTTTATAGTCGAAAACAATTTTGAATGTTGTGCTTGCATAGAGAAGATAACCACCGGTGGTGTGAAGAACGCCTTTAGGCTTTCCAGTTGATCCACTAGTGTAAAGCATGAAAAGTGGATCTTCAGCAGCAACCCATTCAGGATAGCAACTTGGTTCAGCATCTTCCATTTCATCGTGCCACCAGAAATCTCGGTCATCACGCATATCAACTGAGAAGTCATCGACGAGCTCTTCCTTTGGTGCTGTCACTCGTTTGATGTGTGACACGACGATACAAGTTTCGACATGATGACCAAGTTCCTCAGCTTTATCTAAAGCTTGATCACAAATCTTTTTTAAGTTTAAGAGTTTCTCGCCTCTCCAAGCACCATCAGCTGTTATCAATAACTTAGCTTTACAATCATTCATTCGTTCAGCTAATGAATCAGATGAGAAACCTGCAAACTGAGAAATCAATCATGAAACAAAAATTGCTTTCAAGTGTCACGAATTTTCAGGGTCATTTATGATCATATTTCGAATGAATTAACAATTAATAGAAAAAGAATGTTTGAAAATACTCGTTTTTTATATTCAGAATGTAAATTAATCTTAACTTACAACAATTGAATGAACTGCACCGATACGAGCACATGCAAGCATAGCGATTGGCAATTCCATGACCATTGGCATGTAGAATGAAACACGATCGCCTTTGTTAATTCCATGTTGCTTTAAAACATTAGCAAAGCGACAAACTTCTTCGAGTAGCTTGCGATATGTTAAACGACTGTAGTCATCTGGGTGGTTGCCTTCCCTGGGAAAAATAAACACAAAAAAATGAAGCTGGAAGTCAATTTAGATAATCTTATGTTCAATAAATTATCGTTTTATCAAGTCATTGTTGGATTACGTCGTTCGCCTTTAACCCTTTTTTTAATAATAATTAAGTAGTGCAATGACATACAAAATCGAACATAAAAGTACTTTTCACTGAGGTAAGCAAACAGGGTCATTAAAAAGCGAAAACAAAATGTGGGAAACCGAAAAATAAAACTCATTGATGATTCAATTGCTTGACAACTTGTGCTTTAAAGTAATCAACCTAAATCGCGTGATTGCCTTTGATAGAGCATGAAACACCGAAATAAAAATAGAAAATCTTTAACTGATAACAAACACCGGTGGTGATGGGAGTACATATAATTATTAACAAATCATCCGATGTTCGAGTCAAGTTAATCTTCGTTTGATTGTGTAATAAAAGTGAAACTTAAAATTTATTTGTAGGGGAACAAATTCGTTTTATGAATGAAATTGAAGGTCAAACTTTTTGCAATAAATCGTTAAAGTTTATATGTGAAGCTTTATCTTAGCTTATGGCAAACGGAACTAAATTCTCTAAGAATAATTAACTTTTAAGCATGCACATTAGCTTTAAAACGTTTTTCATGGAGTTGAATCAATTAAAATAATCAGAAAATTCTGTTGACTTAAATCTCAACATTAGTAAATCAGCAGACATTCAATTTGGCATTTAATCAATCTGTCGACAGTTCTTTACTTTTATGCAACATTTTTATGTGCATATCTAAACTTTATTCAGCATCAGAATGAACGATTGAGAGTTCGTTGTTACCCGATATCACCCTAGAAATTATTTATTGCAGACTGCATTTTAAAGAGAGTTCAATTCATACATTTACATTCTGGCAAAATCTTTTAACTAACTTTTTTTGTGTGATGAAAGAAGTTTACAAACTCATGAAAATATCTGACAACTTTTCAAACTGATCAATTCAGGCTAAAAGTTCATTTCATTATCATAATCATGTTTGTTTTGAATTGAAAGTTTTGATCCATACATGCGTAACAACAACAACAAAAAACTTTTTAATTGATTTTTATAAAGTCGAGGAAAACGTAAACAGATTAAATATTCTTTTTGATTAAAACTTTTTACTTTCTTCGATATACTTTTCACGTCCTTGAATTTCCTTACGAAATTTCCACGTTTTGTTGCTTTTGGAAAATGTCAATCAAATAAAACAAGTCAAGTTCATTTCTCAAATTTCACAAGCAGACGGATAAGCAAACAAATTAGAATTAAACGTTCATGGGAATTCCTTGTTCAATCAGCTGTTTCAGTTCATTCACCACCCTCAAAAGCTTTTTATGCTCATCATATTTATTAATTTATTTGACATTAAATATCAAAGGTAGACAGTTGCATAACATTCTGACAATTCGAAATCCTGGCGAGTGGGTGGAGGGAAAAGGACAGAAAATCGATTCTGTAATTGACTGAACAACTTTCCACCCACTCAACCGTGATTTTTCTTCTTTTTTCTTATCGAAAACTTAAAATCAAGAACATACCAAAAAAATGCAATTTTATCGCCATGTCCATTTTTAATGTTTCGATCCAATAAATTATAGCAAATGTTTGTTGAAGCACCTTCCATCCATTTAATGGAAATTGGGCCTTTGGAAATATCAAAATTAAATGAATTAAAGTTGCTGAGATCGTATGGAGTTTCCCAATGAAACTGTTTAGCGACATTTCCCCAAAAATTTTCAGGATGTTCGATGGACTCTTTATAAGATTCTTCATATTGTTGGAATGTTGATACATAGGCCGACCTTGCCAGCTTCTGATCAGGCTGGAAAATGCTTTTATCTGATGGCATCTTTTCTTTTTAAAGTTCTTTCAAATGCACTTGAAATTTTCTCTGCTTTTCACACAGGAAATTTATTGAATGTGGGAAGGAAAAGTTTAGCGAAAAATCAATAAATTTTCCACTTTCTTCACAATTTCTGTGCCTTCTACTTTTTAAATTTTCGAAATTTCTAATTAAATTTGACCTAAATAATCTATAAATTCTTTTCACAAAGGTGTTGGACAAAAAAGTAATCAACTTTTCAATTTTTTTTCTACAAACAAATAATTATTCTAATGAAAAATCGAATTTTCTATCTGTTCGGAGCTTGTCTCTTTAACGACCTAACACGAGCAACTGATTTCGTTGACTGAAGTCGTTTTATTCTTTTCTTTGTCTAATGTCATACACGTTGTCTGTCATGACTATACCACGACGATTCTGGTTGAGTTTGTGTTCGTTTATTAGAATGAGAGGATTAAGCAAGTTTATTCAGATCCCAAAGTACATCAGACAACTCTAGAACAAGTGCGCATGATTCAATTTATAAACTTGTATGTGTTCTTCATTTAAATTCTTATTTAATCGGGAAATTTCGTTTAACTACTCGGTTTAAAGAAAGCGCGTGATTCTTTCAAACCTGAATAACAATCATCGTTGGCCATGCGACGAAGGGTTTTTTACACTTTACGTGATTCATTTTATCCCAAAAATATTTTGTTAGTCTCACAACAATGATAAAAAAGTTCAAGGTTTTCTTGCAACCTTGAACTACTTAATTTCATTTCACTTCTCAGGTTCAGCATTTTGACAAGAATTTTGTTTGTAATGTCATCATTTCTCCTGGATAAAATATGAGACATTGAGATTTCATAACATCACCTAATGTTCTCGTCTTACTCATAGGCATGTTTTCTTGAATGAATTCGTTAATGTAGATCAGTTGATGTAATAAATCGAGACTTTTTTATTTAGCTCACATTAAGGTGATAAGCTATCACCCCGCGTTTCGTTAATTTATTTGTTCGGTGACTAATTACATTTCTCTGATAATGATAAACTCCGTTTCATTGAGATTCCTTTTGTAAACATAAGAAACATAAGTAATCATTCATTTAAATAAACATGTTTATTTCCGAGTTTAATGTCTGATTTTAATCCCGATTAGATTAAAGTAGGATTAAGATTAAGTCAAATGGATTAAAAATCTAAAGAAATTAGGACATTAATTAATGATGTTATCAATTTGACTGCAACAATTTACTGAATCATAAGATGAAGTTGTTATTGTTATTGTTATGAGTATGGAAAAGATTAAGAGAATTTAATTTTATTGTCTTTGAAACTTTATTTTTATTACTTTTTGAGATGATAAACACGACATTCAGAAAATGTTTAAACAAATCTAACTTTTTAAGTGAACTTGATTATAATTGAACAATTCTTGATTATTGAATGCATTATTAGTGCGCATCTGCTTTCAGAAATTCTTCGTATTGTGTCTCATTTAATAATTCATCTAATTCGCTTGGTTTTGCCAATTTGATCTTGAAGAGCCAGCCGTTTTCATAACATGAAGTGTTAATAAGACTTGGTGTGTCTTCAACAGCTGAATTTTTCTCTGTTACATCGCCACTTACCGGTGAATATATTTCACTTGCTGCTTTGACTGATTCTAAGGCTCCGCACTCGTCAGATTGACGAAAACTTGAGCCTACATCAGGCAATTGCGCATAAACCACATCTCCAAGAGCTTCTTGCGCGTAATTTGAGATTCCCACAGTTCCAATCTGTCCTTCAACCATCACCCATTCGTGTTTTTTTGTGAATTTGCGCTCTAAAATTATGTAAGTTTAACGACATGGGTTATCAATAAGAGACAAAGTTTAATGTCTCGTCTTATCATTTTCATACCTGCATAAAGTATTTGAGAACTGCTTAGACACCTGACATTGTTGAAAACATGTGAACTTATTTTAACTTTTCCGAGAAAATTTTTTGTTGACCGTAAAAGAACTTGACTGAAAATCATGTTCAAACAATTTGATTTAATATTTGGAGCACAATTTATTAATTATTTTACGAACAGCTTTTCGTTCAACTGTCTTAATACAAATGAATTAATGTGCTTAAGCGGATTTTAATTCTAATAAAATGAGAGAATTTTTTATAAACAAAAGTCAACTTTTTAGTATTGCCAGATGGGTTCGAAAACATTCCTTTGAATTATTTTCGAAAAAGATATTTAAATTATCCGTTAATTATCCTTGATAGATAAATTTGTAAACATTATCAAATTTCATTTACTCACTCCGAACTCCCTGAAATTCATTGAAGTTCTACAAATGACATCGCAATAATTTTTACGCGATACTCTCGCATTTTCAAGATGACCAGAAAGGTTATCAGCAACACATAGAGACGTACATCATTTATTCTCAACAATCGTAAAACGGTAGAACAACAAAAGTGATGGAATATACATTGCTATCAGCCTTATTTGATGTCACATGGTGATCTTCACTCTCTCTGCTGGGGATGTTGAAAAATGTGAAACATATTCATGAAATGATTGATAAGAAATCCTTTTCTTTCTGTTTTCGTTTGATTTATTTATTTCGTTTTTATTTTAAATGATTAAAAGAAATTGTCGCTTTTATACAAATACAAATGACGTCTTAATTTATTGGTATCTTGAACTTCTTAAATTAGAACGAATTGGTGGACGGGAATCAAAACTGTTTTGATTAGATGGTGTTTGAGTATAATTTCTGCTACTACGATTTTGAACTTGATCTCGACGTAAGACAACGCCACCACCATTAGCAGTTGTCATTCTTTTTTGAAAAGATTCATCAAGGTTTGAAGCGGATTTTGATCTAGTCATTGTTTGTTGTGGGACATAAGATTTTGGACGTTGTGCTCTAGGAATGTCTGTTGTCAAATAATTATACCACGGTAAATGTTGCATTGTGGGTCTTCAAATTAAAATAAATTAATTTATTATAACTTAAAAAAATATTCAAAACTCACTGCATTTCGTAGGCATTTATCGGCTGATTATTAAAGATTGGATGATTCTGAAGTTCATCGTTATCATTTTTGAACGCTTTGTTTGTCTCACCATGTGGTTGTACTTGTTGTATTCCACTCAATCGATTGTAATCAGAAATTTTAAATGTTTGAGTAAACAAATAAATGACTAAAAGAATGTTGATAAGCCAGAGAATATATCCACGCAATGCAATTGACGCCATCATTCCGGAAGTATTTTGTGCAGTGATAAGAATCAATTGTGATGCCGGTGCAAAGTTAAGTGAAAAGTCAAAACTGTGACTGAAGATTGTGTTGTAATCGTTTATAAAAAGAATGAAAAGCGCCAAGTCAATTATTGAAATCACGAGTGTGATAAAAATCCAAAGATATAAGAACACGTTAATGTATTTAATATTCGTTTTCTTGATGTCTGTAAAACACAAAAATAGAAACAAAAAAAAATACTAAGTTGTAAAATTCTTATCTTCACTCACTTGTAATCATCGTAACAGAGCTGAAAAGCCATAACAAATGAAGAGCGGCCACTACCCACATCCATATATTTACTGTTTGTGGTGTCATTAGATCCAAATCGCCAATAATTGTAAAATCGACTGTTGGCCAACCACTTGGCGTACAATCACCTTTTGATAATAATAACAAATTATTAAATTGCAACACAATATAAAAAAAAAACATTTCGATTACCTCTAAAGTACATTTGATAGATTGTCAATATCAAAACAGTTCCAAAATTAGCGGAAACATTAAAATTTATGTTGCAATAATATCCAAGAATCGCAAGAATACTCATTGTAAGCCATGCTAGTGATTGTGCCTAGAAAAAATGATTCATAATTATACGTCATTTCATATTATTGATGTGAAAAATCAATCACCGCAAAAATAAAAATAAATCAACGTGAAATGAGTAAAACAAAAATTCGAATAAACTTTTGATAACAAAAATCGTGCAGCGATTACAACAACAGAGAACTTTGCCGTTACCGACAAGAAATTACGTCTTTTTGTTTTAATAAATTTATGTATGTAAAATCGCCGAAAAAAAGTTATCAAAGATCCACTACTTGCAATGAAATGAAATATGATAAAATTAATCCTTATTTGATAACAGTTTCAGCATTCCTTTGTGGTGAAATAATATTTTACATCATTTAGTCAGTCTTACCAATCCTAAAATTCCTGCTAGAATTGCAAGGAATCGCAAATATTTATAAGATGGAAAAGGAACTGTGATTTCCATGTCTAACAACTAATTATTGTTGTAATGGATCGTTTTTCGAATGAACTTGGAATGTCAAATTAAAGAAGCCCTAAACTTCTGTTTATGATGTCCTATCAATAACTGATTCGTATTTCAATAAAAAGAACATTTTATCAAACCCATTTTTTACTTTTACAAGCACCAATTTCTTATCATAATATTTTTTGGCGACAATACACATGCGATGTCATATCATTATTGATAAGAGTTCGATGATGATAAATACTTTCGAAAATAAATGTTGAACGTTAATTGCATTTCGAATGTAAACAAGTCATTAGCACTTTATTGATTTGATCAAGGTTTTGTTAACATCATCGATAACGTCATCAGATAGAAGATTTTAATTAAATAATATCAGAACTAATACAATTAAATTTGCTATACTTTATCCAAAAAATGAGTAGTCATGCTTCATTAGCCGGCGTAACATTCGCAACCGTTGATCAGATCAGATGTATTGAATTCTTCTTTTTTATGACGTAGAAGAAATTCACCTTCGGTCATCATTGAAGTCTCGCTCATTTCGCCAATGATATTTTTCTTCGCAACTAATAAGCATGTCATTAAAATTAAGATTACATTATAAGGCTTAAGCAGAAATCATTTTTAATGGATCGGGGAAAAAACTGTTTACGAATAGTTTAGATCGAAAGAAATAATAATTATTTCAGTCTTTGACACGATCTTGAACTGAGAAGAAGTTTGAATTTTAATTTGAAAATGAAGTTAGCAATTTTAGTATTTTGTGTGACGCTTTGTTCGACTCAAGGTAGACTTGAAAGAGAATTTATTGAGATGAGTTTTAATATATAAATTGGAATCTTTCAGCTTTCTTTTGGTGGCCTGTTCGGTATCGATTTTATTATAATGTGGCGAAAGTTGCCCCCGCACCACTCCCGCCTCCACCTCCGCCCACACAATGCAAGTATTTTGTTATATCGTCATAACTGAAGATTAATTAATTATTGCTTATCACAGATGTTTATGTGAAACAAGCAGTTCCTGTTGTGTCAGTACCTGCAGTTCCTGCTTTGAGTTTCCGTGCTAATTGGTCTTATCAACCTTGGGTTCCAACTTTCCACACTGCAAATGTTGCAGTTCAAGCATCTAAAACCAAAGGCTTTGCAGCGTCTGCAGATGCTGTTGGTGTTGTAGAACACGACGCGAAGACTGATGATGATGGTTTCGATGACGCAAAGTAACGCGAAGCTTCTTGATTGATGAATCAACATCAAATATCTTTTTGAAACTTTGAAAAGCTGGAATTTTTTAAACAATGTTTTAATAAGAAATAAAAATTTGTTAATAAGAAAAACGATGAAAACTTTTTTACATATCTAGGTACTTGATTAAAAAACTTTTAAATTTTTTAAGAAAGTTACTGAAGATTGAAGTTTCATATTGAATGACAAAGTTTCACAGTAAAGCTCGTGATGATTTCTGAAACAAGCTTTAGAACATTTGTAAAGTTTTTTCAATTAAATATAGAAATTGTTGCTTTTGAAGATTTTACTACAAACCCAAGACTGTCAGTTTTTAATTATTTTAATTTTTATTACGTGAAATCTCCACTTAAATCACTAAAATAAATTACAATGCTTAAATTTTAATTAAATATCTTTGTAAAATGTGATTTTTTTTATTTCAACAAATTAAATTTTAAATAAGGAAAAAAATGTTTAACAACAACAAAATATTTCTGTCTAATTGGCACCTCGTTTCGGAAGAATTAATTAATTATCTTTGATCGTGACGACTCCAGGAGCCATCACCATCGGTATCATTCAGGTTGATTCTTTTCGATTTCGGGAAATGAAGCGTGTAATCAGGAATTGGAACTGGCGGAAGTTCTTCGTCTTCTTTAAGTTCAGTAAAAGCTTTTTTTGGAACATCATCACGAGCTTTAAAATAACTCCACGGTAGTTGACCTCGCAGTTCTTCAGCTACGTTCGAACTATTTCTATCAACTTTCGCTGACAATCGATTTTCAGGTCGTTCATCGATAGAAGAACTATTTTGGAACGAATGTCGATTATGCTTTGGTGGTTTCGGTGGAACTTTCGGTCTTTGTTTTACTTCACTCACACTTCGATTAATTTCCGGTAAGACACGAATCGGAACTAGCGATTGTTGCTTTTCGGAAATATTTTCGTCTTTCAGTGGTTCAACTGAACGAATAACGACACCATTTGTGGAAGTGTAATGACTTAATCGACTCTCAATTTCTCTATCATTATAATCATCTCTTCTTCCATTTTGTTGAGATGTTGGTCGGTCGTTGTTGTAATTAACTGGAATCACAAGAGTGTTTGGTCTTGGAATTGAATGTTGCTTATGTTCATCTTGAGTCGTTCTTTCTCTTCTGTTATAGGCGGCATTCCGATCAGGATAAACGAAAGCTTGAACAGCTGTGTCATTATAACGATCTGTTGATTCAGCTCTTTGTGGAGTATTCTCTCGAATTGTTGTTTGCATAGCTTGCTCATTCATAAATTGCTGTTGTTGTGTCTGTTGCTTCTGTGCAGCAATATTCATTTGAGAGTCTTCAAATCCTGGATTAGCTCGACTCATATTTGACGAGTAATGACGAATTGTTTCGTCAAGATATTTATGATAAGTTGATGCAGCCCATCCAGCTCTCGTTGCAACAGCAATTACTATGACATCGACGATTAAAAAGATGAAAAACTTTGCTGTCACTAAGAACATGATGATGGGTGGTAGGAATTTCCATTGAGCTGGTAATTCTTGAAGAACGGGACCGACAATAGTTGGATTTCCAATCTCCAAAAGTTCCATTAAACCTTCAACACTCTAAAATCAAAAGTCTTACTTTTCTTCATTAATCAATTGATTTAGTTCTTACTCACCCCCACTGCCACTACATCCATGATGTAGTAAACTGTAGCAACAATATCCATCACAACAATCGAAGTGCAAACAAAAAGCCAAGGCACGAAGAACATCGGAAAACTTCTCCTTCCCAAGCATGAATTGTTGATGCCCAAAAGTGAATAAAGTGCTGTGAAAATCAAAGCTCCATGTAAACAAATGTAAACGATTACAAAAATGAATGTTCGATATGTTGCATCGGTTTCAGGTGGAATTATTGCAGTGACGGTTGATTCTAATCCCAAGTTACTCCAATTAATTATTCCTTTGCATTCGTCAACTAAAATTAAAGAATTTTAATAAATAGAAAATTCTTAAAAATTGTTTAAACTCACTTCGGAAGTAGAGGAGGAACATCATATACACCAAAGGACTTGAATCCATATCAATAGTACAATTTCTTACTAATATCGCTAACACAGTCATCCCAACAAAAATTGTTCCAAATATCTGAAATTATGAAACCAAAATGTTATCAAAATGTAAATTTAATTAAATAAATATAAAAAGGGTTCAAGATATTGTTTTACATCAAACATAGCGCCGTCGTATGCTTTAAATTTTTATCTTACAAAATTGGGAAAAGAAGAAATAAAAGGAATTTTCATTGTTTTATGTCGCGGTTATCACATTTATGAAAAAAACATGATAAAGAAGTCAAATTATCGTTTCAACACATTTTTCGGTTGTTTCACTTTTATTTCCCCATTTTTTTGATGGATTTCACTACAAGTAAGACTTAATCAATCTCTTATAAAATTTATTACGCACAATTAGCTACAATCGAATGTAAGCATGTTGGTTATAATTTAAATGACTTTAAAAGTAAATTTATAATAAATAATTTTGAATTTCTTACCACTGAATACACGACAGCTGATGTGAGAATGCATTTGTAAGTTTTCGATTCCATTATTGATAAATTTATTCAGTGAAATAAACAAATAAATAAATCTTCGTTCTGTCCACACGAGCTAAAGTCTGAAATATGAAAAAATAAATGCGAAATAATTATCTCTCACTTGGTAATTTTTTTTATTATTCTAAAGCTGGGAGTTACTGAAGAAGCGATTTGACGAGGTTTTGTTCTTTGTTGGTGTGTAATAAGCCGCAATCATTGATAACACGACATTCAATATCACTTAATTGATAAAACTGGGACTTTTTTTTCGTTTTTTCTTAATCTTTTTTTGACCACTTAAAACGCTTCTCAAGTGTTTATTTCTAATGCAACTTTAACTTTTTTAAAAAGTCAACACATTGAAAGTCTCATGAATATTAGTCACTTAAACTATTAATAGCTTAGCCGCGATTAACTCAAGATAGCACGTCTTACATATGATTAGTTTAAACTTGTTCTATTGATACTTTAATACTATATTTAATTGCATGTTTAGATATGGAAGTCACAACCTAACGCTTGGCAGCTGATTTCAAACTACAAACAATAAAATATAAAAACACTTAAAATCTCACACAACTCATTGCATAATCAAAAGTTATATTCTAAACACAAATATTTTTCTCTTTTATTGTTGTTGTCTCTTATGACGTCATCTAAGTTTAAGTAATTATAATTTTTCATAAATTACAAACTTTAAAAAAAGTATTTTCAAACGACCTTTAAATACTTGAACTTTGCTTTTCGATTCTCCGTCAATCTGATGATAAATTATTACAATTTTTTAAACTCAAACATTTTTGTCTACTTCAAACTTCGCAGTTCGATAACTCACACACGACTAAACACAATGTTGAAGGAGAATCTTAGAAAGAAAAAATAACATTGACGTTTAGCCCTCGAAGTATCTCAACGATGAGATAAGATAAACGACTGATAAAGCGTGTGTAGCACAATAACAACCACTGATAATAAAATTCTTGTAAGGTGAATGTTTGAAATTATAAATGAGTTTCTCTTTTATTTATATCCATATAAGGGTTAGATGAACGTTGATAGGATGAAGATCGACCGAAACTTCTACTACTCCGTGGAGCTTCTTCAATTTGTTCTTGTCCCACTCTTAAATTAACGTCTTGCACATTATTTGATGTCGATCGAATTGAGTCTCTTCGAATTATTTTAATAAATTCTTCATTTTCTTGAGCGACTGTCCATGTCGCTGGTCCAATGACAATGGCAAGGTAAATGTTTAAAATCAGAAAAAGAAGACATTTTGAAGCTCCAGCAAACATTATCATCGATGGTAAACTTCTCGTTGACAAAGCAACATTTTCAAAAATCGGTCCAATAATTTCTGAATTTCTTATCTCCATAAGTGACATCAATCCGCTCACACGAAGTGTTAAAAAGTATTCAAATAAATAAAATCCAGACGATACCAAATCCATTATGATGATTGCGATGAAAATGATGATGAATGGCGCAAAATACAACCAAAAAGTCAGGTGTCGCGATTTTCCTATTCTTCTCATTCCAGCTGATTGAAATCACAAATTGTGATAAGAGATTACTTCATTCTTTTTATCACTAAATTACTCACCTAAACCTAAAATACATGTGATGACGAGAAGAATAGCGAGCAGTAAATAAAAGCCTGAAAAAATCAAAGTTCGCAAAACAGCATTTGTTTCAGATGGCATGACAGGTTGGACGGGAATATGTTGATTGATTCCGTCTAATCTGATCCAATCAATGCGACCGTCACAACGTTCAGTTCGATAGTAAATCAGATAGAGCATGTAAATCACCGAACTGCTTCTGAACTCAAACCCACATCCATAGGCGATTAGTGAAAATATTGACAGAATGATAAGAACGACTCCAAGAATCTGCAACATGGAAAAGTTCTTAAGTTGGAGAAGTTCTTGAACATTCCAATCAACTTACACCAGAATAAATCAAAATTGAATAAACTAATGCTCGTGATGAAGACTTCATTTTATTATTCTTCTTTTTAGCACTAAACAGCGAAACATTTGCTACGTAACTAAATGAATGAACGTTTTTGTTTGGATTTACAAACTTTGATATTGATTTCGTTGATAAAATAAAATTTCGAAAGAAATGTGAGAAATGAAAGATAAGATAAAATAATTAAAAGACTTTTGACTTTTTCTAAGTCAAAATAATTATCTTAATGGATGTAAAATTTATGATGAATTATTAATTAATTTCGAATTGAATTCCTTCTGTTGCCCATCATTTCAAAAATTTGTGATTGAGTTTGACTTCCTCGATTTGGATTTCGATTATCTCGTGTAACGACATTGGAATCGTTTATGATTATGATTCGATGCTTTGCTGATCTTGACATTTTTCGACCTCCAAGTAATCCACCGAAGAATGATAAAATGCTCAAGATGAGAAAGAGAATGAGTTTTGATGTTGCTGATAAAAGAATAATTGCTGGGTAAATTCGAACATTTCTAGTGATTGCTTGGAATTGAATAAGAAATAAATTAGGATTTCTAATTTCCAATGTCTCCATTAATCCTTGTGGCGTCTACATAAATGAAAAATTCATAATTTAATTGATCAATATATAAAAAAGAAATCTTACTGAATGCTGATAAATATCAAAGGAGTAGAATGAAAGTGCAGTAAAATCAAGAACAAGAGTTAAGAAGCTTACAACGACAAATGGCATCACAAGAATCCCAAAAAGAGAAGATCTGCTGAGACTTTGTTGCTTAATAGACACTAAGGAAGTTAAGAAATTAATTAAATGTTCCGCAATTTATAACAAAACTTACTTAAAAGCATGATTGAAGTGATGAGAAGCAAGCCATTTAATGTCACATAAGAAATTGCAAAGATAAATGTTCTGAATACTGCCGATGTCTCTTCAGGCATATTTGGTTGCTGTTGTATGTTGGGAACACCTAAGTTGGTCCATGAAATTGAACTTTCACATTCGGATGATCGAAAGTAGAGTAGAAACGTCATGTAAGATAACGGCGTGCTCAACATCGTTTCATAAAACATACAAAAATATGCGAGAATTGCTGAGATTGATAATGTTAGCATAATCATGCTGATAATCTTTTGGAAAAAGTTTCATTAAATTATTAATGTTTACTACAATTAAATATTCTTACGATTGAAAAAATTCCTGAGATTAAAATTATTACTTTTGAGGCTTCCATGATTTCACTTGTACGTTTTTAATGCGATTGACAAGAAGTTTGCAGTAACGCTTAGAATCAGAATTCCGCTTTCTATATTTCTGTAAAGCATTGATAAGATAACAAACAGTTAGATATACGATAAAAATTGAATTAAAGTGAATCATTGATAGGTAGGTGGGAAAATGATTCATAAATTTGCTTACTGAAAATAGTGAAATTACTTTTAAGAATTTGTTTACATTTTTTGAGCTTTAAAAACTTAAGGAATTACAACGAGGTTTGATATTAAAGGAAAGAAGAACAATTAGAAATATTTCCAGTCATCACATTTTCAGTCATGACATTTTCGGGTTCCCTCGACAAAATATAATTCATATCTATATGAACGTTTGTATTATCTAATTAGATTATCATTTTGTCATATTTATAGCACATATTGCATGAATGGTGCATATAACTTTTATTACTGTTGATTTCAATTACTTAGATTAGAATTCGAATTGTCAACCGGAACTATTTTAGCGAATCAACAACGCAAAAAAATCTTTGAAGTTATTTACAAGATTTTGAACTTTATTAAAACCACACACAAAACATAAAACATGTTAATATAATAACATAAATTTCAAAGTAAAATTATTTCAGAGATTTGCTGATCCATTTGCTTCTTCATCACATTTTTTCTTTTCATTTGTGATGAATTTAATTGCAAGTTTTCTTTTACTTCCATCAACAACTTCCCACCCAGTTAATGTAACAAAGAACAACACTACGATGTTTATGAAGATGCCAGCAATTCCTTTCAATGAAACATAAAGCATAATGTTTGGTGGAAGAGTTCGATATGAAGGATCAATTTGATCAATAACCGGACGAGCTTCTGCTCGATTTGTAATTTCTAACATTGTCATCGTTCCATCACTTGACTGAAAAATTTTGTTTTAAATTTTTATTACATATTTGTTAATTAAGCAACTCACATATGCTCTAAATCTGTCAATACTGAAGTACCACCCAGTGATCATATCAATGAAATTTGTTGCAAAGAAGATTAAACTTAAAGGTGCAAAATAAATCCAATAACTCCATCGGCGTGTCCCACACAACCAATTGTAACGTGTTGAGACTGTAAAAAGCAATTAAATTAAAAATATTTCACTAGATGAGATGTAATATTTACCCAACATTACTGTTGAAGTTATGACAAGCAAACAATTAACAGAAAGTTGAAGAACTGAGATGTGAAACGTCCGTGTGACTGATTCTGTCTCGTTTGGCATTTCGGGTTCAGTTAATGACGTCATGTTAACTCCTAAACTTGACCAATCTATAAATGGATCGCATAGATGCGAACGATAGTAAAACAGATGAAACATGTAACTGATTGGCGATTCTTTCATCGATTCTTGATATGTGCAATTGAAAGCTACGATTGAGAAAGTTGACAGCAATACCATAATGATTCCTATCACCTAAAATGATTAATTTAGTTTAAAAATTTATGTAAATTTATGTAAAATAACTGACCAATGTATAAAATCCCGATATGTATGCAATCAATCTTGAAGTTTTCATTTTTCTCATCAATTCACTCGAAAAATTTCTCGATACAAGTTTGAAAATAGCAAAATTTGATAGTTGAATGGCAAAAAATGCTCGAAAATTATTAAACAATTTTTGTTTTATCTTGCCAATGATAACGATTTTGATAAGATAACATATCAACATTAATCTTCTCAATCTTAATGGCCAAGATAATTCTAATGGAGTTTGAAAAAACATATTTAACGCAAATAATTAATTCATTGATGAATTGATAAGAGAAAGTTTGAAGAAAATTTATCGTTTTATTAAATCTTTTGTGTGACGACTAAAATATTTTAATCAGGAGTGTACACCGAATTTAATATTCCAACAACATGACTAATTTTCGATTTTCTTTGTTGTAAATAGTTCTCAATCCATGCTTTTTGTTTCTGATTGAATGAAACTATTGAAACGAGAATCGACATTAAAATCACATTAATAATTATCAGAAGAATTCCTTTCGAAGCAAAAAATGTCATGATTAATGATGGCATGAGACGTCTTTCAAATGGAATACTATCGAACATTGATCGAACTTCATTTGGGTTATGAATCTCAAGGAGTTCCATCAACCCGTCTGTTGACTTCAAAATAAGTGTTTAATAATAAATAAAAAAATTAACGCATGTTGTCAACGACTTACTGTAACTCTCAAGCAATCGATAATGAACATTGACATTGCCGAAAGGTCCAAAATTAAAACAGCAACAAAAGAAATGACGAAACCACAAAACGCTGTTTTGAATGTTTTTCCGCTTTGATTTTTCCTCATAGCAACTTTCAATGACGTGGGTGTTAAAATTAGTATCAACATGTCGCATCAACTATATCACTCACATAAACATGCAACAGCAAAAAGTGTCAACAAAGTATTTAGAATTATGTTGCTGATGGCAATAGCGAATGTTCTTGTCACGGCACTCGTTTGATCAGGCAATTCTACTTTTGCATCTAAAAGATCTTCGTCAAGCTCCAAAAGTTTCCAACTTATGCGTGGATTACAGTGTCTTGATCGAAAGTAAATTAAGAAAATGAGGTACGACAATGGATTTGATTGCATGATTGAGAACATGCAATTGTGTGCCATTATCGCCAACATCGAAAAAATGACCACAACCACTCCATGCATCTATTAAATAATCTTTTTAAAATGATTTCTTCAAACATTTTCAACAAAGCTCTCACCCAAAAGTATAAAGTTGTGAAAACAAAAAATAAATCAAACATTTCCATTGTCTACAAAAGCGAACTCAAACATTGTATGTTTAAAACTGAAATAAGTTTAAGTTTTGATGACTACAACGTTAGAAGTTTATCGTTAAATAGATAAAATTATTTTATTTGTGATAAGACATTAATGAACAAATATTTATAAAGATATATGTTGTTGATTTATAGCAAAGCTGTAAAACTTTTATTCCTGTATTAATTCCAAGATTCTTGATCCTTCAATAATTACAAATCAAATGACATGAGATTTAAATTAAATTTTAAATGGAAATTTTTGGGTCAATCAGACGCTTCCACGTCAGGGATTATCGTTGTCTCAATGATGTATTCAGCCGAGTCTTCAAAATCACCTTCGATGCGAGTCACTTTTACCTCGTTAACTATTTCATTGTCTTTGCTGTTGAAAGAAAAAGGAAAAGCTTCGTATGAATTCCAACTTTCTATTTCAATTTGAAAATTTCCATCATCAATGCTGTCACCAAATTTCAAAGTTTCATTTTTCAGTTCTTTCATCAGTTCTTGATTAATGGAGTTTGTGATCTGTTGCAATAGAAGGTTGGTGCTTATTTTAGGATATTCACTGTCACTCTTGTCATCTTCTGGTAAAGGAAATGCGAGCAACGATGAACAACTGATCATCACAAGAAAAATAATGAAAATCTATAAAATTGAAAAGTTTCATGTCACCACAAATTTCTTAACGTTTTAATTAAAAAAGTGAAACTTACATTCACAGCCTTCATCTTTTAATTGTTGATATCTTGATCGATAAAATATTAGCAACTTCTGTCTATCTTCACCTTGTTACATATCACAACTGAATTGAAAGCTTCTGAGTTGGCCTCCATTTATAGTGTTTATGTTTTACAATTGTTGAATTTTCTAATTAGTTGAAAGTGACGACGCGTTTCGTCATGAAACATCTGATAGATGTGTCAGATTTACCATGCTTGTGACATATCCAGTTTATTCCAAACTTAACCAATGTGCATTGTTTGAATGGCTAACACACATCCTGAGTTTTATGTGATAAATTTGAGAGCTTCGACTTTAATTTTCTTGACATGTGGAGAAGTTTAAATCATGAATTGTTGAAAAATTCAAATTTTAGCCTAAAATAAAAACAATAAATATAAAAAGCTGATGATTATAATAAAAATTACTGCAATGTACCTCAGTGCATCCCTAAATGAAGTTGCTGGCAACAAAATTGTCACCAGATCGTTTCATCATCATAACTCGTGACAACTCAACTACCCTTAAAATATTCTCAACAAAAAATGAAGCAATTTTAAACAACATAGCTCAGTAATGGCTCGGTTAAACTGAAATCAAAACATCAACAAGCGTGAGTAACTTTTTTCTCATTCAATTTCGAAGTAATGACATTTTAATGTTTTGTCATGTTACCGATACTGAGAATGACACAATCTCATTCAATTAGAGCATTGGTGCTAATCAATATTTATTTCAGATATAAAAAGACAAGACATCGCAAATGTAATTTCATTTTAAACTTGATAAACTAAGTGCAAAGTAATACTTGAAAGTGAATTTTTTCTTCTAGTTTTAGTCATTGAAAAATATTAAATTTTCCTTATTGCATAAGAATTTAAGTGAGAGGAAGAAAAATTATTAAACATGAACATGGAAGCAACAAAATATTTTACATTCATTATTTTAATAAGTTTTGGTGTTAATCTCATTGTGACTGGAGTACCTTTGGATAAAGCGGAAAATATTGATGAAGATCCTTCTATTGTCGAAGACGATGACAACTCAACAGCGCCGAACGGAACTCACAAAGAATTGTAAGTTTTAGAAGAAATTTTTTGTAGTGTGTGGTTAAATTAATGTGGCTTAGCAATCTTTCTAATTAGATATGTATTTAATTAACAAATCTGAACACTTTCCTTTCCTTTAAGATCCAAAAGATCCATGGCAAAAATTAAAAATGTATGAAGTAAGTAAAACTTAAAATCTATTGGAAACAAATTTCATGATGATTAAATCAACTTCTCTTAAAATTTCTCACGAAAATTGAAGAAAAAACTTTAAATTCTGATTGAAAAAGAAATTTTCTATTAAGATTTTTAAGAGTTTGAAAATAAAATAAAATTTTCCAATCCAAAGCAATCCATTTGGTGTCATCTGATAAACTTTCCTTTCCTAAATGTTTAACATGTAAGTAATCTTTCTTGTTTCTTCAAGTTTCAGTAATCTAACAAAATACTTTCCTTAACGATGTTCACAAAAGATGATCTAAACTAACATCACAAATCTTTCTTGAATGATTCAAAATTCTTTTTTCTACTGAATTTTAAGATATGTCATCAAAGCTGTAACATATGAAATTGGAATTTTAGCTGACGTGTCTGACAATGATACAACGACATTGAATGGAAGTGTTTCTCATCAACAAGTTGATTTTTCGTTTTACGATGGTGAAAGCAATGACAGTTACATCAATTTGGGAGATGTTCCCTTACCTGTACAAACAAATGTTTCTGGGGAAATCGTAACTGGAATCTCGCCAGTTCAGATCGGTGCTGTTCATAATGTTTCCGATATCTTGTCAGCCCTTCCATTCCATGGAACTATCGTAAACATCACAGAAGGCAAACCGTCCTATGTTAAGATTAGCCGACATAATCTTACAAATGGTCAAAATAATATTAAACTGAATAATGGAGATAACCTTTCTAATCCTATGTTATTTGAAGAAATTACCCCCAAATCATCAGTTAATGATGACCTGAAAAAAAATCACAATGAAACAGAAGAAAATGAACCAGAAAATTCTCCAATCTCTTCCTTTTTCACAAACTTGTTTTAATAATAGATTTTATTTTACACTTGTTAGCAATAAAATGTTTCATTTGAATTAAAGAAAAAAGTTTATGATGATTGATGTTATCAGCACTTAGTCGCTAATTAAAACATCATCCAAGCAAGGTGATGAAATGTTACGACAATTTTATTATCGTTTCGAATTTATTGATTTAAATTATTTGTCAATTTTCGTTTGGGATTCTTGAAAGGATTTTTCTAATTGACGTTCTTGTTCTGTTTCGTATACAACTGGACCCAAAGTAATGACTGACATCACAAACAGAAGGTAGGATGCTTCACAAGTAAATTGATAACTTGACCATAAAAATTTCCCAAGGCATCTCATTGGATTTCTTAAAAACGTTGGAATAATTTCAGACATCGCACAAATTCTCTCCCACAAAGTTTCATCGCAATTATTTTCCATTTTGAAATTTGGTTTTCAAATTTAACTTCGCTTCAAGTAAAATAAAAAATTTCTACTTAAAAATGGTTACTTGAATTGAGTTACATTAATGGTGGTAATAAATTAATCGAAAAATTATTATTAAAAGCAGGATGATGTCATCATACTTGGAAGCATTTTTTATATTTTCCTGTTCCAGAAACAAGTTATGATAAACAATTCTGCTAATCATTCAAATACAATATAAAAGTATTTTCTCTTGTTGGTAGACAAACATGAATGAAAGATTAATGTAACCTTGAATGGGAATTTGTAATAATCTAATCTTATTCACGCTTATAATATTAAAGAAGTATTCATTCAAACACACACACACATTCTGATTAAGAATTTAAGTGATTTAGTCTCCTGAAAATTTATCAAGGAATCTTAAATCTTAATCATTCAAATGAGAAAACACTAGAAATTTTTTATTTATTTTAGTCTCAAATTCCTTTTATTAACTTTTTCTTTTATTTGGGGTTTATTAAGATAATGCAAATTAAATTACAAAGTTCAAAACTTTCTCAACACAAGAATTTTCTGATATTGGGGATAAAAGATATTTTACTTTTAAACAGATTACTTTCTTAAGATTTGAATTGAGATAAATAAGATATTAAGTTTGAAAAGAAAATGAATTCCATAATTAAACATTTTTTATAATTTTTCACTTCCTGTTTTCTTCGCGATGATTTTTGATTTGATAATTTTTAAGACTAACTTATTAACTTCTGATACGCTACTGCATTTATTTTAATTCCTTTTTGTTTAATTACACTTTTAGATTCAATGATCGCTAATGATTTAAATTTCTTTTTTTTCTTCTGAAGTCTTATTACTATTTCTCATGAATTTTATTAGTTTTTTATTTACAGAAAAGTCTAAAGAGAACAACTGATCTTAAGATTAGCAAATGATAAATAAAGATTTTTAATAAGACATAAAGAAAAAAAATTCACATTGCTAACATGTTTTTTTATTCATTCTGATTTTGCAAAGGAAAAATTTTGAATTGGTTTAATATGCTTATCTAATTGGGAGTTATGCTTTCGCTGCCTGTAGTATATAAAGTCTAATATTTCACTTCATTGAATCATCTGCTGATAGTTGTTGTTTCAGCATGAACTCAATCTGTAAGAAATTTTTATTTTATTAATTTTATGAAACAAATATTTAGAATTTGTAACGGAAGATATTTGAATAATTATTTGTAATTAGGTAAAGTTTTTTGACCCTCATCCTTTGAAGAAAGTTGTAAACCCCTTTCGCCTTACAAAAATTTTGAATTAAATTTTTAACGTAAAAAGATTTGTCAAAATTATTTCCCATTACAGATCACAAACTCATCACTTACCTATTATGTGACTTTCAATATCATTAGATCGTTTTGTTGGTTGTGGAATAATGGTGATCTCATCGTTAATTCTTAGAGGCTTTAAAAGTGAATTTCCACTTGATGACGAACTCGATGTCGATGTTGAACTTTTGTTCTTATTATCTTTCTTAGCAACAGTGCTATGAGCTGAGTAGACGTGATTCTCGAATAGCTTGTACATTCCAAACGTAGCAGTACAAACCGTACATTTATAAGATAAATGGGCAGGTTTCAATGTCATGTTATGGTCACGTGATACATGATTAAGAAGTTTCCATTGGAATACCTGAAGAGATAAATTGAATAAATTTACTTTTTAAGAGAATAAAAAAATATCTTTCTTACCTTTCCACACACCGGACACCGTCCTGCATCTTTCCCATTGTTAGCTGCTTCTTGCATTGAACTTGTAACCAGCCCATGCGACCCTAAAAGATGACGTTCGAGACCTTGATCGGTGAAGAAACGATACTGACATTTTTGGCAATTCAATGGTGGTCGATTGTAGATCATCTTGGGATGAATCTGAATGAAATAAAGGAATTATTAGTTTCATCATTTAATGAATTTGTTTGGAAATGAGTTTTCTCACCTTAACTTTGTGAATCCATTGCATGTGATTACGCAACTGATCCAAATCTTTAATGTACCCGTCACATATTTCGCAAATAACAAATTGTGGCTTTGCACCACTTGCATTAGGACTCTGGCCTGGCTTTATGCCTGCCTGTGGTTGTTGTTGTCGTGGTAAAGGTGTAATTGAGATACTTGGAGTTGATCCTTTCTTCGATGAATTATTAGCGATGTTATTTGGCATAAACATTTGATTTCCAGCTACAGCGGCTGCGGGATTCAACATAGCAAGTTTCTGGGCCTAGGAATATGAAAGAAAAAAATATTTCAATTAACTTTCTTTTGGATTTATAAATTTGATGAGAACTCACAACGACCTGTTGCAGGAACTGAGTGTTAGCAGCCGCTAACGTTGCAGCAGCCAGTTGATAATTACTCTGTAGCAAGCTAGCATTCATTTTTGAATAATTTTGATCAGAATTACGAATTGGATTTGTATTCCTTTGTTGTTTTGTAACATTCTGTTGACGCCCACGCTTCATTGCCGCAGCTGCCATGACAGCGGTGTTGTTGCGTTGCAACGAGTTGATATTTGCAGCAACAGCATTTGCTTGAGCGACACGCTGTTGTTGCTGTAGTGCCATAGCCTGGAGATAAAAAGAAAAAGTCACGAATTGAAATTAGAATTTTAAACATTGAGCGAGTTTCAATGAAAACTTATAGAAAAAAAGTTTTACCTGATAAGCTGTTGCAGCACCGACAAGTCCATGTTTTGCTTTAATGCGAGGTATTTTTGCTGGTGGTTCCCAATCCATTGGTGGACACAAATTAACTTCTGGCTTATATTTTTTAGCACAGGCAGCTTCATGTCGTACCATTTTCGATTTCCCATTATCTTCAAATGGACAATTTGGACATTGATGATAACTTAACGGCTTTTCGAGACGTCCTTTGATGTTATGAATTGCTTCCATGTGATAAAGGATATCATGAACAGGTCTTGATTCGTACTCACAATAATTACATTTGTAAATGTTATTTTTAAAGTGTGGAATTTCGTAATGCTGTGACAAGACGAGTTCAGATTCAGTTTTAAATGGACAAAAGTCACAACGCTTCATCCTATGCTTAAATGGTGCGTTGTTTTCTTTCGACACTTCTAAGCTCTTTTGCAATGAATTGATAGCCATTTGTGTGACTGCTGATGGTGCTTTACCTTCTTTCTCACGTCGTCGTTTCTGTTGTCGAAGTAAATCACTTTGTACGTATTCTTGCACCATATTCACTCCAATAGTCATAAAGAATTTTCCGAGTGGACTTTCAAAGTACGAATCGTTCTTATTCTCGCCAATAATCGATTGACTTATTGTATCTGGACTGATGATATGAGTTTTAATGGATTCAATATCAGCATGAGATTCTTTGATAAGAACTTTCGTTCTCTTCTCACCATCTGATGCTTCATCATCTGTCGATGTGTTGTATTCATCCCAAGACTCATCACCATTTGTAACTCCTCGTCTACGTGATTTATTCTTATCTTTTGCTTTCTTATTTCGATCATCAATGTCGGAACTTTCAGTCGACTTTTGATTATTTAATTCCGACTCAGCGCCACTTGTTTCATCATCAACACGACGCTTTTCCGAATCTCGATGTGTAATTGTTTTGCTGATTTCATTCACAAGTGTCTTTAAACTGATTGTTGGTGGTTTCTCATAAATGTATGGAACGATGAAGGAAGGAGCCTCGAGAACGAACATATCGTCAGTGAGATTCGGAAGTAACGTAGCGTTTGATGACGACGATGATGATGATGTGACTTGCGTTGCAAATGGATTTAAAAGGGAATTTCCAGATTTTGTTGTAAGGTTCAAAGCTTGAGAAGTGCTTGAACTGGATGAACGATTATTAGTCATGGTTAAGTTGACGGGATAAGCAGATGATGCTGACGATGATGATGACGGTCGTGACAAGTCAACACTGGTGATTGTTGTTCCACTAAGTTTAATTCTTTTCGCTGGATTTGCATCCATTTCTAAAGGATCTTCAACGATCTCCTCAATGTCATCATCGAAGTCTGTCATTGCATGCATTGAACTTTTTCGCACACGTCTTGGCGAAGGCTCAACGCTTGTTGTTGCTGATACATCACTTCGCTTCTTACTCAAATCATCGATCATGATGCAGTCATCTTTCTCATCAGAATCGGAATGAATGCTTACTGGCTTGTCATCGTCATCATCGTCGATTTTACTATGATTTGTGCTTATTCCACCATTAGAAATTCCTTCGCTCTCACTCACAGCTGCTGATCGTTCAGCTGAACGAAACTTTGATGTTGAACTTGAATTTCCATCATCTTCCGTTCCAGAATCATCGTCAGATGAATCAGAAAGAACAACAGGATTTGTATCCATTTTATTATTGGAATCATCTGGAAGTTCTAAAGCATCTTTCTCTGAATCCATCGTCCCATCTTCACTTATCTCAGCAAGACCGGGAACTGTTATTTCTTCAGGCTTTGATATAACTTGATTATCTCCATTCACAATGTTATTTCCATCAATTACATTCTTGTCTTTGTTACCATTAGTTTCCGCAACAACTTCCGGCTCATTTTCTCCATCTTTTAATATTTTTTTATTATCAATGGGAGTTGTGTCAACTTCCATAACCTCATCTTGATCATCTACATGATTCCCATTTAATTCTCCGTTCATTTTCAATTGTGCTGCTTTAGGCTCTTCAGCCACTGTGTTTCCAACTTCGCCCATTTTTCTTTCCTCCCAGTAAGCCCGAATATATTGCAATCAAAATAAAGTTCTTAATATTTATTGATTCTGTAATTGAAAGGGAAGAATTTTAGAAAATGTGTTTGTTGTTGCTTCTCTATTTTTTTTAATTTCAAGTGAAAGTTAAATTCTAGGAAATTTCTATCGTTGATGTGAAGAGAGTGAGATCGGACGTGAAAAATTGATTCTTACTGAAAACATTTAAATCCTTTGCAAGTTGCAATGGAATAACAAAAAGGTTCCTACCAGACCAGCATCAATGTCATAACAATATCAACACTAACACAACTATAATTTATTTGTCTCCCTTAACCGCCCCTGTTGTTCTTGTTACATGAAGAAACTTCTGATAGCGAAAGGAAAATCAATATTTTCAGGAATCCAACAGTAAATTGTTCTGCTGCATGAACTTCTTTCCCCGAACTTAACAAGACAAGTGTGTGTGAGAGATAAAGATGGAAATTGAGATAGAGTGAGTGGGAGAGAGTTGAAGGGAGTTGATGAAAGACCCTCACCCCATTCCATTCCTGAATGATTGTCTCAATTCTAAATCAACGCTGGCAAGCTTTTTTTTTGTTGCTATGATTAGGGTTTAGAATCACAAACACCCACTCATAATATAGATCATAGTATGCTGTTGCTGAGCATGTATCTTATGTTTATACTTAATGGTTATTATTTCTACCTAATGGGAATTTCCGATTGACAATCTCTTCTTTTATATCTATGTATAACTTTCAATAACGTTGATAGAAATGATAAGAAAAATTAAATGAATTATCATCAATATCGAATGGAGAAAAATAAGCTGCATGTGCGAGTGTGAGTTCTCTTTGTCGCAAAATTAGAACGCCCGTCAACACTTTAAATTATTTAAGCCCGAAAAGTCGACGGGGCAACAACAACAATACAAAAAATCCATCGAATCATCAGCCATTATATAGACTCAAACACACACACACACAACTCGTACCTATAAGCCCGTCATCACAAACACATTTACAAGACATAGCTCAGTGAAGCCAGGCGCTGGCATGGAAAGCACAGAGTGGAAATATGAAAGGCGCCTTCCTTAATCTCACTGATGACTTATCATCATCATCATCATCACCATCATTATTATTCATCATGAAGTGATATAAAATTGACAAGTTTCGATGATGATGATGAGAAACGTCAGCAGATCGGAACGGAAATTCAGAACTCGTGGAAAAGTGTTGAAACTTTACAGTTATCAACAGTTATATATCAGCATGAGAAAATTCCCGTGAAACTATTTTTATTTCTTCTATTGCTTTCTTTATCAGCACAATGCTTACTTGCGATATCAAGTTCTATCATTGAATTTACTCAACTTCTCTTACATTAAAACATGTGACATGTCGTGAGCGAGATTTAGTGCATGAATCATCAACACGATCCCTTCACATTCTTCTCATCTTACAAAATGGTTACAAGATGATTCTCTTAGAAAAATCTTTGAAAAGCATGAGCCGGATGAGGGGGAAAGGCGTCCGCCGCCTTTTTTAAAAACTTAAGCATTACTGAAGAACGTGGAAGCAAAAGAGAATGGAAGAAATTGCTTGCCTGATGATGGCAATGGTTTTCTTCTTTGACGTTCCTCCATGGTTGTACTTTTCTTCTTTTTCACTTCACGAACATGAGAAAAGTAGTGAGATAGAAACTTTCGATCGGAAATTCACTCACTTTGTCTTAGAAATGACCAAATTTTATTCAACTTGATCGTTGTTACATCATAAGCATAATAATAGAAAGAGAACCATGTGAAAGATATTTAAAATGTTAATTACAATGATGACAGGTATTACTTGAAGTCTATTAGAATCTGAATATTATAACATTATTCTTTTAAACATCCGTCAAACAAAATCAACTTTCTTTCATTTTCAATTAATTTCCACGAAATAAATTTCTTAAACTTTTGTTTTGATCACATGCTCGCAAAAAGACTTGTATTAGTCGCTTAGAATTATTTAGTAAGTTAATATAGCGATAAAAACTTTAAAAACATTCACATTACATTCAACTTTTAGTTCATATACATTTTCACATTTCCTTTTTAATGTCTGCCAATTTTGTTCGAAATTATTTGATTTAATTTCAAGTTTTAAAGAATTTTCCCTTATATCAGCTGTTGAGAATCGAATGTGTTTCGTATAAGTATACGATGTGTATTAATACAATTCACAAATGCTCACAAATGAACTAAACCACATGCTAATGGTCCATTGGGCTTAAAGCCTGACCCCCTCAAGTTGAGTCGAATTAATCGCCATATTGGATTTTATTGAGAAAAGTACGTTCGCCCCGATGCGGAATCCCAACATTCGAAGCGCGCAAAGCAACAACAAGAAATTTCAATTTTTTTCTCTCGCATACACACAGCTGCCTTGCCGCCAAACACGAACACCATTAAATCTTGTGTAGTTACAAATCAGGGTTGTGAGTGGTTTAATTTTTTTATTTACTTTTTTCCAAATATTATTTTTCCTTAATTGAATTTATTTTCATTAAATTTTGTAATTTCGCATTTTTAGAAAAAAATTAGAAATTAACTTCATCATCTTTCAACAACCCTGATCACTCGTGTAAGTACACTGTACCGCTTTCTGGCACTAACACACACGTACATTCAGTATGATGCATGGTTTTTCTTTTTGACAAAAAAAATTTAATCATTTTTTGAAACCAACTTTTCACTGTCGAAAATCTCACTAATTAATCCAAATTATCGATTATTAACATTACCTAAACTTTATTTTACGATTAAAACTATTTTCACAACATTCGCGATACGATAGAAGTGAAATTTCTTCAAATTAAAAAATAATGTACTGATCCAAGTTGTTAGCTGAGCGGGCAGAATTGGACTGACGGAAAGCAACTGAAAAAGCAGAAGGAATGAGGGGAGAGAGAGAGAAAATGAAAAGATGGCGTCGGGTGCCCGGTGTTTGAGGGAACATCCGGCCCTGTTTATCAGTTAACAACAACAACATGACATCATTTTGATGTTAAGCCCCTTAACGGCTCTGTGTTTATTGTGTGGAAATTATGTGAACTTAGAAAGGATGTTGGGATTTTAATATCGCAACTAAGATTTTTAATGTCGAACAATTGGCGATTAGCGATATCTTTAATAGTTTTTTGTAATCAATATTTATGTTAATTTTGAATATCCTGAGCTTTCACGTGGTTTAGCATGAACGTTTAGACTACTAAAAAGAATGATCAGAGTTTCAACTAACTACATATTTTATTCGTTTAGCAATACAATTCAAGATGTTACAGTCATTATGAATTAAGAAGACAATGAGATCTTTTAAAAAGATTTATGCTGAACTTACAACACAAAGTGTGTGAGGAATATTGAAGTTCTTTGAATGTTTAATAGCCATACTTGAACTCTATGATAGTTTAAATGAACTTTTCCTTCGGAAGAATTCTTTCTAGCTTTGAAATGATCACCAAAGAAATTTTTCACTGCATAATAATTCGATGAAAACCTTTAATGTTTTATTTATTATGCAGAAATATCCTTGGAATGTTTTATTCATAAATCAATTCAATCAACATTCTCTGATATCCCCAAATAATGTGTTTTCCATATCATCGCACATTGTTTGAAAAATATGAAAAAAAAATCATTCACATCACACCAAAGAAACTATCCGAGTTTTTCAAAAGAAAGCTTTTAAAGTTTCTTGACATTCGCTCTCGATTTTGAAAACGAATATGAATTTTAATGACCTCATGTTCACCTTCAATTATGAATTTTTGTTTTCATATGACTCAGAGTTACTTCAAACTATATTAATTCTGAGGAAATTTTTAAGTAAATTCAGAATTATTTGAATTTTGTTCGTTTTTTTAAAATATATCATTGCGGTTTCCGCCTACAATAAAATTAGTGAAATAATAATGATAACCATCGCCATCAAAGTCTCATTGCCCGATGTGAACATCGCGTAGGCAAACTTCGAGATTTTCTTTCTTCGTTCTACTTCATGATTGATTTAATTGGTGTTATCTGATCGTAGTATTTGATTGTGAAACTTTGCAATGTCTCTTAGTAATAACGCAATGTTTGTGAAACCCCTGAAATGAAATTCCATTGACTGCACGAGAACTGAATTTTCAAAGTCCCTAGGAGTCAGCTCCATTTTAGAGTTCATTTTTTTCTTTCTCTTCATCCACCATCTGCTATGTCTTCCCACGCATTCATCGTCAGTATGTCCCTTTATTAGATATATTTTAAAAATTCGTAACCTTTTAATGAATATCTACAGGAAATTTAAAACCCTTTCATTGAAAATCTTCGACTTTAGACATTTTATTATGCGCAGTAGTTTTCATCCTAAGAAAAATTTGTGAAACTTCTGATGATACGCGACTATTGGACGATTACAAAGACGTCATAAACGATCTTAGACACAAAAACAAATTCATGAAACAAGCCTGGACTTCAGCGGCGTATTTTCCGTTGATTCACATTCTTAAAAAATTGAAAGAAAAAAGATTTTTTCTCTCTATTCCAAAGTGTTGATTATTGTACAATTTGCCTCTGGTGGCACGAGCATGTCTCTACTTCTGCCACTGCCACGTCATGTGCAAATCTGATTACGTAAGAAAATTTCTTGCCGAGTTTTTTTTCCTCTCTTGTCTACTTCTTCTTACAAAATCCGAAAGCGATTTGAAGTTCAACCTATTTTTACAATGTTCGACTTTTCTGTATGGTGAAGCTTCTTCTTTCTGTGGCTTTTAATTGAAATGAAAGTTTTACACATTTTCTTACTTTCTGATATTGTTTTTTTTCTCTTGCTTTATTCTTTTCATGCAATTGGAGGCAATAAAGTTGTTTTTTAAAACAAAAGTTTGGTAATGAGACAAAGTTCTGAACTGTAAAGCGATATTTCATGAAAGCTTTGGCCTTTAAATCTAAACGCATAAATAGAGAACGAAATTCGATTGCAAAATATCAATCAAAATGAAACATTTCCAATCCATTATTTCTTATTATATTTATTACATATTTCAACTATTTCCTATTATATTATGTATCAAGTAGAACATGGTACGGTACGTGCAAGTGTGTGTGTGTACATAAGTTGACTGTACTTTTTTTCTATATTTAAAACTTTTTATCACATACTTTGAGATGCACACACGGACTCACATAAATATTTTTATTTTCTTGCTTCTAAATTGAGGTTTGGAATTAAAAATATGCTACATACCCGACACACTATTCGTTAAGTACTGCTGGGACATCCGTATTGGTGTTCAACTAAAAGCCTTGACAGCAGCCTGGGAAAGGAGAGAATCAGATAGACAAAATATGTCGTTTATGACGATATTTATTTGCTTATTAATTTTTTTATTATTATTTTGATGACGATAATGACGATGATGAAATTAAAACAACAAGTACATCGAAGTTGCACAAGAGGAATGACGTCGAAATTTCTTGCTTTGTTTTAATAAAATTTATTTGCATTGTTTATCTACTTTTAAATGAAGCTTGGACACGTTTTAGGTCATGAATGTAATGAAAATGCATGTTGGAAGTTTTCATTTCTATTATCTATCTGCTAAGTATTAAATTACAAATAAGATTTTAAATACAATTAAGAACTAAGAACAATCTCATCATATAAAAAGCCATTGCAGCCTAAAAGAAATCTATAAAAATTATTGAATTGAAACTTTTCCAAAAAGTTCGATTCTATTGCGACAATTTAATCCAGGGCCGAATGAGTTCATCGTGCCATAAAAGTGGCAAATTTAGCCCCCCACAGCAAAAGGAAATAATAATAAAAAGATGAAGCAGAAAATGTGAGAGCAGGTATGAAGCAGGAGAAAAGTTATCGAAGCATTAAACACACAGAACCGTTTGCAGAAAGTCCCTAATACGTTCAGCTCTCAACTTACACCAGCAGCAAATAAACACATACACACACAGAAAACTGTAATAAATGAAAAATCAGCGTGCTGGTTCGTCTTGAAATTTTGTCTTGCCTGATCGTGATGAGGGAAAATTTTTCGGGAGGGACTTAAAGGTGGTAAGACTTATTAAATACCATTCTCACATGATTGAAGGCTTTATTTATATAATATGGATGTTGAATTCTCTATAATTATAATGAGAATGATATCAGAATTTTTAGGAAACTTTTCTATCACGTGGTAGTCAAATTAAGTACAAATGTCAAATCCTGAAGTGACATTCAGATTTCGTTTATTTTTCGTATTTATTTTGGTAGTCAAATATCTGTTGGTATTATTAGAGTAAGAATGGTATTCGATAAATTTGTAAGAAAACGATTTGAAGGCTTGAAAAAGTTTCATTTATTTTGTCTTTTGTAGATAAAATGAAAAAATTTCTGATAATTGTAAATCTATAAATGTTCAACGGAACACTTATTTGGGTTGATGGTTGAAATAATTTTAATAATTATCAAGATAAATATGAAGGATAACTTGAACCTTGAGTATAGATTATTTGTCAAGGCTCATGACACTTGAAACCATTATTGAGAATCGTTAGAAAAAGTTTTGAAACGTAATGTCTCAAGATATCAATTCTTTCCACAATTTGAAACCAAACAAGTGAAAAGTGATCTTCAGATGAATTTCTAACATACGAAAAATCATATTTCTTGCTGAAAATCTGACATTTAAATCTTTTTTTCATGCCTCCTATCAAATTGTAAAACATTGTGAAACAACCTTGATCTGATGTATACAAATACAAAGTATAAAGATTAATAATGTGTGCCATCAAAACAAGAATATTAAAAATACTTTTGATAAAAGGCGTTAGTTATGTAAAACAAGAAAAAGAGAATTATAAAAAATATCTGAAAGATATTTTGAAGTTAAAATTAATGTTTACATAATTCTCATTTGTGACAAATTGCACAATCTCGAAAGTCAAGTAGATTTTTAGATTATTTTTGAGAGATTGCAAAACTGAGGGCGTCACTCAAGGTCCTTTCAAACTATAAATAATAATAATTGTAGCATAATTTTAATGTTCATTGATGATCTCAACCTGAATAACTTGCAAAATTAAAAAATATCATTTTTTTTTAATTCTTCATTGTAAAACTATAAGAAAATATTTTTCAAGATGTTCTTTGGATGAAAACATGGAAAATCATTTCAAAATTTGTTGGATTTTTAAAAGATAACAAGAAGAACATTCAAATTTACAAGAAAGAAGTGTATTGATTTATAACTGGATTAAACCAAATGGAAGCTGAAAATATGAAACAGTTAAAAATATTATGTTTTTTTTAAGATTAGACTGAATAATTTATTTCTCATAAATTTCATGGACATACTTAATAATGAAATAAACATAAAAATAATCAATGTAAGAAAAGTTTTCATCCTTCATCATCGTCATTGTCGTCTTCAAATGACAATAAATTCTTAACAGGCTTTTGTCTTTTTTCTTTAACTTTCTTAGAATTTTTGTGTTTTTCCGTTGAGCTTCCATCGACATCCTTTGATGACTCATCGACTTCATCCTTCTTCTTCCTTTTAAAGACAATTCTTTGATTCAGATCAGCGGGTTTCTCAGATTCCTCTAAAATTCAAGCGTATAATATTAATTAAACATTCAAATCATTAAAGAGGTTTGTTAAACCCAACCATACGAATGAAAAATTTGTTCAAAATGTGTGCGACATAAACAAAACTCATACAAATCGACGAACATGTGCTTATTTGTTTGTGTTGGTTCGGCGCAAATGATTTCTATTCATTCATCAAAAACTTTAAAAAGAAATTTAAATTTTAAAGGCAATAAATTTGCTTTCATGAAAGTTAGCACCGTGTTCGTTTCCCTTCTTAAATATTCTTATCATCAATTTCCGGTTTACCTTTTGCAAGTCTCGCAGCTTCTTCTTCGGTCAAGTCACCTTCCTTAATTTGTACAACTAATGGCTTTTCGTCATCTTTCTCTTGATAATCTTCCTCGTCATCACTAAAGTTGTCCACTGCTGCACGCTAGAAATTATTTCGTTACTTTGATTAAATTCCAATTTACGTATCTAAAACAACCTTCGTTTCAATTGTGTCGGGTTCTTTGTATCCAATTTGTTGTTTAATACGTTTTAGGAAGTTAGGCTCTTCAGGCTTGATGAAAGCTACATTTCTTTTCGACATTTTCACAAATATGTAGTCAAATTTTAAAAACAGATTCAGAAATTACAAAATATTCTTTAACTATTTAGGTAAGTTGGAAAAGATTTTGTTTGTAAACATTCTCAGCTGTTCAAAGTGTTTTACCCACCATAAGTTGTGAATCGCGTGGTTTTTGTTTATGTTGTCTCGAGAATTCTAAATTATTGCCTCGTACCCCGACGGTTCGCGCGGATTTGACAAAACGTACATGAAAAATGTGTCCGTGCACGAGATTTATTTCCGACCACGAGATTTCGATGACAGCGCCACCCAAAATTTTGTCCGTTCATATGATAATTTTACACTCTCCACCTGAAACTAGACTTTGCCCGACCGGGGCTGCTGAAATCANTTTGACCTTCCATACTTAAAACGTACATGAAAAATGTGTCCGTGTAAACATTTTGTCCGTGTAAACATTTCGATGACAGCGCCACCCAAAATTTTGTCCGTTCATATGATAATTTTACACTCTCCACCTGAAACTAGACTTTGCCCGACCGGGGCTGCTGAAATCAGGTGGAGAGTGTATATCGCGAGACGATTATAAGTCGCTGAAAGAAGCTTTTGAGCAGATTATTGATATGAATGGGAAAGTCAAAGAGCTTTAAGACCGAGAAAAAAGTTATCAGGAACGAGCTTCAAGCTTGGATTACGATAATTGCGAAATGAAGAAAAAACTTAAAGAGGTTTTACCTAGGTAGTGTTTGTTTATTTTTGGTAATAAATTTTTAAATTGATTTAAAATCAGTAGAAAGAAAAATCTCAAGATGGTAATTTGATTTCAAATTACCGGTAAATTTAACAAGTTAAGAATTTTTAAAGTAGGATTTGTTCATAAGATATTGTTTATTTGTTTTTTTACTACACAAATTAGTAAATATTTCAAAGTGGATACAAATTAGGCCTTCCGAAATATCCATCCGTTCACACAAAATATCCGGATATCTGGATATTTTGTATGAACGGATGGATATTTCGGAAGGCCTATTACAAATTATAACATGGAATGAAAGTTAATTTTTTCTTTGATAAATTTGTTAAATTTCCGCTTGGATTAAGAATTGAATTTGATTGGTGATACTCCGAGTCGTTCTGATAATTTCTGACATGCCTTTATTTGATTATCAGTGTAACGAACACCACCTTCAGAGTCGACCTTCTTCATATGAATTCTTTCAGGATCACCAGCAATGAGAACAGGATTTGAAGGATCCGTGGGTGTCAAATTTCGTAAAATGTCGTTCATTTCAGATAATCGGCCAGTGAAACCAGGAGCAAAGCATTTGGGATCGAGAGCCATGAAGAATTGTCCAAGATTGGCTTCTGAATCAGAACCGGAATGTGTCCATTTCCTGATTTTTGTTGAGAAATTCGCCCCAGCTAAAATTCCACAGAGAACTTCAACCATGGCTCCCATACCATATCCTTTGTAACCAGACGTTACTTCTTCACCTCCCAATGGTGCGAGACATCCAGATTCAAATGCAATGTCAGCATCTGTCGTTATTTTACCATTCGTATCATAAGCCCATCCAGCAGGGACTGGTTCGCCTTTACGTCTTTGAATTTCAATCTTTCCAACAGCAACAGCTGTTGTTGCCATATCAAGAACAAATGAATCATTTTTATCAGCAGGTGCTGCGAATGATATTGGATTAGTTCCAAGTCCAGCTTCCATGGCACGAGTTGGGCACATCAACGGAGATGTGTTTGTAGCAGAGATTCCAATAAATCCTTTTTCCATAGCGCGTAACGTATACCAGCCCGCAATCCCATAATGATTAGATCCTCAAATTATTATCAAGTCATTAAGAAATATAAGATAAAAAAGTTTAATTTCAATTTACTTTTTGCACAGACAACACCAACACCGGTAGTTTTCGCTTTTTCTATAGCAAGATCCATGCAAAAGTTTCCAACTACAGCGCCCAATCCATTCAAACCATCGACCCAAGCAGTGGAAGGGGTTTCATTTAAAATTAATGGCATCACATTTCCATCTGTAGAGTTTATGTGTAGATCATTGATGTACATTTCAAGTCGATTCATTCCATGACTGTAATGTCCCCGATAATCAGCTTCGGCCAATAGGTCAGCCATCGCTTGTGCATTAGGCTGATTTGTGTTTGATTTTGTGAAGCAATCCACCATAAAGCGTCTTGCTTCGTCTAAGGAAATCACTCCATTGTTATCTGCAACGAAACGAAATATAAGTGGCAAAAATTCAGTAGCGAAATTTATTGATAAATTTACTCTCGTTTGATGTCATTGTGTTGACTGCTGATACGTTTAGATTTCTTTTACTAATAGACAAAAAATCTGTAAGAAGTAAATTTTTTTTATTATTCAAATGCCATATGTGATAATCTTCTTTAAAGTTTGAACAAATTATTTGATATTTCAAACATGTAGTGTGATAAACACTGTGATAGCAGAAGAAAATCGCAAAGTCGTAAACAATTTGAGCGTTGAAAAATTCAAAACATTTATACTCGTATTGCATATGTCATTGAAACCGGTTGTCACTGATGTAAGTTCGGAGTTTCTGAATTGTTGTACCAGTCGAATGAATTTGCTTCGTATTTATCTAATTCTAATTAATTTAAATTTTACCTCTGATACTATTCCAAATGAATCTTTTGATATTTTAAACGTTCGCTACGAAATTTTGATATGTATAAGATTTCTACAAAGTAATTTGAAGCTTTTATACTTGAGCTTATCAAAAAGTAACAAGCGAACCACAATTTGACTATTTTTGAAAAATTTTAATTGTGGGTTTGCTGATATTTTTGTTTTCACAAACACGCAATTTTTATGCTTATTGAAATTTTTTAATTTTTCTTTTGGTTCAAAAATTTAAATGAGTGTCTGTAGATTGACAGAGAAGCTTCGACTTTCCATCTCTTTTTAACTTTATTCATTAAAAAGGCCAAAAAAGACATTCCATTAAAATTCAATCTCTTTTTGTCGCACTTAAACTGACCTTGGAGGAGTAAATATCACTGAGAATATCATAAATATTTCTCAAACCACGAAAATGATAATCAAAAAGCAATAAAAAGCTGATAAAAAAATGTGTGCGATTTTTTTGATTTCATCTTTAAACAAAATGAAATTTAAGTGAAAAAAAGTTTTATGTTTATTTAAAACGCTTCTATAGAACAGAAAGATATTAGAAATTCTCTCAATTTAAACATCTTTTTATCAAACAATAATAAAACACGCTAATACCTTGCGAATCCAAAACGCCGACTGAAAATTCAACTGTTGATTCTGTTCGAGCGTGGCGAATTTTGGAGAGGAAAGCTGATGACTCGACGATCTTACTCTGATGTATGAAAAATGTTGAGCGTATAGCTCGACACGAAATAATCGAAAACATTTTTCTGTTAAATAATCTCACGATAATGATTGTTCTAAAGTTATCACCAGATTAAAACTTGTTTTCAATTGTTATCAAAAAGCAGTTGTAATCATCACTGCTAAGATTAACTTCTTCACAACAATCACAACCAACAGAGAGAAACAACTTTGTAATAATTATCGACAATTATCGAGTCTCTTTCTCATTCTCTCAAATATTTTACACACAACTAGCGGTGAATCGGATGAAATGCAACTCAAGTAGTAGTGCATGTGATGGTTTCAAGGTCGAGGTCGATTTGTGGGAAAATAAAGAGAAGAAATTCTTTGATACTTCCTAAATACATTTTTTGGTTCTATTTATTGTCACATGAATGAAAGCAAACACTCATCACTGAAGTGACTTTCAAAAGATTTGCCTTATCAACAGAACAAGAATAAAAATAAACAAATTACTACTTAGACATTTTCTGATCTTCTCTCAAGTCTTCTCAATGTCTCTCTAAACCAGAGACACGAAAAATTCCAAACTTATTGTGCTGAACATTTAAAATCGATATTCATTCCCTTCCTACGTCTGAGTCGAGTAGAATATCCAAATATAGGTCATGAACAGAATACATCTCCGTATCATTTAGATTCATTTATTTATCAGAGTTGATTGTTTCCTCAGTTTCCGTCATCATTGGAATCTCGCTGTGAATGATTGAATTACAGCACGTAGAGAATTATGATTATGTTCACCTTCAATTCATATTATTGAAGTGAAGTCACTCATTAAACTGTGACGATTGTATTGAAAGAATAAAGAAGAAATTGAAGTTGGGAAAGAAAATCTTTGATAAGAAAATAAAACGCTCAAAAAATATTTGAAAAGCGAATTGTAGCGAGGTGCACATGCTATCGAAGCTTTAATAATCCATTACTCACTTCTGTTAGATTTGTTTTTCATTTTTGTATATAAGTTACAGACAATTGTGAAATCTTTTAGTTATTAAATTTTTGTTAAAGAGAAGAAGTTTGGGTTAAAATGTATATGCATGAAATTTATCTGTCATCAAATTATTATCAAAGGATTCCATTTGATCGTGAAATATTCAAATTCTGTGTTCGTGGTGATGTGAATGAAGTTGAGAAACTGTTGAAACAAAACGAGAATATTTATCAACCACATGAAGAAGAGCTTAGTGTTGTTCCATTATCAGTTGCAATTGAAAGTAAAGACGAAGATCTTATCAATCTACTTCTTGATGTTTATGAACGTGATCTTGAAGCTTTGAAAGGAACAAACTTTAAAAAAGCTTTGATCGCTTTACCAGAAGATCAAAATGAAGAATTCTTGCAAACAATTGAAGATCAGCCATGTTCAGATTCCATCCCAGTTTTACTAAAGAATGACAATCAGACGATTCCCAAATGTGTTTATTTGCGTAAAAGATTGAAACACAAAGACGATTTATCATTGAAATTAGCAAGAACTTTGGAAGCAAAGAATGGAAGGAGCGATTTAAATTACAGGAAATTTTACGATTCATTCTGCGATTCATTTCTTCAAATTGCAATTTATTATGAAATTGATGGAATAGTTGAACGCTTGGTAAATCATCCAACAGTTGACATTATGACGTCGAATCTTATGTCGAACCACACAACGTTGCATTACGCACTTTATGTTGGAAATATGAAAATTTTAAATCTTTTATTGTCAAAATTTAACTTTGGAAATTATTGGGAAGATCCAGAAAATTTTTATTATGCTATGACATCAAAGAAGGAAAGATCAGTCAAATTTATTATTAACAAAATATTTGAGAGTGGAAAGACATTACAAGATATCTCAGAAAGTTCTTTTCATTTCGGTTATTATTATTATGATAAAAACATGCCGCATGATGAGCTTAAATCAACTGAAAGTTTAATTCATAACATAGCAAGAAGTCGAAATGTGTTCATTTTGGACAATCCTTTGCAATTTAAGTTGAAAGATGAAGATTATCTTAAGCAAAACAGCAATGGTGATACAGTTTTGCATTTAATTTTATTAAACCAAAACTTAAAACTTCAAGCTAAGAAGAAATATTTGAGAAAATTATCAGAAGACTTCCCTGAGCGTTTACTTGTTAAAAATAATTTCCAACATCTGCCTTTACATGTTGCAGCAATTACTGATACTTACGGACAACGTTTGTTTCGCCATCTTCTTGATTTGACGATTGAGGCGAGTGGAAATCCTGAAATTTTCTATGAAGATATGGAAGTTGCTGTGAAATGTTTAGAGATGGCAATTATGAATAATCAAGGATTGTCTGAGGAGTATTTGAGGAACTTCTTAAAGGTCGTTGAGTCACATGGCCATCGATTGCTAATCGAAATGATTAAACATAGTCAACAACTTAAAGGAATTCGATCAATTCTTTTGTTGGGGGTTTCAATAAATCCGAACCAGTTTTATGGCGGACAAAACGCATTCTTAGCAGCTGTTCGATATGACGTCTCTCATTTTTATCAATCACACAATGAAAGTTACAGCAAATTGAAATTATTATTGAACCATCATCCGATTGAAGATCCCAACGCTTGTGACGAGACTAAAACTTCTTTATTTATGTACATTGTTGGCTTCACTCGTGACAATGAACTTGTGAAGTCTTTAATTAATTTGGGAGCTGATTGTAAAGCCAGAAATTCTGAAAATCTTTCATGTCTTCACTTCGCTGCAAGAAACAAGAAAAATGAAGAAATTTTGAATATTCTTCTTCAAAATGGAGCTGATCCATCAATATTGTCTGACAAGAATGAATTAGCCATTGATTTTGCTATCAAAGCTGATATTCTTCACGCTGTCAAAAGTTTGATTTCATTTTTAACAGTCGATGATTTGAAAAGAAAAAGTTTGATTCAATCTTGCACTCATTCAGATTTGCCTGAAGTTTATAATTTAATTTGGAATTTGTACGATTTTCATCATATCGATGTTGATATTAATGCGATTAATGAAAATGGCGACAGCTTCGTGATGTCTTTAATGGACAAATTTAACTTCAAACAGCTTGAAACTGTTTTAAAGGAAAGATTTGATGATATCAACTTCGATTTAATTAATTCTAATGGAGAAACATTCACTCATCACTTAGTTCTTCATTCTTCTCAAATCCACGAGATTTCTCAGCTTTTTAAGGACTTTCCACTTCTAATTGATATTGTTAACAAGCAAATCAACATTGCTGACAAAGAAAATCATTTACCAATGGACAGATATTTTTTCTGTTTTCAAACTGAGTGTGTTGATGAGCTTTGTCGAAATGAATTCCTTAAATATTTAACAAAAGAAAATTTTCAACAAAACATGCACAAATTTATTGACGGCGTTCTGTCACTTCAAAAAATGATTGAATTATATCCACACATCTTTAATGAATTAAATTCTAACCAAAGTTTCGTTATTCTTGACAAATTAAGCTGCAACACTAAAGCATTTGAGATTGCAATTGAGAAGTTTTCAGATAAACTTCCCGACATTAAAGCACTTGGTGGAAATATTCTTCATTTGATTTGCGAGAAAAATAATTCTGAATTCATTGATTTGATTTGTAAATCACTTTCTGAGATTTCCATAAAAAAGTTGAGTAATGAAAGAAATGTGAATGGTAAGAAGCCAATTGAACTTTTAAATGAAGAAAATTTAACAATTTTTGAAAAGATTTTTAATTAATGTAAACGGCAATAATTTTAATTAAAGAACGCAAATAAAATTGAAATTATTAAAAAATATTTTTTGTTGATTATTGAATGAAAATTTGTAAAAGTGACCAACTCTCAGATGAAAGCTATTTATAGATAGATAGATAGTGCTTGAGTTACTTTAGATTGTATTATTTGATGATGATTTAAACATCCAACACAGTCAAGCATCAAAGGCATCGACGAGCTCAATCATGAAACTGAATCTTAAATGATTTCGAAATCAATTGACTTCAATTGCAGGATTTTCGTATCGTTCAGAGATTTCTTTTGTAAATTATTTTGAGATTGTGTGATGTCGAATTAAATCTCACTTTTTCTAAAAAGAATTATTAGTTGTGGATAAAAGGTTTACGTGATTTGTAGAATTAGGCAGAATTGAAATATATTCACTCATAAACTTCAGTTCAATTCTGTCTATAATTTTGTTATCGCTCACATTTTATTTTTGCTGCTTATCTTCGACGAGAGCGACGCATTTTGAGTAGATTTCTTCATTATGAGAGTGACATCAAAATGAGTTCAGTTTAATTATTAACCTCATAAAGAAATGAAGCACAATTAGTGTCGAAAATTTATTTATTTTTATTCCTTTTTTATCAGTTGCGTTTGTTAAATATAAATTGTGAAATTTGAAGTGAACTTCAGGCAAACAGTCATCAAAATAATTATTAATAAGCTTATGATTTGTGATTTGTCAAAAAAACAAATATAAAGTAAATTTTTAGTGAAAATTCCCACGATAATTGAATGAGTTTGTTGAACATAAAACGTAATTAGAGTTCACGAGTTCACAACAAATATCTAATTCTTTTTCTCAAAAAATTACAAATTGATTTTTATCGAAGACTAATTTAAAAGCACATGTGAAGTTACGCAATAAGTTTTAGTATCGAAACAGCTAATAAAACATACCGTCACTGTTTTTATCTGTTGTTAAATTATCTAACATTGTTGATAACAACACAAATGTTTGACGCTAGAAAGTTATGTTTAGTGATAAATAATAACAAATTGCTTTGATTCAAAGCTATTCAAGTTCATGTCGATATTGATTTTCAAAATTTTAAATAAAAGAAAAATTATTAAGGTGCAGAAATTATAAAAAAAAATATTGCAAAACAGTAAATTGGATAGAAATTCCATTTGTCGCTTGAATTCATCGTCAGCACAAGAATTTCCTCCCCTCATCACATTATATTGTTGGCACGCGTGACATTTTCTACGGTTGCATTTTTGTGTTAAATAAATTTTATTGTTTGCTGACACGTTGAAAAGCTATGAAAACAGTTTTCAGTGCATTTCAAAGAGAATTTTAGAATTTGAAAGACAAGACAATGGGAAAAATGGGCAAGTGAAAAAATTGATGAAGAATTTTTCAAGAAAAAAATTATTTCCGATTTTGTTTTTCAGAGAAAGACGAAGATAATGGAAAGAGCGTTGGCCTTAAACGCGAAATGGGTCTTATAGCTGCAGTGAATGTTATTCTTGGTGTCATGATAGGAAGTGGAATTTTTGTATCACCACAAGCAGCATTGCGATATTCTGGAAGCATTGGTTGGAAAATTTACTTCGAATAAATCAAGAGAAGAATTTAAATTGATTGTAATTTTAGGAGCTTGCATTGTTGTTTGGACAGTATGCGGTTTTATCTCTTTGATAGGAGCTTTATGTTTTGCAGAACTTGGAACAGTTGTACCGAAGAGTGGGGCGGAATATGCTTATCTAATGGAGGCATTTGGGAAACGCCACAGATTTTTCGGTCCACTTCCAGCTTTTCTTTGTGCGTGGGTTTATGTTAGTATCTGGTTAGATATGAAAGTTATTTACTTGAAGCTTCCATTTGTCTTCAGGTCATGGTTTTACGGCCTGCAGAAATTGCTGTGATTATTCTTACATTTGCTGAATACTCAATACAACCATTGAATAGTCTTCCAAACATGTCGCAATTGTCTGAGTCAGATCTACGAAACATCACTAAGTTGGTTGCATTGTTAGCTTTGGGAATCATCACTTACATCAATCTCGTCAGTGTAAAACTATTCGTAAAAATCAACAACATTTTCGGGGTTTGCAAAGTGCTTGCTTGTCTTATTGTAATCTTTGGTGGAATTTATGAGATTGCGATTGGAAATACACAAAATTTAAAAAGTGGATTTGAAGGGACAAACTTTAATTTTGGTCACATAGCTTTGGCATTTTATAGCGGTCTTTGGAGTTATGATGGTTGGAGTAGTGTCACAGCAATAACAGAAGAAATTAAAAGACCTGAAAAGTATTTTTGATTGCAAGATTATTTAAGAATCTTAATTTTCCAAGTTTTATTTCTTAGAAACATTCCACGATCAATTTTGATAGCTGTACCGATAGTAACTGGGCTTTATGTCTTCATGAATATCGCCTACATGACAGTGATGGAGAAGACTGAAATGATTAACTCAATAGCAGTCGGAATCACGTTTGGTGAACGTGTTCTTGGATCTTTTTCATTTCTTATTCCATTAGGAGTTGCGTTGTCAACATTTGGCTGTGCTTTATCAATTCAATTTGGTGTAACTAGGCTTTGTTTTGTATCAGCAAGAGGTAAACATCATGAAATTAGATCAAAGCAAATCAATTTTCTTATGAAATGTTTTCTAGAAAATCATATGCCAAAAGTTCTTTCATACGTTCATGTCACTCGTTCAACACCAGCTCCAGCTGTTTTCCTGCAAGGAATGCTTGCATTAATCTTCTTGGTTGTTGGCGACATTGCACCCCTCATTGAGTTTGCTTCCTTTTTAATATGGTAGAAGTTTAATTAAATAACTTCCATTTCTTTTATTAATCAATAACTTTTGTTTTCATAAACTTGAAGGTTCTTTTATGGAACTGCAATGCTTGCACTTTTGATGATGAGAGTAACACACGCAAACACTCATCGTCCTTATAAAGTTCCAATCATCTTACCAAGTAACAAACCAATTTCAAATCTTAATCATTACAGTTAATTAAATTTTTATTCTTTCAGTCTTCACATTATTCGTGTCATTGTTTTTAGTCATTACGCCAATGGTTAGCGAACCAGATGTCAAATATTTTTCAGCATGTGGTTTTATTTTATTAGGAATTGCTGTGTACATTCCTTTGGTTTACATGAAAATGCGACCGAGATTGATGGATAAAATAACACATTTAACTCAATTATTTTTCCTAGCAGCTCCAACATCAATGGAAGTGGAGGAAAAAGTTTTATGAGAATATTTTTTATAATTTAGAAAATTCTGTTTTGGTTTTAAAACTTCATAATGGATTTTTTTAATTTTGTTTTTAACATTTTAAAGTGTTCATTAAATGATAAATAAGTTTTGCTGGTATGAAAACATTATTTAATGTACAATAAATTATTCATAAATTTTATAATAAAAGGAAAACTTGATATTAAAGTGAAGTTTTTTAATTGACATTTAATAGTTTCTCAGAATGTTTAATTATGATTAAATGGAACGAGATGAATAGGAAAAAAATTTAATATCGATTCAACTATTTATACAATCCTACGCTTGCTTCTGATGTGATGAATGAAGACAAGGCTAACAGCGTCGATCTTAAACATTTAAATTTATGCATTAAATATATGTTGGATAATATGTTCTTGTTATGCTTCTAATATTCTATGCTTAACCAAACAAGTTCAAGAATAAACGTGCCTTGTTCCTTGAAAACAGAAAATATCTTTGTTGTGCGCAGAAAAATAAAAAGGAACGTCAATAACACAACATTCATAGTCAATTTGGCGCCAGTTAAAATCATGAAAATGGAAGTATTTGGAAGAAAATGAAAACTCGCCAAGATTTGGTTTCCTTTTCAACATTTTCATTATTTATTCATGTTAAACAGTTGTACAACACTCAGTGCTATCTGGGTTGTGGTAAATTGAACAACCTTCTTTCAATTTTAAATATAACGAGTTGATAAAAATGTATATTGTTAAACGGAGAAGGAAAACGGCAATTATTGGAAGTAGAACAAAGTCGATTGATTCCGAAAACTCTTCTTCGTTTTCTCGTTTATGAAATCTGAACGGTTTTTCCATCTTATCTGAAGATTCATCATAGTAAAAGATGTATAGAGCAACAAAAATCACTGTAGCGACCAAGGCACATGACAAAACTATCATCAAAACGGCAAATATTCTGTAGCTTTTCATCATGTGAGGATTTCGCTGTGAAATAAATGTCAACCATTATTTACTCATTTCCATTTGTTTATCAACTTACAGTATCAATTGCAACAATAAGTTCATAACTTGCGTAGATAGCAAAGGAAGATAAAATAAGAATTAGCAGTGGTCGAAGGCCTCCAGCTGAAATTATCATCATTAATGCAATTGAATATGAAATTCTTGCAAATTCGACTCACGTCCATCAGGAACAATTAAAATTATTGTTGTGATTGTAAAAACAAATGAATACCAAACAAAATCAATGACACCAACAATTTTACCGAATGTTTCTAATTTTAAACATAAAAACGATTTTTGACGGCACATTTTCTCTTCCTGAGATTTTAAATTTATCTTAAGATCAAAGTTATAATTCGAATGACATCTTTTATAATGAAAGGCAAAATGAATACTGAATAAATATTTTCAGATGAAAGCTGCGGGAAAAAGGAAATTTATATCCAAAATTGAGAGGAAAATCTTTAACAAGCGTTATCGCAAGACATGCGCAACTCATGTGACAAATAAAGTTTTAATATTTTCAATGAATTCAATAAAGATTAAGATTTTATTTCAATTTTCATTTGAATTTTCCGATTTTAATGATGGAAAATTTCCAATTGAATTAATAGCAACAAAAAGTTTTTCTTCTTTTTTAAAAAGTCAAAAAGAATTTCAGAAGCAGTAAATTTGTGAGTAACGAAGCGAGAAATGGATTGAAACTTTTAATTACAATTCATTATTGGAATATTTCTTGCTTCGTTGATTTTTTTGGGAAGTTTTCTTCTTGCTTTTACTTTTGCCGCTCTTTTCATTCTTCTTATTCGGATTTTGACTGTAATGCTTATCATTTCTAGCACTTTTCACCTTTTTGACGTTATCCAACGAACGTTTGTCACGCTTGACTTTCACCTGCTTATCGTTCACTTCATTATCCTTCGTTGAACTTATTTTGACATCAGATTTTTGCTTTTTCTTATTTTCTTTAACAGTTTTTCTTACAATTTTTGAAAGCTTTTCACTTTCACTTTTCTTATGACAATTTGCATCAAGTTTTGGAGCTTCAACGATTTCAGTGTCTGGTTGGGAATCTTCAATCGTTTCATCATTTTCTTCTCCAATAGTCACGTCTTCTTCTTGGATTGTCTCTGCAACTTCACAGTCTGATTCACAATTAATCGAGGATATCTCGTCAGCATTTAACGAGTCTCCATCATTTCCCACATCTTCTTCATTAACTTCCAATTCAATGTCTGCTTCATTATGAATGTAACTTACAAGATGCATTCGTGGTTGCTAAGACAACTAAGCATAAAATCTAGTGAAAGTAAAAGAATTAAATTAATAAAAGCTTCTTTCACAATTTATTCCACTTTTTCTCACCCACAATGAGATTATCTTCATCCTGAAAGGTTTTTACACTTGAAGAATGTTGAAAAACTGAGTGAAAGAAAATTTCCATTTTGCATTCATTTTATATTTTTTTTACAAGACGTAAACTTATAAATTACCCACTTAATGAAGAAATATTTGCTGACTCTTGGTTGATGGATGTAATCTTACTTCACAAGCTTCACTTTGTTGCATTCTTTAACATCATGAAGTTTAATATATCTTATCGAAAGTAGAACAAATAAGTTCAATGCTACTGAAAAAGAGACGATAATTCTTGAGATAAGCAGAAAGATTTGCCTAAAGCAACCAACATTTCGAAATTAAAAACAATTTTAGCTTCATTTTGAACATCATCATCTTTATTATCTTCATCAAGTGTCTTACTATAAACAAAACAATTGAGAGAATAATTTGACAAACGGGGGCCTAATCCTCAAAAGGGAGGATTCTAAGATTCTTATCAGGAGATAGAAGTGTGGGGAAAAGACTTTGACAATTTTTTTTCTCGGTAAAGGAAAAGTTTCCAGAATTTCAAATATCCACATCTCCCTTTCTTTCTATAATTATTTACAAATTATCTTTCTTCGTCCTTGCTAAACTTTTCAACAAATTACAGAAACTTTTCATTCTTTCTCTCAGAAAACTTTATCGCATTGAATCCTAGAAACTTTTAAGAAGAAAATTAATAATGGTTGGAAAGTCTCAATGAAAAGTGTGATCGATAATTAATCGATTTTCTCTTGGTGTAGATAAATATACTTTTAAAGTTCTTTTTCCATTAAAAAAAAATTGATTTCAAAGGATTGGGCTCAACATAATCATATAATCCAAAACATATAATCCAAGTTTAGAACGCACTCCTTGAAATTCCTGGAACACTTTTTTCTACACATAATGCGCTCTTTGAAGAATGAGTGCGATCTACATAAACATCGAGGACAGGAATTCAAAATTAATAATAAAAATAAGAAGAAACAAAATGATTTTAATTCAAATATATTTAATTTTAATAGCGAAAAAATCACATACAGACATCCAATTTCAAAAATATTCATATTTTATACATCTTTTTATCAGAGATAAGTTTGCATCTCCATTACTTTGAAGATATTTTGTGTAGGTATGTGACAAAACATAAAAACTAAAACAAAAGCTTATAACTAAAAGAAGAATTGAAAACACTTACATTTACATAAAAGTGAACGAAAGAAAAGAAGTCTAAATTACACTTTTGTCACGATGCTGTTGTCGTTAGCTGATATATGATCCGGCTCCATGCCAGCTTCAAAGCGTTTCCACATTCGTCTGAAGAGTTTTTCCAGTCCTTGAGCATACTGTTTACAGTCAAAAAGTGGACTTTCAACACGCGCTACCCATACTTTGGCTCGAATTGCTTTAAGATATTCGCGATCGGTACCTAGACGAATGGCAATATCTTGATACTCTTGACGATTGCGTGCAATGAGGTCGGGACATCCAAGGGTGGTCAATTGTGATGCGGCAACTCTACAATCACTCAATTAATAAAAGAAAAAAAATTCTCTCATTTCTTTAAACAAACCTTGAGGCGAGTGTTTCCATTGGCATTGTAACTACAGGCGTTCCTGTCCATAAAACATCCATGCTGGTTGTGTGGCCATTACACAATGGCGTATCTAAACAAACGTCTGCCAATTGACCTCGTCTAACGTGTTCTTCTTTAGCTGCCACATTTGAGAATATTATTCGTCCCGGTTGGAGGCCTATCACAAAGTAAAGTCACACATATTTAAGTTGAAAGTTACTCGAGATGAAAGAGAAAAACTCACCAAGATTTTGTGCTGTTGCTTGAATATTTGTTTCACCAACAGCTGGAAACTTCAAAAGCCATAAAATCGAATTAGGAACAGCCTTCAAGATGTTCACCCAAGATTGCAATGTCAATGGATCAATCTTATATAGTTGATTGAAATTACAATAAACAATCGCTTCATCAGGTAAGCCATATTGTCCTCGTGTTGTCACAACAATCGTTCTTGGAACTTCTTCACCTGTTGCTGCTTTATTATTGGCATTCGCTTGTAATCCATTTTGAACGACAACACCGTTTAGTGATGTTTGCAATAATCCTGATTGGACCATGTTGTCAATTAGTGTTGTGGTCGGAAGTTCAGCAACTTTCATTTGAATCTCAACGGGATTTGATGCTCGACTTACAATCTCACGTACTGTCGTAATTTTTACTTCGTGACGTTCAACTAATGGTGATAAATCTGTTGCATTAATTACAGCAACATTGTCAGCAATTCCAGCTCCAATTTTGTCGCTGACAATCAAACGTTCTTTCAAATGTGGGAACATTTGCTTGTGATCACCAATGAAGTAAGTTTGTGGCATGTAAGCTAATTTCTCGCTATATTGATTGGCTAATTCCAAAGGTGATGTCACAACATCTGTCACGATGTAATCCATGAATGATGCTCCACTTGTACCTGGATATCCAAGCCACATAACTTGTATTGGTGCTGGTCGAAGAGCGAAAATTTCATTTCGTGCTCCTTTGGTGTATCCATTCATGTTCACAAGAATATGAATGCCATCAGCATAGATTCTATCAGCAGCTTTTCCATTGCACGGTAACTGCGATAAATCAATGAAATGTTCAGCTTCTTTCGCTATCTTACTTCTGAATGTTGTTCCATCATCAACACTTAAAGCATAACAGAAAATCTCAACATTCTTCAAATCATGTAATCCCGGAATTGATTGCATCAAATGTGATGTTGGGTGATTACCGAAATCACTGCTTACATATCCAATTCGAAGTCGACTTTCAATTGCACGTGAGAATTTGAACGGTGGCTTATGAAGAACATGAATCTTTTCCAAACATAAATTTGCGTGACGCGCTGCAATTGCTTTGCGATATTCATGTGTCAACGGATACAACATGGAATGATGTGGATGAACTGAAGGTAAGCGATTCTTCTCAAGTTGTTCAGCTACAATATTCACAAGCTTCTTCATACGCGAATCATAATCTGTCCAATCGCAAACAATCTGCAAACAGTGAGCTAAGTTACAATAAGCATCAGGAAAGTCAGGTTTCAACTTTAACGCTGTACGATAAGATGAGATCGCTTCTGGAATATTTCCTGAATCTTTATGAATGCTTGCAAGATTACTGTGTGCATCTGCGAATGCTGGATTGATTTGAATAGCGCGTGAATAGCAATGCATGGCGCCATTAACATCTTGCATTTCCTTTAATGTGTTTCCCATGTTACTGTAAGCATCAGCAAACGTTGGTTGGATTCTTATTGCTTCTTTGTAATGCATTAAAGCTTCATTAAGCTTTCCTTGTTGTTGAAGAACAGAAGCCAAGTTGCTATGTGCAGCAGCAAACTCTGGAAACACTTCCAAAGCTTTCAAATATAAACGTGTTGCTTCTTCAATGTATCCTTGTTCTCGTTTAATGTTTGCCAGATTATTAAGTGAATCAGCATGATTTGGACACAAGCGTAATGCTGTGTTGTAACAATCTTCAGCATCTTGAACTTGACCTTTCTCTTTATATGCATTGGCAAGGTTGCAATAAGCATCGGGAAAGTTTGGCTGTAGATCGATAGCTCGACGATATGTGTCGATAGCCAAATCAATAAGTCCTTGCTCATAATAAACGCAAGCCAAATTTCCATGAACCACTGCATTGTTTGGTGAAAGATTCAAAGCTCGCAAGTAAGCGGCAACAGCTCTGAAAATATATTAACAATTTTTTGATTATTTTCTCATGATTTACAATCATTTGAAATTTAATTATGTTGCAAGAAAGAAGAAAAAATTTCTTGGAATTTCAAAGTCAATTAAATTTTAATTAATATCATAAGAAACATAAATCTCAACAAGAGATGAAAACTTTCCTTACAAAGGCATAAAAATTTCAAGTTAATTACCGCTAAGAATGATGCGGGATTGTAAGCAATTTGAGTTTGATTTACTGTGCGGGTTGGCATTGCATAACATCATGTTAATATCATTTTCATTTAAATTACTCAAACTTTCAAACACAAAATGAGATTGAAATCAAACTTTTTTCATTTATGATGTTTATTCAGATTAATGAAAATTGTAAACATTTTAGTCGTAATTTTACGCTTCAAGTTTTGTAAATCACGAGAAATTTCCAGCGAAGAATTCCAAGAAAATTTTATCAAAATAAACTCAATATGAGTATCTGGATATGAAGAAAATGTTTTCCTAAATTATTCCAATAAGTAATTAGAAGAAGACGAACGTAATTTCAGAATGTTTTTTGATAATTTCTCTTGAATGTAGATAATAATTTTACTTTTTTTTGAAATTAATGAGTGGGGTAGAAAATGCCGAACACAAAATATCGAAAACATTTAACCCAATTCTTAACTTGATTGCTTTTCCGATTCAAGTCAAGTTTGTAAGTCAAGTAAAGGCCTTCGAGAAGCAAAAGTTTTCTTAAATATGATTCTCATGAACTTCGTCATGTCTAAATAAAAAGTTGAAATAACATGAAAGCTTTTAAGGAAGTTAAGTTTCTCTTCTTTTCTCTTGTGAAATTCATTTTCATAATACACAAAAAAAGAAACTTGTTTACATAATTGAAGATCAATGTAAACATTCGCTTTTCATGATCAAATTAACACAATCAATTACACAGTGTGTTGATTACTTCCAAGTGTTTTAGTTCATTGAACATCGTGAAAACATTTTCTGGGAAATTCTTTGAGATCCAAAGGAATTTCTCGCTTGGAAATAAATTTTCTTTTTCAAATCTGTTTTCTCTATGACGAACAAAAAGGGGAAATTTATTTTATTACACTTGAATTTGTACAAACAACTCATAAATTAAAAGAAAGCTAAGCAAGTATAGAAAATATTTTATAAGCTAAACGTAATCAATTTTTGGTTCAAGATAATAAAAATTTATTGATTCGAGTATCCTCTGAATTTAATCTCAAATCTTTGCGGTTGATTTATCTCTTCTAGACACAAATTACGAGTATAATAAAAAGAAGAAAATTATTTTATTCTTATTGAAAGCGATTTGGGTAATGAAATCTTTTCACTTAGATTCCTTCAGCCTACACGCGCAACATTTCAATCAATAGAAGTAAAGATAGAAACGAAAATCAAATCAGATTCTAAATGCAGATGGAATTTATTCAAATCATCAACTTGAGAAAAAAAGAAAATATTGCGGAAATTCAACAAAAGTTTTATAAAAGCTTTCAGATTACCTAGCAATTCTAAGTAAACAAATGAGTATCACATCATAGAATATTTTATTCAAATCGTAACTTAATTTGATTCTTATCGATACTCGTTATCTGATTTTATGAGAAAATTTATTCTATGTAAAATTTTTTATTGTGGTTTTACTGCGAGCGAATAAAACAAAAACTTTTCACTCTCCTTCTCGATTTAAATTTGTTTGTGAAATATTTTCATCTTAAATTTACATCAAACAATCTTTTCCATAATTTCCTTGTTAACTACTTGTAAAATTTGAGTGTCAAAAAAACCACTCGACGATACAACCAAAATAGGCTTTTATGTTAATGTTGAAAACAACTGTTGACTCCCACAAAGAGAACATCATCAGAAGAAGTTTAATTAAATAGCGTGACTTTGTTTAAAAGTTTTGCTCCAGCTAATGAGAGTTTGAATGATGTAACAACGTTTAGCATGAAGAAACGATGAACATTTCAATAGTCGAAATGGAAAGGTTAACCGCGAGCAAGATTTGATTCAACAACTCAAATAATTAATCATTGAATTCGAATCAGAGAAGAAGAATCTAATGCTAAATCTCAGGTTCTTTCAACCCTCGTCAATTTCTCTTCTGGCGCTTAAATTTCGCTGGCATCACAGAATAATTTATTGTCCCGGGCCGTTATTTATTTCAGATAGCATTAAGCAACAAAGACCAACCAAATTTTTTTTTTCAGATATCAACTGACTAATGTTTTCGACACGAATTCGTCTAAACGCGAAAGACATCTGGTTGCTTAAAATATTATTTAAAGCGAGATTTAATATGAAGAAAATGTGTCGAGCATTAATAAGCGTTTTTCATGTCAAACATAATTGGAAGTTAAGCAACGCCGAACGAAAATCATTTTGCAATAATTTTTCACGATTTATAATTTAAACTCAAGCGATGGTGGATGGAAAAAAGTCTCGCTGTGTTGTTTTGAAAATACATTTTCACCATTTGTTAAGGTATAAAAATTAATCAACATCGATCGCGTGTGCGAATTATGTTATCGTCGTTGTATAAATTTGAGTTGATTCACGCAAGCCATAAATAAAATGTGACCGACCCACTACACACTTCACGATCACTTTTTATTAGAATTCATAAATCTTAACATTAATTTGCTCTATACAAGCAAACATCGAATAAATGAATCGATATGAAAAGTAATTTAGTGAAGTGAAGCATCATAAAACAAATAGGAAATTGTTCAAAAATTAATCAACATAAATCACATTACAATAAGTAAACATAGAGTGATTAGAACATGTTTCACTCATGTTGCAATTACTCGTACTGAAGACATCGCTTAAGAATTCTTTTATAAGCAATTAGTTCAGATTATCATGATAAACTTGAAAATGTTAAAGAAAAGCAAATCATCGTCACGTGTGTGATGAAAAACATAAAATGAAGTGACTTGGAAATGTTTTTATGTCGTCTCTTATCGGTCGTTCTTAGAAACGAGAGAATTGTTTTCAATTCGGAATTATTTTAAAGCGTGAAAGCATAAGTCAGTCATTGCATATCGTTTACATCGTTAGGCATCAGGTTTGCTCGTTTCCTGATTCTTCTTCCATGAAGATACAACGAAATAAAAAGGTTCAACTCGGAGAAACCTGAGGAGCTTTGTCTAATCGTTTTCCACTTGGTGAACATTTCACAATCGAGTGGATTACAAATATTTTATGAAGTAACGTAACTACTTGTAGAGAATTTCTTATTTCGAAAGATTGATCGAGAGTAAATATTTTTCTGTCTTCTTCGTGTGGAACATCGAGACGAATTTGTCAAAATGAAAAAAAAAAAAACGCAGCTTAAAAGATTATCCACTTAATCAATTTTTCACACTAAAGGAAAGAAAATAATTCAAGTGAAAATAAAGCGAGGGAAAATCACATCAAAAGCGATACAGTTTCTCATTCCACAAGACAAAAAATGTATTTTCATCACTTTTCGGTTTCATTCTAACAGCAACGCATACACGCATGTGCGTCAAAATGTTTCAGTTTTGAAACAAAGCTCATCTTTTAGCTTTTCCCTTTTTTTCCCTTTCAGCCAAAAGCTTGTCATCACTGACAAATTTCATATATGAAGGGAATAAATTGCAAACATCTCACAATTCTTTTCTTCTCTTCTTCACAAGAATTGCAATATTAAAGAAAAAGAAGCCTTCAGAAATTGATATAAGTAAGAAAAATATGAAATGAATCCAACAAAGATAAATAGATTGAGGCAAGAACTTTCTTCTTCTGACAATTCATTTCATTCTTAATCGAAACAATAAGAGAAGCAAAACTTCGTTTACGCTAAACGATGTTGAAGTGAGAGAGAAAGGCGACCACAAATTACTTTAGCTGTTGATTGCTTTTCATACACTTCAATGGACTTTCTTTTTTTCTATTTTTAGAACGCTAAATTATACTTCTAGATTGATAAATTTTATTTACTTCCTATAACTCATACACACACAGGGCATGGAGGGAAAAAAAAGTTTTTTATGTCGCACATTAAACAGGAATTTGAAGCCAAGGTTATTTGGCTATTGAAATTGGTCAGTGAAAAGGAAATAGAGGCAAAACATATCATGAAAAGAAAGTTCAACTCAGTTAAACAGGAAATTTTGTTATCGAACTCAAATGTGCTTGACATTGACGAAATTTTTCGGATGGTCAAGGAGGAAAACAACTTCTAATTAAAATCATTTCCCATTCCATTAGAGAAGAAGAAAATTGAATGATTTGGTTTTCCGGCATCTGACGCCTAGATAAATAAGAAAGATTTTTCATCGCTCATACACAACAACTCAAAGTAAGTTTTTTCTTTTTATCTTTTGAAGCAAGAAAAGGTTTTATTTTGGGGAAATTGATTTTACTTTTTTCATATTAAAAAAGGTGAAGATAGAAAAAGAAAATTTGTGTAAAATCAAAGCAGATGAAACCCTTTCATATCAATATTGATCCCCTTGAGAGAAAGAGGATTGGTCGTTGTTGAGAGTTTCACAGGAAAGTATCGATGAAGATTTAACCATAAAAAGAAAAACATCCTTCATTATTGGGGTATAAAGTTAAAGTCAAAACATGTCACAAACATTCTTGTAACGTAAAAATTCTCTTTTTACCTTTTTATTTGAAGCTTTATCCAATTCAAACAACCGTTCGATGACTTCGATTGTTCATGTTTACTTGACGATGGGGAATTTAAATTTGGATAAAATGGAGCAATGTGAGCGATTGTATAGATGACGATGCATTGATAATCCATATTTGTTGGCTTGTTACGTTTCTTTTTTGTTAAATATCTAACTTAAGTTTTGATTTTATGAGTTTTGTAGAAAAGAAAAGCTTTTCACACGTTGAAGCTTATAAAAGTTTGTTTTTATATTTTTTGTTCCTTTTTATTTTAAACATATAAAAATACTCGTATCAAAAGTTAAGCAAATCAACGAGAGCGCTTTTATGACGCCTACACACTTGAAACAGATGTGAAGATTTTTCTTTCTTCCCAAACGATTTCATACGAGATTGGAGTGCTGTCGTTGACGTTGTGTGCTCTTATTAAATTTTACGATGAATGTTTATGAATCATTTTGCTGCTCGGAGTCAAAGAGCAGAAAGATTGTGATGAGGAAATATATGTGACAAGATACAAAACACGAATGAACTATAAAAAGTTTCATTACACTCTTGAGTGTCTTCTTCACACTCAACTAATAAACACTTTAACCAAGAACAGCAACTGCATGATTGCAGTCATCGTCGTTTTTTTTTACTTTTATTAATCGTTTTAATTCCCTTCCAGCTGTGCCATCAATTAAGCTTCCTTTATATCATCTGACTCTCGCCTTTTCTCAAATTGTTGTTTACTTTAATGACCGATCATAATTTGCAAAACACTTTAATGATGTGGGTGGATAGTAAGTGTATTAAATTACCGAAACGTCAATAATTGATATTAAAGAGAGTTAATTATTCACTGTCATTGATTAACACTTAGTTGCTTTTTCACATTACGTCCTTCACTCATCACTTGAACAGCGTGTTGGAGTTGTTTAGCATTTCCACCGTGACACAAACCTTGTTGAATGAGTATTTAAACTGAATTATTTATTAATGAGGATTACTTTCTTTCTGCTTTTGAATGAAACCGAGAACCAAAAGTGACAATAAATTCTTCTTTACTTTATTATTATTTCCTTCAATAAGTGCAGTTGAAATTTTTCAATTTTATTTTTAGTAGAACAGCGACTTTCATCAGCTTCATTTACTATTATTACCTAATTAAAAGTTAGAATCATTGAGTGTCACTATTTTTAACGTTTAATTTCTATTATTTTTCCTTCTTCTTCATGAGTTTATAAGTTTTAATTCGTTGGATGAAATGAAAAAGTTTCTTACGTCAATTTATAATGTGATGCAATTCTCAAAGTGTACCTTAAGGAAAATTGCCAAGGGAAAGCAATTTTAATAAGAATTAATTGAAATGAAAGAAAAATAAAGTGTGGGTTGATAATCAGACATTTTTTGTTGAATTTGCGGGTCACAAAATTTACTTTTCTTCTTGGCAAATATTTGTTTCTTCCTTCTTTCCTTTCTTCGAGCTTTCAAAATTTTTTCTTATTAGAAACGACTTAATTAAATGCTACCGCAAGATAAGTTAGAAACGTCTGTTCTATCTTCTTTTCATTTTCCGACTGATGGACTTATTGGAGGAAAGTAGAAAGCTTGTTTTTCTTGGCAGTTCTGTCTGGGCGCGTGTTTCACGAGAATTTCCATTCTGTTGAATGTATCAACATTGAGAGAAGTGAAAGAGCGAATGGTTTCGAGTTTCACAGATTTTTCTGTTTTTATTAATGAAGATGCTAACAAAAGATTGATGACAGATATTCGATAGCAATCTATGATACGAGTCAATTAGAAAGAGTTGAAGTTTGACAACAAAGACGTTTCATATTTCAAAGTTAAAGATGATTGAAGATCTCTTACACTAGCAAGACTCTTTCTTGCTTTCTTTTGTTATAAACATTGATATCGTAATAAGCTACAAGAAGAAACATTAAATGCAATTACATCTTCATGTTCATTATTTCTTCGGGTGCTTTCACTACAAATCACTTTACAACAAAAAAGAAACTCATTAAACAGAATAAGAAGGAAAATGTCGTGGGTCGTAATTAGAAGAAGATTCAATCTTATGGAAAGTCACATTTTCATTATTTTTGTAGCGTTCAGAGAGAGTAAAAAAAGGAACGGAAGGAGAAGAAAAAAAACTTCCGCTATCCTTTGTTTATTTTATGGTTTAATCATTGACGAGCCGATGAGTTTCATGGGAATGGAATTGTTGATGCGCAACACACATACACACCCACAAAATAAAAATAAAAAACAAATTTGAGGAACGAAATTTTAGTCTTGTTTGCTTTTCATTGCCACTCAAGCCGGGTTGGGTTCATATTTAGTCGTAATTAGATCATAAATTTTTGGCAAGTTAGCTTAGGACGAGTTTGCTTCAAAACGTTAACCCAAAAAGTTGATCGTATGAAGAAATTGTCAATCTCAAGGCTTGTTTAATGTTTTTCAGTTTTCCAGTAAAAAGAAGAAAAAAATGAACTCAATTAAACTTCCCGTTGACACTTCGAAAGTATCTAAAAAGTTTCAACTCTTTATGCTCGTCTTGTTATGAAATCGTAAGTGAATGGAAAAAACAAAAGGGAAACTCGGAAAGAAATTATTTCAATTTTCTTTTATGAACTTCATGAGAAAATTTTTCCTATAAAAATCAGGAGATTTTATGAGTCACCTTTTTAAGGAGATTATCTGGCGACGCTTGGTAACAAAAGAAAAACCTTGCAAAATACGGTAAAAGAAAAGGAAGTTTTTCTTACGACTAAGCCAAACTAGACATAAACTTGCTCCACTGCGTCAGAAATTTATCTGAGGTCGTTAAAAGGCAATCTCATTCGAATCGTTTACAATCCAAGAACACAAGAAAAAAGTAACATCGACCGTTGATGTTAAGAATTAATAACTTGAGTTTTATTCTATCGGTATCTACTTAGGTTCATTCGGTCATCGAACACGACAAAAAGAACAAAAAATACGAGAAGATGTTGTGAAAGTAAGATTTATATTGTGATCGTGATATAAATAGATTTTCTCCAGTATTAACATGATTTCTCATATGAAGATTCTTTTTGGGAATTCCTTCGCTCTCTTGCACAAAATGTTTCTTTGCACATCCACAAACGGACGATAAAGGTCATGAAAGTCTCGAGAGAATATTCGAATTTGTTTTCTTTCTTAAATGCTTATTCTCGATCTCCACGCAATTATAGGAAAGTTTACGCCTCATACAAAAATCTAATAGAAAAAAGAAGAATTTTGTCGATGAAGGAAATTAGATCTGGAAAAATTGCTTTTGTTGTTGTTGCCAACAAATTAAAAAATTAATTTTGTCGCTTTTCATATCTTTGTAATGAGAAAAAAATTTCCTTTAATATTTTCATCGCCTTAAGTCCTTTGTTGAAATTCCTGACCTTCCATTTTGAGTGCTTTTTATATTATTGGCATGAAGGGAAACGAATAAACGTAATCAGAATAAAATCACAAACATTTTGCTTGCTTTGTGTCATGTTTCTACAGTTGACGACGATAGCAAGCAATCTTGTCTTGTTTTATGTAAATATTTATCACTTATAGCTCTTGAAGAAAGCGATAAATAAGAAGAGCGAAGGAAAAAAAAGCAATTTTCATCCTCCCTAAGACACAATTTCTATCTGGCATGAAATACTTCACTGATAGAAGAAATAAATACGTGGAAAAAAGATAAGAAAAGCGAATGTAAAGATTTTCGCAAGAACTTTCTTCTTCGAACATGCGGCTGAATTATGACACACATTTACTGCCTAGGAAATTTCAAATTTATTTGACTTTTAACAGTGAAAATTTTGTGTCACTGAGAAATTCAATTTCCTCGCTTCTTCTTATTTCAATCATCTTCCTGATTTCTTAGAACTTTATCGATCTCTTTGACGTTTCACTTCAGTGATTTCACTTCTTTCTTTTTAATAGAAAATTTCTCAACAATACCTTCATATCTGTTTTCTTATAACAAAGCACAAAACATAAAAGAATGAATGAAACACGTGTTGTTAAAAATCGAACAGTTATTGCCTTCACGCTTCATTTTCATTAAGTAGAAGTTGGTCTAAGAATTCATAAGTAGACTCGACATTTAAAGGAGCACTTTAAGGATCGCATTACACTTTGAATATCTTATCGACTCGAAACCATAGCAAAGCACCGTTTTCGGCATGTTTGTTCAACGTTTATTTACGAAACGGACAATGATAAAAAAGAATTTTTTTTATGCAAATTTAACTTTTATCGTCACTTCTTTCCGGAATTCAAACTCATTTTCTTTTCAATATCATGATAGTCGCTGTTCTATGTTGAAATAAACAGTCATGCGATTGTCGCACGCCAATTTAACGATTAAATTCATTTCAATTCTACACTTTTACATGCTTGATTCTCGATTATTTTCATTCTCATAAAGCGTTCAGAAATATAAAATGAACAGATGAAGATAAAAATCAATTTCAATACTTTTTACTGTCTCCCTTTGCATGATGTGACACAGCCGCATTTAAACAATAATACGGATTTCTGATAACAGTTGCAAAATGAATGTGTACACTTCATTTCGATATTCGTTTCCGTCTTTTATTTTTTATTTTATGAACGTGAAGACGGAAGGGAGAGAAAAAGAGAGAGAAGGAGAAAGGCAAGAAGCTTAAAAAAATCGATGGAACTCCCCGATGATAATGATGACGACGATTTGAGATGTGTCTACAGAAGCTACAGAATCCTTATTAAGCAGATTTTAGAGTTTAGGGAGTAATTAGAGGTACAAGCAGCTTAAGTTGAAGTTTATTGTCCCGTTGGAATTTGGAAATTTTTTCACTAAATAGAAATGTGCTGACGGTGAAGTTCAGTGTTCGTTTGAAAGCTTCATTAAAAGAGTATCAAAGATTATGTTTGTGGAAATCTTTTTCACTTGTCTTTCACTTTTCCTTTTACTACAAACAAAATATTAGATTTCTTTATTAATGTTTAAGGAAGAAAATTTCTTTTTAGAGACGGATAGGAATGAAAGAAACTGAAAATGCGTTTGAAAAGCTCGATCTAAAAGTTGCTACTGATAATGTACAATGAGAAAATTGTTGAGGAAATCTCATCATACCAACACAGCTAAAAACTTCGGAAAATTTCGTGCTTTTCATTGTCATGACAACCAAGAGAGAAAAATTATGTATGAGAGAAATTTTCTTTTCTCTCTCTCATTTTCCATGTCTGATGATGTTGTGATAGGTTTAAAATTCAGCTGTGTAATTCAAGGCATGTTTTAATAAGAAAAACAAGCGAAGAATGAATTGCAATTTAAATGAATTTGCTTGCATACATTTTCCATCGTTAATAAAAAATTCCATTCATAGTCATTTTTAATTACTTTCAGTTTATTAAGCAAAAATGAATTCAAGCGAGACATAAATCATTGAAACATCAGAAGACGCAAAGACACTCACACAACACAGGAGATAATGCTCCCAAAAGTGGTTTCATCTGAACAAACATTCTTCTTAACTCTGACATTTTAAAAATGAAAGAAATATGAAGACGAGAGAAATGAAAAATTGCCACAGTTGCCTTCCGATGGAAAAAGAATTGAATTTGAGTTTTACCCTCACATTTTTTCGTTGACGCTTCTCATTAAACCACAATTTATTTCTGTGGCGACCAAGCAAATGATTTATTCATGAGTGGAATTGTTTAAAAGCTCGACTTAATGGATTGTATAAGTTTTAATGTTATTAAATCGAAATCTAATCATTTTTTCTTCTTTCATGTTGCATTTCTAATAAAACCTAATTGATTATTCATAATTGTGTACTCACCGATCAAAAATTCGTGCTTCCTTCAAAACATTTCCCAAGTTGATGTAAGCATCGAGGAAATTTGGATCTAAGGCGACAGCTTTCTCAAAATGATGTATCGCCAACCAGATTTCGCCTTGTGCATTAAAAACACATCCAAGGTTACTCCAAGCAACAGCAAAATCTGGACGAGTCTCAATGGCCTTTAAGTAGCAAGCCTAAAGGCACCACAACATGTCGAGAATTGAAAGAAATAAGAATTGTATCAGTAAAGCATCATCTGAAACGTGTTTTGTTTCGAATAAGGGAACGAGAGATAAATATATAAAAATACAAAAGATAAAATTTTGTGTGACTTTAAATGATTGACAAATTGAAACAATAAATAACAATAAAATTAAAATTTAAATTGAAAAATCTTATCACAGAGAGAAATCTGAAATCTGTCACAAATAATTAAAATAATTCATTAAATATTATAATTAAATTTTCTAGAGAAATTCCAAAAAAGAAAATGTTTAAAAATTTCAAGAAAAGTGAAAAGAAAAAAGGGGAAAAAGTCGATAATGATTTTTCATCAGCTAAAATTTGTTGAAAAATGAATAAATCTTTTTCCTTCTGTGAAACGCAATTATTTAAGTGAAAAGTTTTATGTACATGGCCCAAAAATCATGACTTTCTCATTTACAATTAAAAGAAGCTTTTAATATAAAAGTTTAATGTTGAAATTTTAACAAACAAAACTCATAAAAATTTAAGATCGCTAAGCTTCCTTTTCCTCGGAAACAAGAACGCCATGATTTTTAATGTTCATTAATAAAAAAAGAGCAGAAATGGTTCTTCTTGATTTTACGCAATTATTTCTTTTCATTTAAAATTTCAAAATTTATTTTGATTCTACGCAGTTTGTTGAGTGAAAAGAAAGCAGACAAGCATTTTTGGGAGGGTTATCCTTGATGTTTATTTACAACACGTTTAAGGATGAAGAAGATTTCATTACGCTTTAGATAATCTTTTAAGATTTAAATTCGTCAGACAAAAGACATAGCAAATGGAATTGGACTCGAAAAAGCTTTCGCAATAAAGCTTTTTCATTTATATGTCGGTTCGATGAGCTTCATCTGTCAGGGAAGACAATAAGTTCGTTGAAGATAAGAAAGGAGAATAGAAAATATTTCAGTTACGCCCTACGCATTTAATCCACGTTTCTATCATCATATTTTCTAATCCACTTCATTCCAGTTTTTCCCTTAAGACATTTTTCTGACAACCAACATTATTTTTTTCTCCTTTTTGCGAAGTGATTGGAAAAGCATACACGTAAGTATGTTACAATGATGATAGAAATGTGGATGAATGAAAGATTATCTGAGGCAGCACTTGAGATGATACTTGTCAAGCTCAGATAAACTTTTGTATTTTGATATTTATGAGATTTGCAGTCTTATAAAAAAAGGATGGAGAAGAACTCATGAGATCGTCCACACACATAATCCTATGCGCGCAGTGTTCGTCTCACGAAGTCGATAATCTAAAAAACAAAACTTAATATTCTATAAGAAATTTATATTCGTATTTGGTCATCGGAAAAAGGAATGAAAAGAGTAAAACGAAAAATATTTTTAAAGGGATTATCAGGAGAAGGAAAATTGATGAAAGGAATTTTCGTTTTTGACCAAATACCATTACTTTACCTGTCCCACGTATTACGCCATCATGTCACCACCATTTAATCGTCCTGTGCTTTAACTTATTTACTTTTATATATTTTCGGAGGCGTTGTGTGTGTGTGTATCTCATCGGGGATTAATCAACCAAAACTCTTTTCATTTTGAGAATTTTCTTTTCTTTTCTTTTTCGTTCTCATTTCTACCGATCGCAAAGTTTTTTTTCTTTTCTCTTTTATTTTTTCCAAGGAATGCAATTTAAAAGTTTTCATCTGCATTCCAATCATCAAAACACGAGAATTTTGAAACACTTCTTTGCATTCATGTTTTTAATATTTTATTCACTGTAAAATGATTTAAAGAATTTTGGTTTATCAGAGATGATGCTTGATAATCATTAATTAAACTTTTTATATTCTTTTTGTCGTTGAAATTATGATCTAAATGCTTAATAGAATTTGGATTTCTTGGTTTTCTTTCTTACAATCAAACATTCATAAATAAACTCATTCATACCGACTTTGGATAGAAAAAATGTTAAGAAGATCGCCTGAAGGGAGTGGATTGTTTTGAAGCCGCCTTTTATGTTTATAATATCATATATTTGTTAAAATCAAACGGAAAATTTTCTTCAGCTCCATTCGGATGACCGGTTGAACTGAAAATATTTTTAATAATAATTTCATAAGCAGCAACATTTGGAAGCAATTTCAATCGCATTGGGACATGAGACAAGCGGATGGTAGCGGGATCCTACGCTCTCGCAAAAAATCTACGTGACATTTCGATAAGAAAATTTATTGACGCATTAAACGCACTTTCTAGAGAGTTCCATTAATTTAATTCGTAAATAAATTACGCATAGAAAAAGTCAAGAAGGATTTTAAGAGAAAGAGAAATTCTGGTCGCATAGACGGCTGCAAAATTTAAATCCTTTAATAATGTTTTGCATTGGAGGACATAATTTTTCGAATCAAATGCATACAATGATTAAAAATGATTTCAATTCATTTTATCGTTCACAACAAATAACTCACATGCGTTAACTTACCTTTGCTTCATCTAAACGACCCAAAGCTTTCAGTAAATTTCCCAAATCACTTCGAACACAATAAAGATCCTGAAAAACAAACGAAGAGTTTGAGAAAATTGATGGAATAGTAAAAAAAAAGTCGAGAACTTACAGGATTATATTGAAGAGCTGTAACATATGCCTGTACAGCTTGTTCCATATCACGAGCTGCAACAAGAGCTGCTGCCAAATTTATATAACCATCGATAAAATCAGGCTTTAAACGAACAGCATGACGATAGTTCTCTAAAGCTTCTTGAAGTTGTCCGCGCTCTTTGTAAACATTTCCCAAATTACTGCAAAATATATTGTGTTGTTTTATTTAACGCAGTATAGTGATAAGGAAATGGCAATTCAAGGTGAACATTTATAGAAATAATTTATTTTTATTTTACCTGTACGCTTCAGCTAACAACGGATTTTGTTTAATTGCCATTGTTGAGAAATGCGCTGATTTGTCAAGACGACGACATTGAAAATGAATTGACGATAGAAGTAAAAGAACTCCAGTATTGTTACTTTCTTGTCTAAGTAACTGCATGCAGTGTCGTTCTGCATTTTCGTAGTCAGCAGTTTGATATTCTTTATGAGCGAGTTCAAGTAAACCTGTTGTTATAAGATGAAGAAATTTTGTTAGATAAAATCAATAATATGACGTAAAAGCTAAGACATCAAATGGAGAAATGCATTTTCTTCTTCTTTTTTATTGATGTTTACAAAAATCCTTGACCTTTTATCAAGTAAACTTTCATGATTAGATGTCACATTACAAAAGATTTTGAATATTTATGAAATTAAAAATAATTCATTTTTCTATTAAAGATCATTAAATATTTTACTGAAATGCAGTTTCTAATTTTTCACGGTAATTTTCCGCCATTCAATTCATTTTTTTCTTTCTTACCCATTGAAGATATTTGATGAACTTCTCCGATTTTCACAGAGCTAGTTTGTAGCGGAATTTGAGTCTGCATATTTGAATTTATATATTTCCGATAACTTTTCCACTCTTCTTCACGTTTTAATAGTTTTAATCTTAAAAATTGGAGATGTTCACATCAATTTTTTTATAAATTGTAATTTCTAACAAAAGATTCCACGATACGATTCAAGGGGAAGCAAAGTTGTTTCTAATTGAGATTTTCAACCTGTAAAAGTAAGGGGAACGAATTTAAATTTTAAAACATAACCGTTAAATTTTTATAAATTTTAATATAATTTCAATTTTTTATTTAGGTAGGTAGGTATATTGAATCAAAGAATTACTTTTCTTCTTCTTTAGAAGCACCAATTTGAACATTCTGTTTTAAATTAAATTTAGATTTCTTTAATTCTCCTTTACGTTTTATGTCTGAATTAAAGTTTCCTCGTTGTTTGAAGAGATCTCCTACCATTCCTGGATTATGCACTGTGACGTTCTTTTCAATGTTTGTCTCGCAATCATCTTCATCTTTATCAACTTGATACTTTATTTGGTGGCTTTCTTTTTCGCTGTCAGTATTTGGTTGATCAACAGTACCAGCTGTGACTACAGTTCCATCCTCATTTCTTCGGATATTAAAGAAGAGTTTGTCCCAATTCATCCATGTCGCGATGCTGATAACACCAACTCCAATTACACTTAGCACACCCACTACAACAGAATTTTCGGTTGAAATTTTCGACATCATTTTGAAATCAAACTTCAAGAATTGAATTAAGTTTCGTCAATTTGTTGATTTCTTTCTATCGAATACGAAAAAAATAGAAAACAAGTGATTTTAAAACATAAAAAACGAAACCAAACCTTATTAAAGTCGATTGTCAATACATTGAAAGTTAAAGATTACACTTCGATAAGTTATTTATTGATTATGATAAAGTTAATTTCTGAGAAAATGAGCTTTTTTATGCCGGATAAATTTCACAACAATTATCACTATTTCATGCGAACCCCTCATGTAAGACTCGGGGTGTCCAACTAGGTAGTTTGTTATAAAACGGCGAATTGTAAACACAAAATAATGTCAGAAAAAATTCAAGAGCTTACTTTACCATTATCAGTTATTCAACGGCTTATTAAAGATGCTTTGCCACCTAACGCCATTGCCAAAAATGAAGCTAAGCTTGGAATCAGTAGATCTGCTTCAGTTTTTATTCTGTTTTTAACAAGTGGTAAGAAAAACTTTTGTTTTGTGGGAATAAATTTTAAAACATGAAACTTCTATGTTTCTCATTTTATTAAAGCTGCTACAGAAATCACTTCATCAAAAAATCAGAAAACCATGACAGCTGATCATGTCCTTCAAGCACTCAAAGAAATCGAATTCGATCATTTCATTCCAGAATTGGAAGTCCAACTTGCAAATTATCGTCGAATCATGAAAGACAAAAAAGATCGAAAATCTTTAAATGATGCTGGTGGAAACACTGAAAAAGCAACAGAAGAAGTAGAAGACGATGTTGTAGAAATAAGCGATTAATTTATTTATTACTCTCATAAATTTTAAGCAATTTTTTGTATCTAAGTAAAATAAAAATTGGCGCCAAAACTTAAATGCTGATTATTAGGTAAATTTAGTTTTAAAATTGAAGAAATTTTATTTTGGAGTTTTCAAGCTGTCTTTTATATGAATTTTATAGTACCTATTTAAATCTTTTACTTACTTCTCTCCTGCGCCTTCTAGTGTATATCCAGCAATAGCTTGTTTCATTCCAGGATCGACAATTTTTGATCTACCTTCATGACAGGATCCAGATTCAGTTCAATTTACTTCTTGGATCTAATACCAAGATCTTTTAAAATTCCAATTTATTGACAACTTTGATGTGAGGATCATTAATACCTCGAAGGTGTATAAAAGCCAATGAAAATGGAAACAGAAGAATTCTATGATTTTTGTAGGACATTCAGACATAGAAAAACTTGCCATAACAGATAAAATTTTTCGGGTTTAAAGAAAATTCTTATAAAGAAAATTTTGATAAAAAATTTAAATAAATAAAGACAAATCAGAAATGTTAATTAGTAAATAAAATACCACATTACAAAAACATTTCCTGCAAACAATGAATCAAGTTTCTGATAAACCGTCAGCAGACGAAAATAAGAATGAAATTTCTTTGTCCCGAAAATCGTCAGAAAGCAGTTCAACTTCTGATGACTATGTTGTTGTAGCTGATAATAAAGAATCATTAGTATCTCCAGTTTTAGAGTATATTGCTAATGAAAATGTTCTTCAAGACGCCATTGCTAATAATTCATTAAATATAGAGAATTCACCATCGACACCGAGTGTTGTAGGAAAATCGATTTTTTATGATTGCCCATCAAATGAAAATTTGAGTCTCAATGAAAAAAAGGAATCAGACACAGACGACGGTTTGTATAATTTATAAAAAATTTATTTCCTATCCTATTATAAATTATTGAATATTGATAAAGATGCCGCAACGTATGAAATCGACCAAAATGATGGAAACTTTACAATATTCAGCAATGTCTTATATCTCGGATCATCAAATATTATTCTGCCTAAATCTGAAGACGAAATCTTACGAAACATTAATGAATTAAATTCAAGTTCGGGAAATATCGGCGTGAAAGTTAAAATATCAATACCAAATTGTTGTGATGGTCAAGTAGTGTAAGAAGTTTCATAAAAATTGTGAAGAATTCTTGTTAAAACAGTTTTTACTTTCAGACTCTATGATGAAGAATCCGAAGGGACAATATATTCATCATTCGATATACAATTCATCTTGTTTTATGCTCGTGGGAAGGCAAATTCAGAGGATCATGCTTGTTTCGCATTCAGCTGGTCACACGGTGACACACAAGAGACTGCAATTTACCAGTGCCATGTTTTTCGTTGTAACGTTCCAGAAGCTGTTCAACATGTAAGCTCTTGTTTCGCAAAGGCTTTTCAACGAATTCCCCAAAATATGATGGCTTGCAGTCTAACAACAGAAAATCTTGTAGTCACATCGGACATGAGTGGAAATCCTTTGACCCATGCTAGTTATGAATTTCTCGTATCGCTTGAGATACGTGAGAAAATAACAAGAAGCACTTATTCAAATGTTGTACGTGAAAAGTCGTGCTTCAAATTGCGTCAGAATTGTGATAAGGAAATTTGTATAACAGTTAAATTGAATCCGTCAGAAAATCTTCCACCATTGTTCATTGAACGTTGTTTCGGAGTATTATTATCTGTTGGAAAGATCAAGAAACAAGCTGATATGCAATTGCTTGAGCTTTCTGCACCAGGAGCTTATCTAAAATCGTCCTCAGACTTTCAAATCATTGCAAAATGGGATTTGAATGAAAAAGCATTTCATGGTTTGAATGACACACATAAATCTCAGATAATTACTCTTGCTATTGATCTTGTTGTGAAAGAAATTCAAGAGCCAGTAAGATTCGTGATTGAAGCACAGACAAAGGTCGACAACTCTGAAAGTCATTCGTCACGTTTCAGTAACAGTTTTCTCTTCCAAAGTGCAAACAGACGGCCTATGTTGAAGAAGTTTTATGTTCAACTCAAAGAAAATGGAGATAATACTTGGATACTTTCATCCATTGATCCATCGGATGAGATTGTAGAACCAACTCCGCCAATTTCATTCAATCAAAAATTTAAAAACTTGTCCAAAATAGTACGATCAACATCCTCGGTGTCATTTGAGTTTGATGAGTTAAGTCCAACAGAAGAAGCATCAGCTTCTTTTTGTTCAGATGAAGATGAACCTTTGCAGTCTGGAACGGGAGAAGTCAGCAAAGATTGCTCTCAAGATCGTCTAGATTCATGGGTTCCAGTCATCCAAGAGTGGCAAACTTCAGGAAAACGTCCAAAGAATCTTACAATGTTAGTCAGAAGTGGAGGCATTCCCGAAGCTCTTCGTTGCCAATTATGGCAGAAATTATCTTACACAGAAAATCGTCAAGATTTAACTGACAAGTATCGGATTCTAATCACTAAAGAAACAAAATGTGAAGACATTATTCTGCGTGATGTTAATCGTACATTTCCAGCTCATGAATTCTTTCGAGATGACGGCAATGGACAAGAATCACTTTACAAAGTTTCAAGAGCGTATTCTGCCTATGATGAAGAAGTTGGCTATTGTCAAGGATTATCGTTCATCGCTGCAACTCTTCTACTTCATATGCCTGAAGAAGAATCATTCTCAGTGCTTGTTTCTATAATGTACGACTATGGACTAAGAGAATTGTACAAGACAAACTTTGAAAATTTGTCCCTTCGACTTTTTCAATTCACGTGCATGTTACGGGTTAGTAATTTATTTTTTATATTCCTTAATATTGTTAATTATATTATTAGTTATTTTCATTTTCTAGGATCAATCGCCTGATTTGTACGAACATTTCGCCACTCAAAAAGTTGAAGTTCACATGTTTGCTTCACAATGGTAAATATCTCAAATAAAATGAGTTTTTATGGTTGAATAGACTGAGAAATATTAAAAAAAATGAAATTTGCAGTAGAAATCTTGTAGCTTTATCATGATATCGAAAATGATTCGAACCTTGTACGAAAGCAGGAAATAATTTGTTTTAATCTCATGTTCCACCATACATCAACCTTGTAATAGAAATAATTTTAATATCTTTATGTTTAATCTCTTTACAGGTTTCTAACGTTATTCACAGCTCGCTTTCCGTTGCCATTTGTTTTTCAATGCATTGATTTATTCCTTCTCGATGGCATTAATGTGTTATTCCAGATTGCTTTTGCATTGTTGTCTGTTTGTCGAAAAGATCTTTTATCGAAAGATTTTGAATCGATTCTCAAATATATTCGCAACACGCTACCGAAGAAATTCCGAGTTGAAAGTCAGGTATCAAAGCTTATAAAGTTGGCAAGTGAATGTAAGGTGAAGAAGTTAAAAAAATATGAGGACGAATTTGTGATTCAAAAGGAAGAAAATGAAAAATTTGAACGAATGCTGTTGCAGTATCAAATGAAATATAATGAAGATCGTAAAGCAATGCGAAATGAAATAACACAGCTTCAACAAAGGATCAAAAAGTATGAAATTGATGAGAAAAAATATGAAAGTATCATCCAGGATTATAAGCTTATTATCCAACGACAAGAGCTTCAGCTTGAAGCTACAAAGAAATCAAAGGTATTTGAATTTATATTATGATTTTTGAAGCATTTAATTTAATTATTGTTTCACTTAGATTCCCGAAAATAAGGAAGAGAAAGATCATGACAATTCTACAATATGTTCTCTAGACTATGCAACTCAAAGAATACGGGAATTAGAAATGGAATTGGCACAGTCAAAAGTATCTCAAGTCGAAAGTGAATGCATGAATCAAAATCTGCAACATCAGTTGAATGCTCTGATTGCTAAAAGCAATGCAACTGAAAGTCATCCTCCGCCAACAAACTCTTGGAAAATTAAATGGGATAACGTAGTGAACAACATTCCAAATGTCACACAAAATATTCCATCCGTTAGCACATTTCAATCTCATATTTCTGACTTTGCCCATAATCATCTAAATAGTTTCGATGAGACAAAATAATTTACTTCAACATCTATCTGTATACACACATATTATTAAATTTTACATATTAAACTGAATATATAAGAATAATATATCGAGTAATGTAATAAAATTAAATTTTAATCAGTTTCTTTCATAAATTAACGGAATAAATACATAGAAATTTAAATTATAAAAAAATTAACGGACTTTTAATTTTTAAAATAAACGGTTCAAAATATTCCTCCATTAATGTAAAAATTTTTGACAAAATTCATCACAAAGTAAAAATCTTTTCATAAGTTTTACAGTTTCAAAAGTGCTTTATTGCGAATTATCTTAATTTAAAAGCAGATAAAACTATTTTGAAATGATTCGACATTTATTTAGAAGTCGATAAGCAGCTTTGGATTTTATTTTATCAAAAAAACAACGTGATTCTTTAAGAAGAAAAAAACATTAAAAGAATATCCAGAAAGATCGCACATTCAGAGTAACAAAAATACACAAAGAATATAAGAGTTAAAATATGATAAAAAGAAACAAGGAGCAAAAAAAAAATCTTAATTATACTGAGATGACTGACGTTTTCGATTTTGAGCTTCACGAGGCTCACACCGATGGAAATTGCGATGAAGATAGCGATGATGTTGTATTAGATGATGTAAGTTACCTTCAAAAAAGTGTATAAAAAACTTTAATTCTCTTTCTTCTTTCTCTCTTCTTTTATTCTTCAAATCAATTGATTAAAAAAAAGCTTTATCTTTATAATTTCTATGAAAAGCCTATGAAATGGCACGTCTCCATGAAAACATGTCTTTGAAATTCAAGGAAAACAAAACATTTCCATGAATGTACGACCATGAATCATCGGTTGTACATAACACATTTTGTTTTTCCTTATAAAAAACTTTCTTTGTTGTTTAAAATGTTCCTAAGGGTAGCATTTATCCTTCTCGATGTGACGCAATCAGTGTAAGGATTAAATAAATTGTGTTGATGGAAAGATAGAAAATAAAAAAGCTTTTTTCCACTGTCAATAAGAATGTTCCGTCAAATCAAATGCTATAATTGTTTATCATCACAAATACTTAACATCAATTGGATCCAATAAACGTCATAGATGATTTTCTTTTTCTTTTCTTTGTACTTATTCGCAGATGGATTTAGAATCGGAACTGAACAGCAACAAAAACATGGAGTATGTTTGTGTTTGATTCTCTGGTTTTATGAATATTTATTTTCTTTTTTAATTTCATATTTGGACTTATAGTTTAGAAGAAACTGAAACTATTCAACTCAATGAAGATATCGTTAATCTTGGATTGAAGCTTGGGCCACCAGATTTTGAGCTAAAAAAGGTTCTTGGTAAAGGTGGTTATGGAAAAGTGTTTCAGGTAAAAAAGTACATCTTATTTTATTTATGTTTTGTTTCTTATTTCTTTTGTTATTTATGTACATTTAAAGGTGAAAAAAGTGACCGGCAAAGATGCAGGTAGTTTCTTTGCTATGAAAGTGCTTAAGAAAGCTTCAATTGTGCGTAATCAAAAGGACACAGCACATACGAGAGCTGAGCGAAATATTTTAGAAGCAGTGAAAGTAAGTCACATACATAAATTAGAAAATCCTTCACAAAAGTTATAATTATTATTGATATTCCAACCTTCATATAGCATCCTTTCATAGTCGAATTAGTTTATGCGTTTCAAACAGGAGGGAAGTTATACTTAATTCTGGAATACTTAAGTGGAGGCGAACTTTTTATGCACTTAGAACGCGAAGGAATCTTTTTAGAGGACACAACATGGTAATTAATTGTTTTTTTTATGATTTCTTTGTAGATAAATGACATTGTTTATTTATTTTTTCAGCTTTTATCTAAATGAAATTGTTCTCGCTCTGGAACATCTTCACTCTTTAGGAATTATTTACAGGTTTGTTGTCATTAAGTAGATAGTAAGTGTTTAGCCCGACATTTAATTATTTCTATCCATAATTAGAGATTTAAAACCAGAAAATGTTCTTCTCGATGCTCAAGGACATGTAAAGTTGACCGATTTTGGTTTGTGCAAAGAACATATTCATGAAGGTATCACAGCTTGGACATTCTGTGGAACAATTGAGTACATGTAAATATTTTACTCCCTTTTTATACCTTGCATTTATTTATTGAAATATATTATTGAAATTCTTTAGGGCACCAGAAATTCTGACACGTTCAGGACATGGAAAAGCTGTCGACTGGTGGAGTCTTGGGGCTTTAATGTACGATATGTTGACAGGAAATCCACCATTTAGCGCTGAAAATAGAAAGAAAACAATTGAAACAATCCTTAAAGGAAAATTAAATCTTCCAGCTTATTTAACGCCAGATGCTCGTGATTTAATTCGTCGCTTGATGAAACGTCAAGTGTCACAGCGTCTGGGAAGTGGATCAGGTGATGGTTTAGAGGTTCGTTCACATTCTTTCTTCAAGAACGTCAATTGGAAAGATGTCTTTGCTCGTCGTCTTGAGCCACCAATCAAACCAGTCTTGGTAAGTGGCATTAAGCTAAAAATTGCTTGTAAAATGTTCTTTTTTTCTTATCTTTCAACATTTCTCTTGTAGAGAAGTGAAGACGATGTTTCTCAATTCGATACAAAATTCACAAAACAAATTCCAGTTGATTCTCCCGAAGATTCAATGTTAAGTGAAAGTGCCAATATGATGTTTCAAGTAAGAAATCCTTTCAAATCAAATCAACAACATAAAAACTATTCTAATATGTTTTTTAATTAATAGGGATTTACTTATGTCGCACCAAGTGTGCTTGAAGAGATGAGTCAAACACGTTTAGTAACACCTCGAAGTCCTAGACGAGCTCCTCGCAATCGCGTCGATGATAATATGCTGAGAGTTTTTCCAGGCGCCTCAACCTCTATCGCTGGTATATCGAACCAAACTCAACATTTTTATCCAAACTCTTCTCACCTCAATAACAACAATTTTCATAATCAACGAAATCCGCTATTTAATCATCGTCAATCGCCGCATTTGCAAGGATTTGCTAATACACCTAATGATGATAGTATGATGGACGTTCAGTTGCCAAATGTGTAGTTATAAACAATATTTTAACCATCATCATCATCATCATCATCAATGATTGCTTCAGTTTCTTATATTCGGGATGTTGAGGGAATGAAAACAATTTTGTCACAAATAAAGCTTGTAAACAATTTCAAATTTATGTAAAATCGCGTCAACAAAACAAACTGAAGAATCAGTAAAAGTTGATGATGTTGTGAAATAAATGAATTCAAATTTATTGTTTTTAAAATCAATAACAATCAAATGAGATAAATTTAAACTTTGGGAAGTTGATAGACGCCATAAGCATACACAAGTTTATGTTCTCTAACTTTTCTTTGCAAGAAACCTTTCAGTTCATCTTGAGAAAACTCAAATCCCGGTCCTTGAGATGCAAACATTTTAAGCATTTGATGAATGCGTTCGAGTGGCATTGAATCGAGATTTGTCAACATTCCAAGAATGTAAGACCAGAAAACTTGAAGTTCTTCTTCTCGTTGATCACTTGCTGATGCCATGCACGTTTCTTCTTCTTCCAACACAACATTTGTTTGAGTCTCCATCGAGTCATCTGGTTGATCATCATCGCAAAGTACGAAAAGATTTTCTTTTGTTTCACGAATTAAGCCTTGAAGTTGCCAGAAACCAATACGACGACGAAGCACAGATTGTGGCATGTTAATCAACGAACTCAACTTCTCGAGTTCCCATTCTTTCTGATCTTGAAAATGCATAATTATCGTCGCCTGTGCTGGCGTCACAAACATATCTAACTTCTTCTCATTAATTTCAATCTCAATATTGACACGACCATTGAGAGGCGTCCAATACAATGTGCGATTCCCTTTGTATTCCTCATAAGTCTTTTTATATTTCTCAAAAAGTTTGTTAATAACTTCTGGAAATTCCATTGTTTCCTTTTTAAATGTTGGCCAAAATTGCGATGAAACAATCAAAGCTGACACACTTGGATCACTCGACAGAACTGCAAATTTAATTTAGTTTAATTATTTTCTTTATAAGTTAAATTTCTTACGTTCGTTCTTACCTTCACTAAATCCAGCACTTTGAATATGAGAATTAATTCTTTTCGAGTCGCTTATGTCCTTCAACATAACTTCACAACTATGCAGCAAATTCTCACCAAATCTCAACTTCAAAAGTTCCAAATTTCGAATTTCTTTTTCAGGATTAAAGTCAAGTTGGGTGAGTAACCGTTCAGCAAGGAGATTGCGATATTCATTGACAAATAATTCTTTACTTCCATAAATGTCAACAATCATTGAGATGATGTCAGACTTTCGACTTTGTGATGATAACTTCTCTGGATCAGCATCAATCGGATCAGGATTCCAACTCTCCCAATTATTCATCTCATCTTGACTTCTTTCTGTCTCTTCAGCTTTTATTGCTTCACTTCTCGCAAGTTCTTCCGATAAATCCGAAGGAGTTTCTTCGATTAAGCTTGTAATGACACATCGAACTGTGTCTTGTCTGCCCTTTCTTAAATATTCTTTAACTGGTTCCGTCACTGTATGCAAAAGAATTCCACTCTTCTCTAAATGTCTCATCGTTTTTATCGTCGCAACATAACCAGTGATGATGTCAGCTGTGTCAACACCAGGATGAAGTAATCGCGTTTCAATTGAACTTCTTAAACTCTCGACAAGATGAGATCTTAAATCCAATCTTTCCATGCAAAGTTTTAAGTCATCGATTGCTGGCTGTGAGTCTGGAAACTCAATTATGATGTTGAAGAATTGATCGATGATTGTGTTTGCATATTTTTCAAACATGTAATATTTAAGCTTCATTTTGAAATGCTCAATACATTCGTTGATTTTTGTGTTTGTTGAATCGATTTTTAGAGATCCATTGTTGTATATTCTCGTAAGCCATTCAACGATTATCGCATTCAGCCATGTCTTTAAATTCTTCATATGTGAAGTATCGAAATCGCCGCGACACTTCTCATTGATGTGTTTGGAGATTTCATTTTGGATAAGATTTGTTAGTGTAAAACCAGAAATTCTGTCCAGCAATCCCATTTTATTAAGACAAAAGTTTGTCTCAGTGAATGAATTTACAAGTTCTTGACATTGACAAAGACTTGTAATTGAGTCACATCCAGAACATTCAACTTTCTCCTCCAGTTGATCCATATATTCATCTTCCTCTTCTTCAGTCTTTTTCGAATGAATAAATACTTTGAAAGAAACTTTATAGAATCCATTGACAATGTTTGAGAAATTTGCTGGAAGTTGAGACAACAAACTTGACTTGAAAACTTCATCAAACTTAAAAGTCGATTTAATTCCAGATTTTTCTTGTAAAGATTTTGAACGTTTATCCATTTTTGATAATAAACGATAGTTTTTATAAAGTTGTGTCACAGCATGTCGGAAAATATGAAATTCACATCTGTGAGCAGCATCGGCGTTTGACTCTTGTTTGAAATCCTCGAAAACTTTCCAAAAATCTGGAACAATTTTATATAAAAGTACATTTCCAACTTCTATATGAATTATTTGAGTTATTTCATCTAATAAATTAAGTGAAACTAGCTCATTATGAAGTTTATTTATGTTATCATCTAGTTGTAAACTATTTTCAAATTCGTCTTGCAATTCTTGCTAAAATGAAAGATTTTGATAAATTTCAAACCATAATACTGAATTATAATTATTCTTACGGTGTTATCAAGTACGGGGAATAAGAGCTTTGCCCTTTCCCAAACGATTTCCATAACTAAATTAAAGTTTATCACAAAACTAAATTTATTTTGTTTTCTAAAATTCTTGCCGGTTTTCAATATCTATTTAATCCGAATCGCGATTCGAACAAAAGTCAAATAAACATTCTCATCTTGTTCCATCATCGCGAGATTTTTTCACAACTCTGAACATTTTATTCGTTCAATTTCTTCTGCCACGAATAGTAAGAACAAATTAAGCTACTTTAATTTATTGAATAGATTTTAAATTTTTATTTCTCTAAGATTTCATCAAGTATTTCGCAAGTGTTTAATCATTTAATTTAATGTCTTTTCAGTCTTTTGAGTGTATTTTAAATCACCGAAAACTCGTGCCGTGTAAGCTTCATATCCTCATTCTTCTTCTTTGCATAACAATTCATAAAAGTACCGACATGTCTAACACAGAACGTAGCTTTTTGATGGTCAAACCTGATGGAGTTCATAGAGGACTCGTTGGTGAGATTATTAAACGTTTCGAAGCTAAAGGATTCAAGCTTGTTGCAATGAAGTTTATGTGGGTAAGTTGATAACCTTAAAAGACAAAATGATCTCTCGCTGTCATTGAAGATTAAAAGAATTGCACGACTTTATCTATCTTCAAAACCTTTTTCATAAGAATAAATTATTTGACAGGCCTCGAAAGAATTATTGGAAAAGCATTACGCTGATTTGAGTGCTCGTCCATTCTTCCCTGGTCTTGTTAGCTACATGAGTTCCGGACCAGTTGTTCCAATGGTATGGGAAGGTTTGAACGTTGTTAAGACCGGACGTGTTATGCTTGGAGCCACAAATCCAGCTGATTCAGCACCTGGAACAATCCGCGGTGATTTATGCATTCAAGTCGGAAGAAATATCATTCATGGATCTGACTCAGTTGAAAGTGCAAACAAGGAAATTGCTTTGTGGTTCAAGGTTTGTCATGAAATGAAATTCTCAAGGAGAAATTTTAATTTTTATTCTTTTAAAGGATAACGAGTTGGTCAGCTGGACACCAGCAAGCGTTAACTGGGTGTACGAATAAAACATTCGCAGGCTCCCAATCATCAACATCAAACTGTGAAAAAATTCCAACATAATTAAAAAGAAAAACACAAAAACAGCATTTAAATTATGAAAACAAAGTTGAAATAAAAGAAAATTTCCTTTAATCTGATTATCGCGTTTGAAAGTTTCATTTTATTTACATGTTGCGTGCTTATTGTTATGTAAACATTCATATCGATTATAAATCATCGTCATCGTCAACATCATCTTGAACAAAGTCAAATTCTTTATATCCAACTCTGAAAGCTCTCACGAGATCTTCTTCAATACTTTTCGGTAGTTGACAATTTCTCCAATTAATCTTATCTTCAGTATTTAAAATTGTTTCAGCGCAAAGAAAGTCACGACCGAAATTGATTGGAAATCGATTCATTTGTCGCGTGATTAAAGTTTCGTTGTTTGGTAATTCAATAACGAAGTAGGGAGAGCGTTCTGGGAGATCTTTTGATGACATTAGTTTAGGTATTGTCTCAAATGCCAAACTAAACTCTTCAGCCTTATCATTAAATGTTTCTTTCAACTGCCATTCTACATTTTTATCAATTCCAACAGCATTCACTTGCATGTGTGAAGTCTTGTAATTTCTTTCGAAAAAGACTGCACACATATTTTTGCTTTCATAAAACTTCTTCAATGCTCGCTTAAACAACTCAAGCTCTTGAAAATGTTCTTCAATAAGATGTGCCGATGATTGAACGTGACTTATTGGAAGGATGAGCGCATGATAATTATTCAGAGGCCCTTTGGCTAAAGCAATGTAAAAGTTATCACCAATTGAGATGATCAAATGCTTTTCAATATCACCAGAACTCAAACAAAACCAACATTTTTCTTGATCCGTCATTGGTCTGAATTTTTTTCTTTGTTGTTCTGAATTTCTCGACAGCTTTCTTTTATCACCTCTACCTTCGCTCCAAAAGAATTGTTGATTCTCATTAGTTTGTGTTCCTAAATCAGCGAAATCGATTTTAATATAAGGACATTCAATCTCGTCTGTGGATTTCTGCATAAGATCTGTCAATCGTATCACGGCAAGTGGCGCAACATTTAAAGCATAAAGAAATTTGCTTTTTGTAGTGTTATTTTGTTTCGCTAATGCTATGAAACGTGAAACTAATTCAACTGATCGTTGATATTGCGTTGGAAACCGAAACGGGGCTTTTTCGAAGTGTTTGTTGTTTAATCCACAGAAATGATAACGTGGCTTGACGCCGAGAGATAGAAAGGAAATTAATTTTGATTTATTTTCCTCCTCTTCTTCAACCATTGCTGATGGCCATTGAGAAGTGAGTAAAAAGTCAATCCCTCGATAATCATCCATGTTTGTAAAGTTCTTTAAGCAAGAATTTCTCAACGCAATAATATCTTTCTTGTCAAATTCCCACAATTGCTTTGATTCACCTTTGCTTTCCGTACCAGATAAGTATGCAACAGTAAAACCTGATGCAAGCGTAAATACACCTCTGCGCCCTAAGTAGGAGAGATTTTCGCAAATTTCATTGTTTTCTTCTGTTATTTTAAACGTTTCAAAATGTTTCATTTGCTGTTCATTGTTTGGTCCCAAAATGTATGTTGGAATTGGAACTGAATAAAAATGAATTGTTTTAAATTACCTAATTGCTACTAACATCAAAATTCTATTTCATACCACTTTTCTTTCCTGTTTTGTAGTCATCTAAGTTTCCAGCATGTTCCCCAAAGAAGCTTCCAACGCAAAGAACAAATGAGAAATTTGTTTTGTTACATAAACACTTTATTTTATGAAAAACTGCATCAAAGTTTGACTCGACATCACCACAAACTAACCTGAAATGAGAATTGTAGTGTTAAAAGAAGCTGCAGTTCCTAGATTTTTTGAATTTCTTACACTTTCAACTTTCGATCCATATTTGAATTTGTTTACAATCAGGTATTGAATGAACAACCGTACTTCGACTCCCCTTTTGTTTATGTTTCGAAGCTCCGCTACAAAACTTACAATTGACTGAGAATATTAAAATAAGAAGAAATTTAAATGGAGATTGATAATAATGAAGCGGGAATTAGTACTACAGAAGTACAATCAAAAGAAGTAAACAAAGAAAATTGCAAAAGATCTTTGAATATTGTAAGTAATCCATGATTATGTCGTTCATTATTTAAAACATTAAATTTTAATTCAAGCTGAAAGATATCAAATGTTTGGGATGTACAAATGAAAAAAAATGTGCTGCAACATATAGAACTTACCTAGATTTGTGTGAAACTAGAAAATATCAAGAAGTGTCGTATAAATATTGTCCGAATATCCAAGAATTGTTCATAACAGCAAAGAAAACGAGTGCAGATGAAGAAGAAATTGTCATCCCATTCGTGGCAACAGCAAAGATTAGCATGGAGAAAATAGAAAAACTGCAAGACAATTTTTCACGACCAACAATTAAACTTGCAATCTGTGATCCAAGTTCCACCATTATGTATTACGATATAACGAGAGGTTTATAAAGAATATTAAAAAAATTGTTTCAATTATATCAAAATATTTTCTTTATTAATTTATTCAACTATTTATAAAGAATTTAATTTCATTATCAACTATTATCAGATGCTTATTTAACACATTATTTTGTTTTCGAATAGATAAAGTTCATGGAGCAATGTTTAACCAGGTAAATTTTTTAATGTTTTCTGAAGTATGCGACATTTAACGCATTTAAAACTTGAACATTTTTTTCTCTATTAAGATATCTTGAACAATGTTTTGTTTTCAAAATGTCAGATATTTTTTCCAACTCTACAACCTCATGAGGAAATCGTCACAGTTGGTAAATATCTAACAAAGAAAAATTCTTTTATCACGACTTTATGCTAAATATTATGACAATTTTAATTGCGTTACTTAACGATTGAAATTTCTTTTTTATTTATTTTATTTTTTGTTTCCATCTCAAGGCAACTTTTTAAATTACTTTTCATTTGATGTTATAAGTTATTCTATCAAATATTCAAATGATATCTTAAATATTTTCTTCAACCATCACTTCACATTTCCTTAAATTCTTTTCCACTTGAATTATGATTAATTAATTGAAAACTCAAAAAGCCATCAAACGCATCTAATATTAAGTTTATCTAAGATTAAGTTTCTTTTCTGTTAATGATTATAAATTGAAGGAAAAACTTTTTTTCTTGCTTCAACAATTGAAATTAGCAGCATATTGTAATAATTAAAATAAACTCAACAATTCATTCAAATGAATTAAAATGTTGAGTGAGCAATACAAATTGTTGTCACCGACTATTGTAAGCTTCAAATTCGATCGAGTTCTAGCACCAATCGGCCATATAAGTGAATTCCTTGAAGTATTCTTGCTCCTGATCGGTTAAATGTCTCGGCTCTTTTGGTGGTGTCAAGTTGGGTGGTTCTGATGTAAATTCTTCGTCAAAGTTAGACACGTCTTCCATTGATCGCTGTTAATTAATTTAATTAAATGTTAAATCTTTCCTTTAAATATTGAATTAATGAAAAAGAATCTTACGATTGTCGGAACGAATGGTGGTTTGACTTTTCGAAGCAAAAGTTCATCCCATGTTATGCCACGGAAGAAAGCTTGCCTTTTAACATCTTCTGCGTCACGTTCAGATGATCCTAAACGTCTTTCAGGATTTTTTCTCAAAAGCTAAAGAATTAAAAAATTAAATTAACAACGAAATAAATTAAAAATTTAAAGTTCTTACCCTTCTCATGATAGCAATTGCCTCAAGTGAAAGGAATCTCGGATAACGAACTTCGTCATTAACAATTGAATCGAAAACTTCTTCTTCGTCATCACCTGGAAACGGCGATTCACCGACCAACATTTCAAAGATTAACACACCCAAACCCCACCAGTCAACAGCTCTCGTATACGAAGTTTCAGTTAACACTTCGGGTGCAAGGAATTCTGGCGTTCCACAGAATGTTCCAGTCCGATCACCAAAACCCATTCCTTCTTTACACAATCCAAAGTCAGCAATCTTTACATAACCTGAGAGATTTAATCATTCAAAATCATATTTTTTATTTGACAATTTAATGAGAAATTACCTTCAGTATCTAACAAAAGGTTATCCAACTTCAAATCACGATAAATGATTTTGTTTTCATGAAGATACTGCAGGCCCAGAACAACACAAGATGCGTAAAAAACAGCTCTTGGTTCACTAAACACATCAGTATGAATATGCATCATTAAATCCCCACCGGCAGCGTATTCCATCACGAAACAGACATGTTGCTAATTGAGAATTAGAAAAATAAAATTAAATATTGATGAGATGAAAATGAAAAGAAAAACAAACCTCAGTCTGAAAACATGCAAACAAATTAACCAAGAACGGATGGCGCATTGTATTAGCGACTTCAAAAATTCGTTTTTCACTCAACAACGATTCAATTTCATCACGTGCAATGATGTCACCTTTCTTCAATGCTTTAATCGCAAAATATTCGCCAGTATTTCGATATTGTGATAAAATAACTTTGCCGAAATGTCCACGACCTAAAACGCTCAACAAACGGAAACTCTCAAGATTCATGCCGATTGATTGTGAGTGACGTCGTGACTCATAAGCACTGTCACGATATTGAAGTCCACGTGGCATGTTTTGCCTTTGTTGACGATTGTTAAGATTTTGCTGAAGTTGTTGTTGATCAACATGATGTGACATTGGCGGTGGTGCGACAATTTGCTGAACAGGCATGGCATGATTTTGTTGTTGATGTGCTGATGTAGTTGGTTGTTGTTGTTGTAAAAGGAATGGTGGCGGTATTCCAGGCTGTGTTGATGACGGAATAGTCAAGTTCTCGAATGTACTGACAATCTGATGATGAGATAAAATTTACGTTTTAATCATTCAAAGATTTTCATTTTATGTTTTGTTAATGGGAAAGCATAATTAATGAAGCAAGAGATGTCGATTGTCAAGTACAAATAGATTTTTGTTTAGTGATTAAGGGTGATTTTATGTCATGCTCTTAATTGTAATTGGGAATAAGTTTTGTAGGATATTTAAAAGTAAAAGATTTCAATTTGAAATCCGTTTTGATGATAAGCTTTTAATTTTCTTCTTATAACGATAAATGATTTGCGCAATGTTAATTAAATAAGTTAGCTTTGAGAATACACATTATTTCATTAATTTTCATAAATGACAATTATTAACTTCAAGACGACTTTAATTAATTCTTGTTAGACAAACAGTGATGACGATGATGGTGATGATGAAGATTTGTGTTATTTCTTTTTTCTTAAACATGTATCTTGTTATAATGTCCGAAAGGAAGGAAACCAAGTTAGTCACGATAGAATGGAGAAGAAAAGAAATAATTTCCTGACCTCAACAACGAAACCATCTTCATCGTATTCGTAGATGTCATCGTCATGGGGATATTCAACAAGTTGAGATGGTGATGGCGATGGTGGCATTTCCACGATAGGACTTGGTGGAATTGAATGAATATTCAAACGCGGACTACTGTTTGTGGAACTTATGCCACCATCCATAAGAATCACCGGCGGCATCGAAAGCACTGGACGAAGGAGATCAACACCGAGAGACATTTGTGGTTGCGCTGATTGCGAATCCTGATCGTTGGAAATATTTTGCAGAAAATCGAAGGCATGAAGTGCACTTTGGAGCTAAATGTGTGAGTGTGTTGATGTATTTGAGTGAGCGTGGGCGTTTCATGTGAGAAGATGATATCAATGAAATTTCTTTCTTCTTTTTCATCAAAATTCGCAAATAATTTTCATTAAAAAGATTATTTGCGAATTTTCTTATCGTTTTCATTAAAAAATTCAATAATTAGAGAAGAGTGGGACGAGAAACTTAATTAAACTACTGAATAATGTGTATTGTCGCTTGATTTAATAAATAATTAAAGAAAAAGTTTAAATAATGTCAACTCACCTCTTGATCCATCTTCGGTGGTGTCGCCGGTGGTTTCTTTTGTTTCGCAGGTACAGCTGGTTGCTGTATTTGCACACTTCGTGGTTGTGCTTGAGGTGGTGTTGAAATTTCAGGCAATGCATTGATTCCTTGCATCATTCCCAAAGGTCTAGCGCCACTTAAACCAACAACATTTGAATCGGGATTCTCACCGGGTGTTTCTGGTGGATCAAGTCGTGATGGTTCACCTTCGAAGATCAATTGAACTGGCTGTGGTCCTGAACCATTGCCATAAGCTGGATGTGTTGATGTTGGTGTTGAAACATTTTGTTGTTGATTTGTCACTGCTGGTGTGCTTCTCTTCAGCAGCCTTCCCCATGTCGCTATGTTTATGTTCATCTGTTTAGCTCGTGGAATATTCTTCGCCTGCTTATTGAAAATCATACGTTGACGTTGAAGTTTTGGCTTACGTGATATCATGGGATTAAGGAATTTTATCTCAGCGAAAAGTAAACCAGTTGGCTCCAATTGTAATGCCATTCCATGTCTTATATCATCGATAAACTCTTCGAGTCGCAAGAATTTCACAGCACAAAGAGATCGCCAATCACGCCAATAAATTCCAATCTCAAGTTCACGAGACTTGTCGAGATCAATTGAGAAGCGTTGATCCCAGGCTTGCTGTGAACATGGCTTCCATGATGTTTGAGCGACAGTTGTATTGTCCAGTTTAATAACAGCCATTATCTCTGATGAAATGTCATCCTTAACGCTATAACTTTTTGATGAGCTGCGACCTGTCACAAATATAAAATGAAGAACTCAAAAATGAATGAAAAGAATCTTAACTTACTTGTTACACCTTTCACGAAACTTTTTAAATCGCCTGTTGGACTTGAGAGCGAATCTTTGTCGCGTCTTGATCGTCCTGGAACATCTTCGAGAAGATCTTGACATCCCATTAAACGAACTTCAAGTTTACCAGTTACAGCAGCACATCGTGATAATGACAAATAATGAGACGGCTTTCCCTGATTACCAGCACGAAATGGATGAAGCGATGTATACTGAACAGGTACGGGACTTGCTGCTTGGACATTTTGAAGTTCGGTTTTAAGTAAAGCGGCCGCTTCAGAGTCGGGCGGAAGTTCAGCACGACGAAGCTCAAGAGCGTAACGAAGTAAATCTAACTTTCTAGATGATTCAATTAAACGTCCTTGTGCCTAAATTAAATGTTACGAAAAATTAAATATTTGTGTTCGTGCATTAAATGAATCTCAAATCTCTCTCATGAATTTTGCGGAATTTTTGTTTTATTTTAAAATGTTTTACACATCAAAACTAATTGGATTTCAAATTCCTTTTATTTATTCTAACATCAAATTTAATTAAATAATTTCCATTATTTCTTTTGTTACAGAAATAAATACGAAAAAAGAAGAAAGGAAAAGTTTCCTCAACAAAGAATTTTGCGGATAAATTTTTCATTTTTAGTTCACCGACACGACAACTTCCGTGCTTTGATTTTTCTTTTTATCTTTTCTTTGATTCATCAGGTTTGAAATAAAGAGAAGAAAAAAACTTTTATTTTTAAATAAATTCTTCTTTTCATTACTAAACAAATAAATAGAAACAAAGTCAGTGGACATCATATGTGTGCTCGCATTTTATTTTCTTCTTCTTCTTAATACATATTGAAAACTCTTCGCAATGCCAAGAGTCGTGGGAAGAATTAATTAACTTAAATTTACGCCATGTCCCACTTTTAAATGTTTACAAAGTTAGATGATGAAAATGATTGAAATGTGTGTGAGGGGAGAGTGATAAATAAATTCTTGTTCTTCTAAACAAAATATCGATTGTTTCGTCTCCAGAATGTTGATTTCATAATTGGAGTGTCACCGACTGAAAATGCTCTGTCACGTCCTTGACCTTGATCACGATCCAACACCCAACGCTTGCATGTTTCGCATAAGCATGATGGATTACGAATGGGACCAACATGATGGCCAGGCTTTCGCATTGTCTTCAAAACAGATCCAAACTTCCTTGCCAATGCGAGATGATCTTTCGAATAGCTTCCCGACTTTAATGATGATGACTTTGAACTCATTTCTCTCTTCTCTGAGGACTCTTTAACAACAGCAACAGAAGGAACATTTTCCCGGAAATTCCTTCGCTGAGAATTGCTAATGACAGTTGACGGACTTGAGTCGCTAATGTTACCTAAACATTCACTCGACTTTTGATAATTAAAACTGTGATCTGATTCTGACATGTTCCCTGAATGTTCAGATTCTCTCTTCTGTTTGTTAATAAACATAAAATTTTCCATTAATTTATGTTGGGTTAAAAGATCTCTCATCGGTTCTTCTTCTCGGCTCCACAATCTCTCAAACTGCTTCATCTTTTGAAGTTCCTCATCTTTATCCCATTGTCTGAAGCTTCCAACAGGCGTCAAGAAGTTTCCTGACTTTATTGCAACGTCCAATTCCTTCCATGTCGATTCCGAATCTTCAACAATCGTTGATGGTGAATTAGCAATTGCTGAACCAATTGAACTTGATGTCAAATCTCTAACAGTTGAATAACTGGAATTCGCGTAATTACTGCTAATTGCATCGTCACTTATGTCACGTCGAAATTGAAGCAACGAACGAAGTTCATTAAACTTTTGTATTTGTCGTTGATCGCCAAGATATTTCTTAAACAACATTTGCTTGCTCTCATTCACTTCTTCCTTCTCATTGGCATTGTTTTGCATTAGCACCTTTGTGAAGTCAAAAAGTTGATCATTCGACGGTTCCGTAACAAAAGATTTCGACTTTTTGTTGCTTTCTGAAACGTCAAAAAGTGAAAAATGATTTTTGTCTTCCAAATTAACTCATAAATTTTACCATTTGCCAATTTTCTTGGCAACTCATTCTTTCCTACAATTCTCTGATGCTTTAACAGCATGTCATCGGTTTCGATGACTTTTGTTTGTGCCATTAAATTAGCAATGTCATCCACAATGTTAGGTGACGATGAATTGCTACTATTTGAAGTATCAACTTCAGAACCCGTACAATAAACATCAATATGAACAGTTCTTGGTGGCTTCTTTTTGTCTTTTGAAGATGAACGTGGTGATTGATTTGAGAGAGCTGGCGACGGTTGTCGTGGCACTCGTGAAGGCTACAAAACATTCTCATTCACTTTGAAGTACTTCAAACAATTCATTAATTAATCAAACCGTTAAAAGTCTTCCCTCCGATCGTTCGCGTGACGATACCAATGATTCTGTAGCTCTCCGATGATCAGTGTAAAGTTTTCTTCTTTGTTCAGCACTAGAAGCACGACTGACAGATGATTGCTTCTTACTTACTGGAATAACTTCACAATCACTCGTCTGGCAACTGACATCTTTCGACACTGAAAGCTTTTGCTCGTGACGTTGGCAATCGTGGATGATTTCAGACTGAAATAACATTGACAATGAATCAATGAATCAATCAATTAATCATCAATCGTCGATTATAAAACCTGATCAGGTGAAAATGTGTAGGTGTGAGTTGTACATCCACTGCCAACTTTTTCAAGCATTGCAGCTGGGCACATGTCGGTTGTTAAAACAATACTGCAAGTGCTTTTACACATCGCATCATTAGGTAAACGGCTTTCTTTGTTGCTGATGAGTGGCTTTTGCGTGGGCACTTTCGATCCACTTTCCGAAGTCTGAAAATGAAAATGATCTTCATTTCATTCTGCTTTTCATCTCACACTCGAGAGAAGAAAGAAAATATGCATAAAAACCATCAAATTTCCATTTCTTCTCCTGCTCACCTTCTTTGAACTGCTTTTGACATTTCGACTTGTCGATGTTGCTTGTTCTTCATTTTTTGTATCCGAATTCCATTTGTACACAACACGACATGGACTATCAGACGAACGTCGAACACGACAATCGCTTGAGCCAAATGACGCAGCTTTCTTTTTTGGCTGCGTAATTTTCAGCTGTGCTCGAACAATCCATTCAGCGGTAATTTCATTACTGCTGCCACTGCTCTCATTTGCTTTTTCTTCATCCACAATTTTATTAATTTTTGTTGCCATTTTTCTTTCCACCTTTTGAGTTTTTCCATTAACGCCAACACAAAATACGTTTTCCACTACCGTGTGCAATTATATTGAACTTTAATTCATTAAATATTCAAATTTTCATTAAGCCAGAAAAGAATTTCGTGCACAAGTGGATGAACATTAATAATTCAAATAAAATTTGTACTGAGATTTCTTCACTTTTGACTTTCGACTAAAAATAAAACAACAACGAAGAATTATTCAGCAGTAGCAGCAGATTTGTAACTTCACGTAATCTTCGTCTTCTTTTTCCTTTTCCGATCGTGATCTCATCAAATCATCGAACTAAGCTCAACATTTTATCACTTTATAATTGACTTATTAATGTATTTTGATTTTGACAGCGATTTACATATGATTCAGACTTTAATTTTGTTGCTTTTTAACGAACACTTCATGGCAGTTTTTTCTTCACTTTTCTCGCTTAAATAGCGACTTTTCTTTTCACGTGAAAAATGTTTAAAATTAAGCGAACTGATACCTGACAACCGTAACAAGTGACTGAGAAACAATTTCGCTTTTAAACTCACACAAAAATTATAAAGACTTAAATATTTCTGAACTCAACAAAAAAATGCGAAATGAGAAGGAAAAAAAATTATTTTAAGATTTTCCTAAAATTTTCTTTACTCGAATTTCTTCTTTTTCTTTCCAACTCTCGTGTGGTGAGAAAAACTTTTATGTAGCATTAGCCGTAGACTTTTCATGTTGAGAAATGTTTCTTTCTTCTTTTATTTGTTTTTGTTGATGTCGAGACGGCTTTAAAGTCTTGAAGATAAACACATTGAAGATTTGTTTACAAAAAAGAAAGAAGAAATTTGACCGGTTCATATGGCTGACATATGATGTCCGTTAACTACAAGGGTACTTCAACTAGTACCAGTCGGAGAAGAGAAAAACATTTTTAACATACACGCGATTTTAAAATCTTTTACGATTTTCTTTGCCTCGCAATATTCATGATGGGATTCGATATAGTTAATAAGAATAAACGTTGGGTGGCCATGTAACTTTTTGAAATTTGTGCAGGCGGCTTAATTTATCATACAATTTGTATGACAATAATGCAATCTGGCAACACCACAAAAACATTTAATTTTTCACTCACCTCTTGCAAGGCTTTCTTGTCTATAGATTTATTGCTTTGTAATGTCCTAATAACATTCTTAGCACCATCTACAACTGCTGCTTCAATACGTAGACGATGACGTAACTCTTCAATCCGCTCTTCTAATGACGATTCGAGTTGTTCATTCGATCGCAATTCACCATTATCGGCTGACGACTGAATATGACGAAAATATTCTGATTTATAAAAAGTGCAATGACAAGAATGTTTCTCTACTTACTCTATTTAACTGATGATTCTGCTTGACCTTCAAAATTTTCAGCTTGAGAAATTCGATTTTAGCTTTTGAATCATCGAGCATGGTGTAGGCTTCTGCCAGAAGTTTCTTGTCACGACTTTGATAGTTTTGAGAGATTGATTGAATCATATTTTCAGTTCCATTCTTCACCTTGGTCTCGATCGTCAACTGTTTCTCAAGTGATTGAAGATATTTATCATGCGATGCTGGATCGTCAGCTTGCACTGAACTAGAATTCATCGTCATCGGCGATGATGCCGTGAAATATTCTAAAACAAGATTCAATCGATTAATTTCATTCATGAAAAAAGACTTCCCTCGCTTGACTTGTTCATCCGCTAACCCGAAATCAGTTTCCGTCCCCAAAACATCTGTGCTGCTAATCACGACACTGACTGAGAGTGACTCACGACAATAAATGAAATTCTTCTGAGATTTTTTTTTTTATTTTGTTGCCGATTCTTCAACCGATCTTTTTACGAGTTTCTTTCTTTTTGCAAGAAAAATTGCAAAAGGGAGAAAAAAATTGCGCCACTGCCATTCACGAAATAAAAATTTACTCGAAGCTCAGAGGAATCGAAATTATTTCATGATCAAGAGTTGAAAAAGAAGGAAAGGAAAAAAACAACAAGCTGTGGACGGCAACGACAGTGGACAAGCGAAAGGAAAAATATTTAAGATCGCGATAAAAAGTTTGAACCACGACTGCTAAAAATACAAATTGGCGTAGGCTTCCTCTCAAATTCTTTCTTTTCGCTTAATTTTAGTGACGTCTGAATGTGATCTGGATGTGTTTGTAAATGATGTAAATTAACAACTTAACTGTTTCTATTCATTCATCAAAACAAGTAAAGAAATAAATTTAAAGTGTCTTGAACTATTTTCACCCCCACACTTGATCTCTCTTGACGATCTTCGTCTCTCTTCCTAAGATGATGAAAAACTTTTCTTTTAACTATAATGTGAAGTTTTACTTTATTTTTTTGTAATCGTTCGCTTAGCAACATAAAGTCGTGTGTTGTGTCTGTGTCTACATTGAGAACCCTTTCGGTCTTTCCAACAGAAATAAGTACCATTGATAACTTTAATTTCCAAGAAATAAAATTAGAAAGGAAAAACAACCAATCGAGATAATTAAATCATCAAGTTTCACAAAATTTACATCCTGTATGTGTCTGGCGTGTCAGAAATGGCGGCATCTTAAGAGAAACATAAACAATTGAAAGAAAACAACATCGTTGGATAAAGAAATCTTTCATTATTTTTCATTTCTAATTTTGCAGCAATTAGAAATTGAGAAGCACAAAAATAAGAAGTTGAATCCAATTTCAGGAAATAAATTAAAAAAGAGAAAAAAAAAGAGTTATTTCTGTGGATAATTATTCTAAACCCGTTTTATTGAAATTATTGCTTAACAAATAAATCCGCTGTTGCATTCGATTGATGAGAAACAAAAAACAAAACGTCAGATGTGAGAGTAAAAGAAAAACAGAATCGGAAGAAACGGAGAAGAATTGAAAACCTGCTGCGCTGCACACGCTTAAATATGAGTTTTGGACTTCTACCCGAAGCCCGTAACATTGTAAACACAACACAGCGGCTTTAAATTGAAAGTCTGGTGATTTTCGAATCACACAAAATTTTCCCACTTTGTGCTTCACATTTTACTTAATTTTTCCGCTATGCTATGAAGGGAAATAATTTTGAAAGATTCAAGGTAAAAAGTGACGAAACAGATGAACACACCCACAAAGAGTAAAAGAAAATTTTTGTTTTGAGAGCTCAAAGCAGAACTTTAAGATAAGATAACATTCTCCACATTGCTTCTCATGTTTTATACAAAATTCTCGAGACATTCATTGCGCAACTTATAAACGAAGAAAGTTTTTTGGTGTTTGATAAAATTTTTTACCTTTTCCATTACTGTTGCCTTGCGTCAAAATTATTTGGCTTTCAAGCTCATGAAGCTCTGATTTCAGTTCTGCTAATTTTGTGTTACTTTTCTTTACAATTGATGCAACATCGGACAAGGCACGACGATCTTTGGCAACTTCGCGTAATTTCTCCGCACCTTCTTTAATCTGCAATTAAAGTTGTGTAAATTTAATATTATTAAGATAATAAAATGAAACAATGTTGAGCTCACCTTCAACTCTTTTCGAATCTCTTTCCTGATGGCTTCCTTAATTTCTTCAAGTCGATCCGGAAGATTTGATTCCGGTTGGTTGTCATGAAGATATTTGTGACTGAGTTCATACAGAACGGGATACTTGATGTACTCATTCTAAAAAAGAATAATAAAGTCATTTCGATTTATATTTCTCTCCTTAATTATCATCAATCTCAATCATCACACATGTGAAAGAAAAACTGAAATTGAGTTCATCGTCGTATTTTTTTTTATTTTTCTTTTTCGATTTCTGTCTCGTAACTCAAGTTTAATTGAAGATCTAGATCTCCTCCTAAATAACGTTGTGTTTTATGGCGGAAAAATGTATCAGCATTGCATATTAATGACGAATAAGAAAAATATTTATTCAACATAATTATAAAGGGAAAGTGTTGTTTACATTTTTATATTGCAATTCTTAATGATTTATTATCGATATTTACGACGATAAATATTTATTAACAAAGGCGGCAATAACTGGTGTAAGTTACGATCATGCCATTTAAATAGAAAATAATCAATGAACTTGACCTCAAGCGACACTATTTAGCTTTCAATAGCCTTTTATAGTTTATCACGCTAATTAATGTTCACCATCGACGGCTGCTTTCACGAACTTATAATAAAAAAAACACATCAAAACACTGATGGAAAATTTTTTCTTTCCTTTTTAGCATTATTTAAATAATTTGCAATAGGAAGTTTGCAAAACTCTAGGAACTGCTTATTAATTAGTTTTTAATTGACGCTCTCTAACGAATCAATTAGTGGGTGTGTGTGGTAGCTGAAGAAGTTGACGTTGAAGTTTTCCCTACCGCTGTTGGGTTACTTTCGAATAAATTTAATAAGGCGCGAAACATGACAATCGACTTGTTCCGGTCGAAACCTTTAAATAATCAAAGCGAAAGTGTCAATAAGCTGAAAACATTTTTCATTTCATGATCTTAAATCTGATCTCATTACGAAAACAAATGGTGTAACGAACGAAAGAGCGATCGGATTTCAAATATTTTTCTTTCTTAAATATTTCTTCACACCTGGAGCTTTAATCAAGCTGAAAGCAGCAGTAGTTACTTACTTACTCGCTTGCTTACTTACTTACTTATTTACTACTCGACTAAAGTGTGGATTTTATTAACGATTCAATGATTTTATTTATCCCACAAACTCTCTTTTCAATTCTTGATGGCCATCGAGCCATTGTGTGTTAATATTACTCTGACCACAGTTGTTGGTAAAAAGAAAACCAAAATAATAATTAAAAGATGTTGCAAGAATGCATGTCTGTTCGATAATTAAAACCAATTAGAGACGACATTAGAGTGTAATGAGAGAAACAGAACAACTGGGTGGGAATAACAAGAACAAAATAACGATTCATGACATAATGTAAGCTAATAGTTAGCTTAACGAGTTAATCTCTCAATTAACTGCAATTTGAGTTTTAGAAGTTTTGTCGCGTTGAAATTAAAAACAAGAAAGAATTTTATGTAAGTAGTAAAAAATTTCTTTTTCGCAAAGTCTCAAATTCCATGCACGCGAGTATGAAGAACAATGTGTGCCGCATCTAAATCAATTAATAAACTCGTAACCTATTTGCACTCAACGATTTCTGGTACACTTATAAGCTATTTACATATCGAATGACGTTTTACACTAGCAAAAAATCATTGAAGAAACGGTAAATTTTATGTTTCTTTGAAATTCTTCAAAAACGGCGAGTAAGTAAATAAATAAATAAATGAACGACTAATATTATCGAAAGTCATTATTAATGATTTCAATTTCTGCCAAAAATGGGATGATTGAATGTTCATTGAAACCGGACGAAAGATTAACATCTTGTTCGGATCTCGTGTGTGTGTCTTTAAATCACCGAAGGCAATCATAAAGATCGCTAATAAATGGCAAATGTTTTAAGTACATATTGTGATGCGTATTAGTGTTTTAAAATTTAAATCTTATTGTTTTATTTCATAAGCTGACTGATGTAGTCGACATCAGCAACTTTGGAGAAAGAGTTGATATTTACCTGTTCAAAAGGTCGGCCAATACAAGCATTAAAAACGCTGCTATTTCGTTTACAACTTCGTAATTTATTAAATTCAATTACGTTTATGTCCTTGGCAGATTTACTTCGAGTAAATTTTCCGCTGCCTATCGAATTTTTCATGCTTCAAAAAGGAAAATTTATTCGTCTTCGTACACAAAATGTCATTCAGTATATCTCTACGTGAATCAATTCCGTTGTTGTTTGTAAAGTTTAAAGAATCAATTAGTTTTCATTTCAACAGTACACACAACACACCTTTTCAAAGTCAAAAACATCTTCGCGTGAGAATATTTATTTAACTTAAAAATAAATTAATTTGTCAATCAATTTGTAGCTTATTTTTTATTTTTTTACATAAGAACACAAGCTGAATATATCCGGAAACTATTTACATTAATAAAATGAGATTTAATTCAAGTGTAATCTACAACAACGTAATGTTATCGCGTGAGAAATTTCTTGCAAACAGATGATTCATATTTTTTTACTGAGAAGCCCACTCCAAAATAGGAATTAAAAATATCAGAAAAAAAGCTTAATGTGCTTTCGCGACAAGCGTCTGACAAATACTAAAGCGTTCCAATGTTGTATCTTTTCATTATTATAAGGCGAGAAAAACCAGCAAACAAACAAGCAAGCTTGCATGTGTATGAACGAATAATGTGAATTACTTCTCCGACACATCATGTAATAGTGTTTAAAGCTTATCTTCAACACGAAATAAAATCAAATTTACGATCGCTACAATGCAAACAGCAAAGTTCGCCCTCAAAGTCTTATCGGTTTGCGATTGTGATCGTTTATTAACTTTTCTATAATAAATAAAACCTTTTGGATTTCTGAAAGATAAACTTAATAAATTCACCATCATTACACCATGCAAACAGCGGATAAACTTTGAGCTTCATGCCAGGTACGGAAAGGCACAAAGTAGCACGTAATTCAATCCTTTAATATGTTTTTGAATACCAAAACATTCTGTTGTTAGTTTGTTACTCGAAACATATTCGTATTAATGTCGTAACGTGCTTCTTGCCAGATATTTTCACACATTCTAAATTTTACGTTGAAAAATCTTAAACGTAAGAAGGAAATTCCGTGTTATATTTTTAAATTTATTAACTCGATTTTCATGACATTGTCTTACGAAAATAAATCGCAGTTCTATTAATTCACGAATGGATTATCAGAATAGTTCTTTACTCTACTTTATTCCAAAATAGGATTACATAAATATATCAATGAAATGATTGGCAAAAAAATTAAATCAATCAAAAGCAAGTCAAGCATAACGTGATCTATGCTGATTCCCGTTGTTTCTTTATTACAATTTGTAATTTATTCGAGTGGGAAACCTTAGAAAAAAAAACTTTTAGTTCTGTCGAGTTTCACTTACAAAAAAATATAATTTTGTGGTTTGAGGTCTTGTCAATTTTTGCATTTAAATTCCACACAATGATGATGGGGGGTTGAAAATGATTTGAGAAGCTTGACGCTAACTTACATTCGTTTGTTTGCCTTGACTTCCAATTCAGTCATTTTAAGTCGCGTCATTATGATAACCGAAACATCATCACTAGATATGATAACTAGATTGTAAACAATTTTGTTTAATAATAAAAACTACGAAACTACGAAGTGAAAAGGCGACTACATTAGTTGATGTCATGTCAACACTCGGGGGGATTTATTTAATCAGTATTTTTAGGCAATAAAATCGTCAAGATGGAAATTTATTTCTCTATCATGTTGTGAACATCCATTTTCATTAAAAATATTTCTTATACTTCTTTAATCTCATTAAAATGGTATGGAAAGCAATGCAATGTGAGCTTTGTCATTGTTTGTTGTGTGCATAAAGTTATTAACTTTTACATATCGTTAAAGTACGTCATAGAGTGTTCGTTAATGATGTGAAAATGAAAGCATTTACTCATCAAAGCTTACCCACTAATAATATCAACAAAGTAAATTTCACTCTTTTTATTTTGATTTCTAACTTTAAACTTATCAGAGACTGCTCCAATCATTTATCATTTCTTTTTTAACTTTTATTTTATAAAGAAAGATCTACGACACGATACACACGAATTAACGTAAGTAACAATGAATTTATGCGCACCGTTTAATGAGTGATGGGAGGAATGAGTCCAAAAACAGTAATTTCTTTGTGATTTTATAATTTCACTTTTACCTTTTGTCTTCTTAGACAATTTTTTAAAAGAATTCGAAAATAATAGAGTGAAGTTTTCGCTTTTCAATTTCAATGGCTGGAAAACCACCATAAAATGATTTATGCGATCATTGACATAAATGTTTGTTTCGCAATGTTTTATTTTTGTGACAAAAATCGTACAATTCGTGTGTGGTTAAAGGTGCGATATAAATAAGATTTAAGACATTATCACTTAGATGACAAATGTCTAACATGACAATAATCACTCAATTAATTTACTGTCAATGACAATGCTATGAAATCATGAATTAAATGATAGCGTTTTGTATTTCTTTTCATATTTAATCTCGAAAAATGAAGGTTCAAGTGTATCATGTCCAAGATCATTCATGACGACCTCGACAATGAATTAATAATAAATACAGCGAAATGACGATGCATTCTTTTGGTAAATTGGATCATCATTTGAAGTGAGAATGGAAGCATTGTAACTGCGTAAAAGCTTAAAATAAATCCGTTGATTGGTCGTAATTGTTATTGTTATGTTTAGTGATTATGAAATTGATATTGATACATACACTGCTCGACAAATATCCTTTTAGTTTCGATGTTAGTTCTTTAAACAACACCATTGTATGCATGGAATCACAATTAATCAATAATTTCACTTCCGGGACTAAACAATAATTAACTTGAGCAGCGAAATTGTTCAAGTTCAATCTGAACGATTTTTTTCATATCACTTTAATTTCTTTATATTCGCAAAGCCATTCACTTTGTTGAGATCGTTAATGAAGCAATTTCACTTTTCTCCATCATCACGTACCACTTGAGACAATCAATTCATCTTTCTCTGTCTCTCTTATGTCTTATGTGATTTATGGAGTTTCAAAATGATTTGAATTTTTTTATGATCTTTCGCAATAACTTTTTTTTATAATATTTATTTTCGACTTTCAAATTTTACATCACAAATTAAATTTCACGTCAACATAATCGTCTCGAATTTCGGAATAAAACTTCCATCGAAATTTTGTAATTTCTTTGATCAAATTTCAATTCGATAAGCTATTTTCACAATTTCTGTGATTTTTTTCATGAGTTGAATGGCCAACCAAACAAGATATCAAAAATCCTTTTAAAATTACATAAATCTTCACAACTTAATCCTCCGCAAATGTTTCATTGATTTTTATAAAGCAAAATAACGCAAATTTTTATTTTTTTAAAAAACTTCACCAGCTAAAAATTATTTTCGACTTAATCAAAAGACAGCCAACACTGAATTGAGAAGAGAAAAAAATTATTTTGTTTTGTGGTGTATGAAACTAAAAAAAAAAAGAGAAAAAGTAAAAAAAAGAATAACAAAAGGAAAAGAAAATTGTAGTTAGACGTACAAACATAAGAAAGTGAAGGCGATTGTAAAGTATCAGGTTTATGTCTTTCATCGATCGTTATTATCAAAGAACTGTGCAAGTAAATGAGGCTCGTGGGGTAGCGTCAACTATTATTCAACAGTGTTTGTACTTATCCAATATATACTGCGATAAAGTAACTGTATGTATGTAAATACGTCGCAAGAGACAAAGATTATGTATCGATCGACAACAAATATGCAAACGACTGTCGCACGAGTAAGTGATGAAACAAGGAATCAAGACATTAAACTTACTACAACCTGTGCAAACTTGTTGTTTGAAAAGCTCTTCAGTGCTAACGACATCGATAGTATTTCATACCATTTTTGGATATTGTTTGTTTCTTGCGTGGCACACGAATTTGATATTGGAATTACATTTCGAATGACGATGAAAATATTTATTTATTCATTCGTATCAAAGAGAAAAACTTTGTTGATTCGAATTTTCCAAATTATTGGTCTCGAAATAACTTTTTTTATTTTACTTTCATGATTATCGTCATCTACCTAGCAAAGTTTTCTCTTACACATGAACGAGCAATTTCCGTTTGAGACCTTTTTTCTGAAGCTTTATGTCAAGTTTATTGATTATCACAATGATTGACATCGATTTTTATTTTTTCCACTACGTTGTCCATTTTATTGAATGCTAATATGGATATAAAGCTATTTAATTGCCCGTATGGGTCCCAAGAATCATAAAACACACCAAAGTCCAATTAGTATCTAGTTTCTCTAATCAATCTTTCAAGTCACTCTAGCTTTTGAATTTGTCATCTATCTTTATTGTTCACCGCGAAAAATCAGACAATTCCTCGGATTCTGAAATTCTCGTCATATTTTAACGCGTAGGTGAGAGAAAAAAAATCATTGTTTATGATATTTACAAAATTATTCCAATTGTTTATTAAAACTGCATTGTCAGAAAACAATTTCTCGATTGCAAAGTCTTTAATTTTCGCGTTTCGCCAAAAAACTTTCGATTTTCTCATGTCAGATCGATGTCGAAAAGATATTTCCGCAAATTGCTATGAAAAATTGAATAATAATTTGACAGTTGAGTAGAAATTTCGCAGAAGCATGCAACATTAGATTCAAATTTGGGTTTTAATTTCTTTTGTGTGTGAGGATTTAATGAAAATTTCGCTGAGACATTCTCATCCATTAAAGAGTTAATGAAGGAAGATCGCAAAAGACATTTGTAGACGTCAAACAAAAATTTAATTAAACATCCGCACGTGTATGTAGAAAACATTGTTTCATTATTTTACTTTTCAATTTTGTTATCAAACAGACGTCAAAGCTTTGTTAATGACGTTTGATTTTGAGATATGACAGACAAGATAAAAAATAAATTCATATAAGTGAAACATATATTTCATGTTATTATGTTGTTGCCGTTGTTTTTTCCATAAATGAAAAAGATTCACTTAAGTCATAAAATGTAAATTATTATAAAAGTTTCATTGTGTATGATGTCGTCTTGTGAAATATATGCAATTTCAATTTGTTAAAAAAATACTTCATATCTTAAAAGTTTTCGTAACAAGTTTTTTCTTCATGGAATTCTTGAATCAAAAAAAAAGAAAGAAAAAACATGGCCAACAATTGCAGAAAAGTAAAAAAATCTTGTTTTGTGATGAAACAAGAAGAGAAAGAATAAAACGAATAACATTACAATAAGCAACGAGTATGACGTGAGAATTTTATGCTTTTGAGTGAAGAAATGAAACGAAATCATAAATAAGGCGAAAAGCAACTGTAACTAATGCAACTTTAATTTTATGGAAATGTTTGGAATTTCTCGACATTCAACAGTGAAATGCTTCCAATAATTTGTAAAGAGATCGCACATGAACTTTAACCATTATCACCGCTATGGTCATTCAAATGTGTTATAGTCAAGAAAACAACGAACGGAATCTGATTGTAAAGCACAATTTACTTGAATATTTTCTGCGGTTTTCATCTACATGCAATGATTATATTTTGAAGCTTGGCAATCTCATTCTTCATCTACTTCTGAATGAAATGAAAACACAAATCGGAGTCGTAAAACATGAATTCAAGCAGCTTCGTTTAGGTTTTCAGCTTCTGCCTTTTGTTTCCCTGCTCTATTGCGTTCAGTAATGATGATATTCGCATTAAAGTTATTATTCTTATTATTTCCCTACATTTGTTTTTTTGCGCTTGATGTGGTTTTGTTGTGAGTTGTAGATAGAAGAAGAATTCAGCAATTAGAATTCAAAACGGATGTTGAAAAAAATGTGGAATAGAGATTAAGAAGTGACCTAGTTGGAAGCAATGTTAGATTGATTCTGTGTTAATAACATTCACCGTCAGTATCAAAATTAAAGCTCAATGATATTTAATTTTTATAAACGTACGCATGGTGAGATTATTACCTTCATCTGTCGATAATTTTATTAACAAACAGTAAACTTAATTTATTGATAAATTCATTCGATAACAATTTTATTTGTCGACAGATTATTAACAAAACAAATCTACACGGAGCCTTAAACACCAACAAAACTTTCTTGTCTGCCGTCATTCCAAATGTGTTGATTTTTATAATTCGCCGATTAAAGATATTGACACGTATTAACAAAAAAAAATTATTTTTTATTTTTTATTCTTTCTTAAATCTACCACGAAGACATATAGCATTCTGATAAAATCGAATGAAGCAAAAGAAGAAGAAAAGGAAAAGAATGAGAAGAAAGCACAGTTAGTGACTTGATCGTTTGAAAGGCGACTTTTTCATTTTGTTTCGTAAGCACACAATTCGTTTTTCGAGACATCGTCAGAGCCCGCTAATTACACTCATAACGAAAACAAAACTTCACTTGTGGGGGAATGTTAAGCGATACGGCAGCGGCGTTCAACAAGTGTTTTTTATATTTTTTTATTCTATGATGGCGATCAGAAAGGCGTTTTGTATTTATTATTTATTTTTTGTTAAGAATAAATGTATATTCATGAAAATGGATTGTGTCACAAAGAATTTTTGTTCTTCTTTTTATTTAACAATGAATTTATTTTGTGCTACCCCTAAAAAGGCATTTTACGACGTTTCCGATGAAGTTATTAGCCTTTGCAAACGACAACCGTCTGAGTAAAATGAATCAACATAGTTTTTACACGTACAGTGAGAATTGTTTCATTTGATTTAACAGAATTCGATCACTTCACCTTTTTTTTTCGTTTTAAATCCGTTTCCCCTATTTATAGCTTTAATCGGAAATCGAATCTTTCACCTTCACTCAGATAATTTAATGATCAACGATCGCGAGAATATTTTGATGATTCAGTTAATAGGAAAAGTGACCAGCGTCGAAGCTGCGAATATTTTTTTGTTTACTTCTTATGCTTTTTGGAAAATTGCCCAAAGTCTTTCTTTATTTTCATCTTCTCACATTCTCTTTCTCGGTTTTCACAATATGATGTATAGATGATGATCAACCTGAATAATATAATGTAACGTTCTACATGAATAAAGCCAACGAACCTGATTTTCAGCCATTTTTATAAGAATTCCAGAATTCTAATTGTATACGCTGATAATTCCTTTTCACGATCCTAATCCTGATGAAATTTTGAGCAATTGAAAAACACTTGTATTGGAGTTGTTCTGTGATTAATTTAAGTTCACTCAATTATTTGATGTGAGGAACAGAAGTTGGCATGACCAACTTTTTTTAACAAATTTCAGTAATTCTTTAAGCTTTTTCCTCAACACAAATTAAAGAAACTTTAACAAATTAAAAGGCATTAACTCTTGATTTACTATGTAAACATCTTTTTACTGCTATAAAACCGATTACTTTTTAATAAGAAAATAAAAAAGAAAACCCGAATTGTCTTGACGTGCAAAGTCCGAAGAACTGATGAATGTTTTCCATGGATATGACTTCAACATAATACTTTTTCCAGCCCCTTGTATATCGGTATCAATAATCAGGGGAATGAATTTGAAAGAAACATTCATTCGGTTATTTACGTGTACTTTAACTAAATGATAGTTATCTAATTATTGAAGCAAACAAACTATTTAACAATCCCTAAAATAAATTCATACAACATAAGTAAGAGCCAAGTATTATTTCATGTTAAAAAAAGAGAACAAAATTTTGTTCTGAGAGAATTACAGATTACGATAAAGTCTTTAATTAATAAATTTCCTCGGCTCAATCAAGCTTCATCAAACAAATCTCATGGTGAGATTGTGATAAATCCGTGGGTTCATTCATGAACTAGTATGATTTCGTGGATTCAACCTTCCATACAAAATCAGTCTCTGAACGGGCGTCTCACGGCGAATTACACTCTCCACCTGAAACTGCTTCCCGGAGGGCCAGTTTCAGGTGGAGAGTGTTATAAAATCGGCGTTTTCATAGCTTAGTGACCAACACTATCAATTTCAAAGGGTGTGAAAGTTCAGGATTTTAGGATTGTCTATCCTTGCACACCAACACTTTCAAACAAAAACTTAAAGACGCTCCTTGCTTTGTGAAATTTTCCGGAAAATCAAGCTAACTGCATTTAATTTAATTTTAAATATCGTCACTTGATAGATAAGGTATTTATGAGTTCTAATATTATTAACATTCTCAAAAATGAATAAATTTTGAGTGAAAATTTAAGAAAGAAATTTTAACCCTAAAAAACTAAAATGTCAGTTCATTTTCACAGAAATAAAAAAATGGGATCCGTGCTTATCGAATCGCGCATGGTTGGTAAACTTATTGGACCACGAGGTGCAACAATCCAACAATTGCAAAATGAATACAACGTCCACATTTCCATCTCAAAGGAAGATGATGCTGTAAGTTAAAACAAGTTTTCGCGTTTTTATTTTTTTTATTCGCTTTAAAAGTACAATAATGTCAAATTTTTCAACTTTAGGAGGGAAACAGAACGGCAGAAATTCGAGGTTCTGATGATGATGTTCAGAACGCAATTCAAGCAATTCAAGAACGCTACTGCAACCAACCTGGAGGCGGCGGTGGCTACCAACAGCAAGGTGGATACCGTCAAGGTGGTGGTGGCGGTTATCGTCAAAATGATGGCGGTCGCAGTTACGGAAACTCAGGTGGCTACCAACAAAATCAAGGAGGATACCGACAAAATCGCGGTGATGGCCAGTGGGGAAACCGTGGTGATGGAACTGGTTCTGGCTGGTAAACATGATCGTAATTCAAACCTTAGCGAGCCTAAAAAGCTTCTCATTGTCTTAAGTTGAAAGACGTTAAAAAAGACTGCCAAAATTACAACGACGGCTGTGCTTTCTCAACTCTCAGCATTAGATCGAAAAAACTGAACATTTTATAATTTTTCTTCTCTTCAAATTTAGTTTTAGGAGCTTCACTCGAAAATCTACGTCCTTAATAATCAATTCATGTATGAAAAATAATTGTACTTTCATTCCAATTTGATAACCGATTATAATTCTTATTTTTGTAATCTCCATTAATGATACTTTAAAATCCAAAATAAAAGATGCTTCGAAACGTTTGAATATGTGCTGCTAAATAAAAAGTATTTTAATCTTTATTTAATTTCACTTTTCTTTGAATTGTTTGTTAATCCATTCAAGATTTTCATAGTATCGGGGATCACTGATGACAAGGATAGAACGTTTGAAGAAATAAATGTTGATGGGACAACCTGAAAAAAGACGTCACTTAGATGTTTACAAATAGATAAACAAACTTCAAGAATTTCTTACATAGTTTCTGTATAATCAACAGAATTGAAATAATCTTTGGCCAAACGACGTCGTGGCCACCATTAAAGAAAATGGTTAACACATGAAGCGTTATTGATAGTATAACGTAGATGAAGGTTGTTAGAATTGGCAATCGGAACTGCCTGTTTATGATTGAAGTTAATCCCACTTGATAAACATATGTCGAATAACACGAGTACACCAACGACGCAAGAGATAAAATCAAAAAAGCATCTTGAAGAAAATATAAAAATGTAACAGATTTTCTTTCGTGTAGGAAAACTTCGATGCTATTGAAAATCAAGTCACTGATTAAGAAAAATAACTGAACTGATAAAATAAACGAATATCGTTTCAATGATAATCGAATCATCGATTTAGGTAAAAGTCAATTTCTTTTCAATTTGTTTACAATATTACAATCAAATTTTCATTTTCCTTTATGATGGATAAGTAGGTGGATGGTTACTGAATTAATCAGTAAAAAATATCTTATTCACTGTTTTCTCAATCACAATGAAAAACCCACAAAAGGATTTGAAATACAAAATAAAATTTTTCCTTTAGCAACAAGAGTATCGCACCGAATTTCCATGGAAACTAACCCTACGCCTTCACTGAAAGCTTTCACTTTTTCTTTCCATTTGTTATGTTTGAAATTGTTGCTCTGTTGAATTTATTTTTGTTTTTCTCGTATTTTCTCCAGAAAGCTTTTCTCTTTTGTTTTCGGAAATATGAAAAAGAGAGGAAAATGTAGGAAAAGCTCTTGAGAAGTTAAAAGTGCTGAAAATCGCAAACATTGAAGTGAACTAATTGGAATCTTTGGATTTAAGTTTATTTTTAGAAATGAAATCAGCTGATAATTTAATCGTCATATTGCATACACAGATAAGAAATTCAAAGATCGTTATCGCAATAAAAAGAATTGCACGTGTTAACTTGCAACTCTCTTCAAAGCCAAGTCAATTCGATCGCAAGAGAGCGTCGACAGACGTGAAAGGGAGAGAAAATACTCGTCGTCGCCTTTTCTATTTGACGATACAATTCAACACAGTGAGGAAAAAGTATGAAAAGAAAAACCGGAATCGACAGACAATGTTAGAATAATTTCGTTCAGTTGAATTTGAATCGCACTCAAGTAACGACAAGAATTTCCAAACTCCGCTGAGTAATTTCGAGTGTTTATCATTTATTCAGAAAAATAAATAAATATTTAATCTGTTTAGCGTGTTTACGCTCAACCCTCTCGTAACTTTCTTTAATGAAAGGAAATTCAACAACAAAGTGAACAATTGGACGAGGACTTTGATTTCCAAGCTAATATATTTAACATCGAACAAATTTTATCATTTCCCCTACGCACTGATAATTTATTGAACAAAATCATGAAAACTTTTTAACATTTAACATTTGT